GAAAAAAAAAAAAAAAAAGGTATTAGATCGTTTTTTGAGAGATTTAAGAGAAGTGAATCACAGGTAATTTCTGATGAACAAAAGGCTCCTGAACTACCCTCCAACAATGAAAATGCTTTGAATGTGGTGGAAGAAGAAATCATTTCCCCATCCTCAAGTCGTGCTAGTGAGAACCCAATTCCCGAAAAAGAAGAAGAAATTCCGTGTGGATTTAGAAATGATAATCATTTCAAGATTGGATGTGTTTTGTATCGAGAATTGTGTTGCGTTTTTGGAAATTCAACCATGAGAGAAGCTGTACTGAACAGCAAAATGTTGGAAGATAATATTACAAAGGACCGATTGAATTTCACAATAGAACAGCAACAGACAGAGAATGATGCTGTTGGAAGCAGTGTTGATGATATCTCAAAATCTTCACAACAACTTCCAAACAAGATCATTTATTCGAAAGGAAAGAAAACCATGAATGAAAAGAGTTCCTGGTACGTTCAAAATCAACTCCACAGTGGTCGACTTTTTGAAAGACACTCCTCTTCAAGCAATTTTGACAGAGATATGACAGATGTAAAGTTTAAAGGAATACTAGAATACGAAATCTTTGACACCAAGTTCAATGATCTTTCATTGAGGTGTATTGATGTTAGTCCTTCTGATGAACGAATAATTCTAACAGGAGGTGGATTATTGAGACATCACTCCAACCCTGTTGTCAAACTGTGGAACTTGGAGTCATCTTCATTAGAGGGTACTTATCTTTGTTATCAAAATACTGGAACAAACAACAAGCAGTTATTTAGATCTCATGTTGATAAGGTTAAATTCATATCTGACAATAGATTTTTATGTAAGGACAGTGGAGGCAACATTCACTTATTTGATGTAGAAACTACAAAGTATTTGTACACTATTGGAGCTGGAACACCAAGCTTGAATCAAGAACTGAACGGCACCATGAATTTTATTACATTCGAAACTTTGACAAACAATCTGAATGTTCTGGTTGCCAGTAGTTATTCTTCAGTTCCTACTGTTCAGTTCTATGACTTGCGACAACCGTCAGAGCATTGTGCATTCGAATGGAAATTAATTGCAAATCAGTCCTCTCACAGCATTAATATGATGTCTTCAACTTCCTCTGCTGTTATTGGAGAGCATAATATTCGATGTATTTCAAAATGTCATCCACGTGATAATTTCCTTGTGGTTGGTTTAGCGAATGGTGTGGTCTTTTCTTCTTGAGCAACATAGTGGCTTAATTTTGGACTCTTTTAGATCTCATGAAAATGGAGAGCTTACCAAAATATTGCCCTACGATGGAACAAAACCTGGACATTTTATTACATGCTGTCGTAAAGCAGTTTCCTTTGATACAAGTGGTAGTAGTGGTAGCTCCACCATGATGAGTGGAGGAGCCAATAGTGGCAGCTCCTCATTGATGAGTGATGAATTATTGGATGCCACTTTTAAGAATGATCTACTTCGAGTATGGGACACGAGAAATTCAAATTCTTCCAAATGTACAAAGGCATTCCAAGTTTCTCCTATGGCCAGCAATAGCAGTAGTCAGCAATTATCATTGGATAATAGCAGTAGTGGCACGAGCATCGAGTCCTCTTCTTCCATCTCCAGCGCACCCATTGTTTCCTTCGATTTTTATAGTCGTCCTGAAAGTGATCAATTGTTTGCAATTCAACCTGATCGTATTTTGTATTGTAAGGCCTATAGCTTTGTGTCCTCTCGACCCCAGCTACCCCCTCCTCAATTCAAAGTCGCAGGTTCCATCGACGCAAGAGCCGGAATCAAGCAGAAAAAGCTTCCTCCCAAGAAAAAGAGAGACATTCCAATCGATTGTGAAAATAGAGAAGTTTTACATTGTGAAAGCATTGCAGAAAGAACGCTCTCAGGAAATATGGTTGGAATGAATGGTTCAGACAGTAGTGCTTTTTCAAGTGGAGGAAACTACACAGACGTGAAATATCTTCCTCTACACAAACTTTTGCTCATTCCGACCGATAATGGACGTGTGAAGGTGTTCTCTTGATGCTTTTGCTGCAAATTTTATTTAATTGTCTCCTCATATAAATTTGGACCACTCCAAAGTCCAAACCCGCCAACAAACGTTAAAATTCGGTTAGTTTAAAAAATACGAGTTCTGATTTGCCTTACGACGAAAAAAAATGCAAAACTACAAGAAGGTGAAGGTAAGGAATATCTCTCTTCCTCTGTGGTCGTGATGAGTCAAATCAACACTGGTAATGGAATGTTGATTTGATAATGAACGGAATGTTCACTCCGACGAAATTACATGATCATGATCATTGTTGGGTGATGAATGATTTGTGATTGTTGTTGTGCGGCGCTGTGGTTCTGTGAGTAGGTGGTTGGGAAAGGAACCTTCGGACAAGCAGTACTCGTACAATCAAAGATAGATAATAATTTATATATTATAAAACAAATAGAGGTATCTGGGATACCTGAAAAAGAACGAAAGGAAGCGTTGAATGAGGTCAAAGTTCTGAGCTCTTTGCAACACCCAAATATTGTAAAATATGTTGACTCTTTCACGGAAGGAGGAAAGTTAAATATTGTAATGGAATATGCAAGCCAAGGAGATTTATATGAGAAAATTAAGTTACAAAAATCGACCCTTTTTCCTGAAGAGAAAATACTAGATTGGTTCATACAGATATGTATGGCTGTAAAATATATTCATGATAGGAGGATTTTACACCGAGATTTGAAAGTAAGTGTTACAGGATTGAACAGTTGGTGACCATACGAGCTCTAATTGACAAACCAGACCCAAAACATATTTATTGCGGCTGGTAAGTGGAAGAGAGTACGGAATGAAAATTAATGCTTTATGCCTGTGAAGATGGAACGGTTAAGCTTGGTGATTTTGGAATTAGGTATGTTGTCATTTCTTATTCAAGTTGGCGATCAACCATTGGTGTAGCAAGGTTCTGCAGTCGACCATGGAATGTGCAAAAACTCTAGTTGGTACTCCTTATTATTTAAGCCCTGAACTATGTCAGGAAAAACCATATAACAACAAATCAGACGTTTGGTCACTAGGATGTATTTTATACGAGCTGACAACACTCAAACATGCATTTGAGGCAAATAATATGAAGGCATTGGTGGGTAAAATTTTGAGAGGTACCTATCCCCCTATTAGTGCAACATATTCGGCAGAATTGAGAGATCTTGTAGCGAAGATGCTCCAAAAAGATCCCAAAGATAGGCCGAGCATCAATTCTGTACTCAAAGTGCCTTTTATCCAAAAACGAATGGAGTTTCTTCTTGCGAAAGGAGAATCAGAAATGAGGTAAGTGCAACATTTTGAACAGAGTTCATTTGATTCCTTAAAATTACCGCACAGTGGTGAAAAAAAAGGTTCTCCATCTGTCTCAATAATTTCAGATTCCAGCAACTCCAAACCTCCAGCAACACCATCCACAGCCCTTAAAGATAACAAGGTTTTTGCAAATAATGGAATCAACAACAAAATGCCTATTATCGTTAACAACAATCCTCCTCCACCTCTGCTAGCAAAGTAGGTTTTCCATAATTTTCTGAATTGGTTGTTATAAATCTTTTCAACAATAGATATAACGAAAAAGACATCAAAGTTCCATCCAGCAAACTGCCCTCAGCTGCTCCTTCAAAAATTAGTAACTTGGCAGACCAAAGAAATTTAGAAGAAAAAAAGAAGAAAAGGCCTTGCTCGAACAGCGTGAGAAAGAAAAAAGAACGGCTATTGAAATTACAAAAAGAAAAAAGAAAAAACGACAACAAGAAGAGGAGCAACGGTTAAAAGAAATTGCAGAGAGAAGACGAGAGTATGAGTTAAGACAAAAACAATATTTAGAAGAAAAGCTGGAGAAAGAGCGACGATCTATTTACGAAGAAGCAAGGTAAGCGCTCACAAGATCTATCGTACATTCCAATTTCACCTTTTCAACCACAGAATTAATGCATTAAGAAACAAAATGAGGGTTAAGCAAGACGAAGAAAGTGTTTACAACCACAACTACCTCAACATATATCTTCCACAGGATAATGTACCTCCAAAAGAAAACAAGATCAAGAAAGATGAGGATCTTAAAAAGAAGGAAGAAGAAAAACTAGCCCAATTTAGAAAGCAGCAATACTGGGATATCAGAAAACAAGCAGAGATGAACAGAAAACGAGTAGAGTCCCAACTATTTGAAGGATCAGAGCCAGAAAAGTCAGAAGAGCCATCTGTTAAAAAAGATGACAAACTGTCGCTCGCCGAAAGACAGTTGTTGGTAGAAGAAAAAACGAAGGAAGGAACGATTATTGAGACTGAAAGGAAATGTCGTGAACAATGACAATTACAACAGTGGGTATAGATCAAATATTTTAATTAATGATAACCAATTTAATCAACATCATTCAGACGTAGTAAATATGAACAATGCAATATTAATATCCATGAAAAACGTGGTTGGAGATATTAAGAAGAATTATGCCAATGATGACGATGATATTTTTACAAGTCAGGAGCATAACTCAAATACTCCAGGAGACGCTCTTCCTCAAAAGTTCAAGCTCATGGGCAAAACACTTCAATTAGAAAATGCCAAGGAAAATGATTCTCTTAACTTTAGAATCGAAGCTTTACGAAAATATCTTGAAGAGGCTCTTGGAGATGATGCCCTGATTCGAGTGTACAAGCTGTTACGAAGGGATGATGTGGCCGAGGGACTAATCGAGAAAGAAATTCAAGAGCTACTCGGAAGCAAGCAATCATATTTACCTCTTGTGCATCAATTAATATTTTGTGAAGACATTCTGAATGAAAACCAAATCAGCTAATATTTATTTGGACTTGAACTACTTTATTCAAGTGTTGTCATTAAGGTGGAACACTGTTTGGTTTGAGAAAGAGCTTGTCTTATTTCATCTGTCAGCTTAGGATCTGAGGATTTTAGAGCGTGTTTTAGAGATTCTCGAAGACACTTCTCTGCCTCTTTTTCCTTCTTATTGATCAATGCTAATAATGTTAGATATCCCCAAACAGTAGCATTTCTATTATTTTGAATATTGGCTTCATTTAGAGCCTGTTCAGAAAGATCATACTCGGCAAGTCTAAAGTATGCAATTCCAGCACCAAGCCACGCACTGCATGAAGAAACAATTTTAGCAGCATTCAAAAAAGTGTCTCTCGCTCTTTCATACTTTTGCAGCTCTAAATAAATATGGGCCAAACGAAGGAGTAACAAGGCATTTGGATTACTTGAAACACTGAGGGCAGTTTCCAGTTCTTGTTCGGCGTCAGATATTCTTCCAAGTTTGATATGAATAAGGCCCATCATTTCCCAGCTCTTTTCTGACTTGTAGTGAAGCTTTAAAGAAGATTTGAGATTGTCCTCAGCACGTTCGTAATCTTCTCTGATATGGTACACACGGGCCAATTCGAAATAAATGTCTGCATTAGCCTCTCCGTTCTGCATTTCCTCGATCAGTAATTTCTCAGCCAACTTATCCGCATTTACATCCAAAAGAAATGAAGCCACTGCAAGTTTGAGAGGTTGTTTGGGTGATTGACCCAAAAGTTTCTCTAAGGCCAACGTTCCATACAAAAATGCTTGGTGGGCTTGTTTTTCGTTTTCTATGAGTGAGAACAGCAAGGCAAGAAGACCCCAGGACATGAAGTTGTTGTTATCCAAGTCCACCGCTGATTGAAGAAACACTTCTGCCTCCTTATATTGGTTTCTCATGCAAAGCAACACACCGTATAATTGCAAGCATGGCAAATGAGACATGTCTATTGAGAGCGTTTCTCTGAAGGATTGTTCAGCTTTTGCCAAGTCATTCACTCTCATGCTAAACACACCATAGTCAAACCAAAAGTTCTTTGTTTCTTCCTCTATGGAGGAAATTGCAATTCGTTCTTGATGATATCGTGCGGCCAATGGATAGTTAAACTCAGCCTCAGCTTCGTCAGCAAGTTTCTTAAGTTTTTCTGGGTTTTGCGTTTCTAAATGCAGTGGCGATTCCTTTTTCTCCTCGCTCTTGGCCTTACTAAATATTCTATTGATTGCAACATGCATTTGGCGCACCAAGTACACATAAATATCGTTATACAATGATTTGATTTCATTCTCCTTCTTAGTTTTCAGTTCATGTGAAAATTTGTCTTTCACCAGTTGCACCACAGACGCTTTCAATCTTTCCTTAAACGCAAAGTATTTGCCTGTGTGATTTAGCTCAAAAACAAATTGGTCCTTGTCCACATTGCTCTCTTTCTCGATCAGAGACTTATATTCACGTACAAGAACATCGACAACTCCTAAAATTTCTTCATGATATAACTCAACAATGTCTCTACAGGTTTTTTTGTAAAATCAACACTCATTTCACAACACTTACTTTTTCTTTTCCACTTTTTCTCGTTTTGGAATGATATCCGAAGGACGCATATTCGTTCTTGTTCTTTCTTCAGGTTTTGGAATGAGAGAATTTTCAAAAGAAAACTCGACCGATATTTTCGTTCCATTTTCTTCGTAGGGTTTGGAATCGTCTGTTTCTGGAAGAAGTTGAGGAGGGACTGGGTCTTTGGATTTCTTCTTCTTCTTGTTGGCACTCTTGGGTCGAGGATCTGATGGGAAAGAATGATCGTTCGCATCCAAATGACTAAGGACAGATTCCTCACATGATATCTTTGCTCCTGGCTCTAGCAACTCCTTAATATGTTTGCAAAATTTTCCAATGTACTTCTTTTCGTTGTGATCGACCCAACCGTCGACCATCATGTCCTTATTGATGGATCTCAGAAATTTGAAATGAATAACTTCATTGTTGACACATAGGTGTTCGAATCTTTTCATTGCCTCTGAATCAAGAAAGAATGTTTGTGTATCTTTTTGCCATGCCACAACAACCTCGCTCTTTCCTGTTTCATGCTCATCCTGTGAATGTAAATACATTCTTCCTCCTCTGAAATAGTAATACTTGGTAGCATCTCCTATTGGGAGTGCACAAATGGTTGTGAATTCAAGAGGGATTTCCGAAATGTTTTGAGCGTCTCTTGGAAGCCAATTTCGTGGTAAATTATGCATTGGTCCTAATTTTATGGTCAATAAATTTCCTCCTTCTTTCTCATGAGGAAGAAGAAGAGGATCAGACAATTCAATGATGACTCGGACCTTCGGAATTTCTTCATGTATTGCTCCTTCCTCGGTGACTGTGACCGTATGAAAAGAATCAATTTGTGAGCTTGAGAAAAGCCCAGAAAAGTCAATGTCAACCACTCCAAATTCTATTGCATTTTTGTCATCTTCTCCCTTAATCATTTTTACTACCAAAATGTCTGCTCCAATGTTATTTATCACAAGGTTGAGTAGATCCTGTTGATTATGGCATGTTTTAGTTTCCATCATACGATCCTACGACTCACTTACCTCCACCTTTGCAGAAAATGTTTTCTCAATTCCGAGAGCAGAAATTTCAGCATCAGTCACGACTTTTGATTTTTCAACTTCTCCGTTCATGAAACAAAAGGAAAAATGATACTTGGCTGGAGTTTTGGCGTTCTTGACCTTGGGCCAATTTTGACCCTCCACGATTTTCACTTCTACAAAATTAAAAACGAAAAGCACGGAACCAATTGAAACCAATAGAATAATTGGAAAGACAATGAATGGTTCATTCCGAATCAAGCACGAACTCACTTACTGAAATGCGTGGTTCTTGATGTCATTTATTTTTTATAATTGTTTTTTCGGCTTGAATTTTTGGCGCCATCCGAATTTTACGAAATCAATAATACATTGGGTCAATATATATATTCCAGTCAACACATGCACATGCGAGTGTTTGTGTATAGATATGGATCCTCCTCAGTGGATATTAAATTCTTAAATTCTCTTAATGAAAGGTTCCGTGTCGTTGAAACATTTCTGAAACACTTGCTCCACCGTTTTGGAATTGTTTTCTCCATGACATACAGAGCTGTGATTGAGAGAGAGAGTCGCTCTTCGTTTGACACAATTCATAAATTGTCCTCTCAAACTACCAACGTTGCCTCGTTTTGTTTCATAGAGAAATCCACATTCACCACTCAATGAAGAAGCTCTAATTTCAGCACAAGCCATTTGCTCACAACTTTTCCAATTCACCATCGCTCGGCAATCATCAAAGGCATGTATGAGTTCATGAAGAATGACAGTCTTGTCATCCGCTTTGGAATATCTATCCATCACATCTTCACAAAGTAATATTCCTGGTTTACCAAAATAATTTTCGGTCGAGATGACATCCTCTTCGTCATTGTGTTGGCTTTTTTCAAATGAATGATTATCAAACGATCCAAGAACATAGGCAGCAGTGAATTTAGGTTTGTCTGTTGAACTATGTAAACATCTTTCGCATCTGAAAAAAGGGTTCGGAAGTGGACAGCCAATTCGTTCAATTTCTCCCAACACGTATGTGATCAGAGGGTCTTCCAATTGTTTTTTAACAAATGCAACACAGTTCCGATGCGATTGCATGAGTGCATCTTTTGTGGTGTTGCCCGAAGACGATGATGACGACGAAGAAGCGGATTCAGACATTTTTGTTGTCTTGACAAAATTTAAAATTGATTGAAATGCAATGTAAAGGCTTCACAACATGAATAATTTCTTGGGAATTCTTGGCCATTTTAGCAACATCATATTTGGACTCCAAACTCGTTCCTTTGTCAATACAAGAAGACATATTTTGAGTGAATTTAACTCTCTTCCAAATCTAGAGACCATTTTCATTGTTCATCAAAAAAAATGAACAAAGGCACAAAATCGCCTTCAAATCGAAGGAAACAACAATCAACGGCCAGCGAATCACAAACATCTAAACAGAAAAAGAATGATCCATTGGATTTATTAAGTGATAATAATAATATGAATGTTCACACAAAAGATGCCTCCGATGATCATATCAACCTCATGGGATCAATTCTCCGAAAAAGTAAACAAAAGTTGAAGAAGCAAATTAAGAAGAAGAATGCAAAACACCAAAAACAACATGTTACAGTTCACGAGAAATCTATTGTAAAAACTCAGCGAAATTCCTCTGATAGCAACACGAAAAAGAGAAAAACACAAAACGATCGAAATCAAGAACCTAAAAAGAGGAAAAATCAGAAAGAGCCAGAAGCAACAGACATGCTTTATGAAGATGACTTGTTACAGGAAGACGAGAATGATGAAGGACCTTATCAACCTTTTGATTACAATTCCGATGAATCTGATATTATTGATGATTTAGAAGAAGAAGCCATCAAAAATAACAAATCAGATGCTGTGTTTGTGACTAAAGAAATGTTGGAAAATATTCGTAAAGATGAAGAAGATCCAGACGATAAAATTATTGCTACTCTTGAAAAAAAGTTGAAAATGAATAAGAAAAAGAAACCATTAGATGAGATTGATTCAGATCCCTTAAAGCCATCTGAATTAGAACAATATGTGAATGAAAAAAGAATGAATAAGAAGAAATCTATGAAAGAAACCACAAAACAGCAAGAAGATGATAGTGATGATGGCGAGGAAACTCTGCCTGGATATGAAGAGCCTGAAATTAACGAAGAAGATTTACAAGCATTCGAAAATGATGGCACTATGTTTGACTCCATGCTCGGAAATATTGACCCAGAAGATGTGATTGATCTTGATGCTGAAATTGACGCCATGATTGAAGCAGAAAAACAAGGAATGTCCTATAGCGACTTTTTGCAAACAGAGATACCGTCTCTAGCAACCAAGATGAGAACTGTCAATCACCGATCATCCGACCTCTCCGAAGATGAAGAAAACGAGGAGGACAACGAGGAGAATGAGGACAGTTTGGAAGATGATGGTGAAAATGAAGAACACTCGGAAGAGGAAGCGACAAACAGTTCAACATCAAAATATGTCCCGCCACATTTAAGGAAAAAACAAATTATGGAGGGTGGTAAAAAGAGCGAAAGTTATTTGACACTTCAAAAAAATGTTCGTAACTTACTGAACAAGTTATCGCTAGCCAATTTAACGCCTCTCACAAAGGAAGCTCTTTCATTATATAACAAGAGCAGCAAACATGGTAAGTTCTTGGTTATTTGTGAATTTGGAAGTCAAGACTGATTCATGCTTCACAACAGAATTCCATGAGATTATTACAAATGCTATCATTGAAAGTGTTTGTGACACTGTAGATTTGAAGAGCCAATTTATTCTAGTTTATGCTGCATTTATAGTTGCTCTTCACAACATTGGAGATATAGGTATTGGTGCTTATTTCATTGAAAAGCTTATTCAAAAGTTTGATTCTATCATGACTGAAAGACATCAAGCTTCAAATTTGCTGACCCTAATTTGTCATGTATACAATCTGGGAGTAAGTAAGAGTCTTCAATGGGTTGCTTAATGATAACATATTTCACTATTCATGATTAACAGTTAATTTATTGCGGACTCATTTATGACATTATTCGAATGTTATGTCTCAACATTAGCGAGTTGAATGTTGAATTTTTGTTCAAATTGTTGCAAACCTGTGGCTTCCAGCTGAAGATTGACGATCCAGCTTCCATGAAGGAAATTATTGAAGTTGTTCAATCCACTTTTGAAAAGTATGAAGAAAATCTCAAAGATGAAGGATCACCAGTGGCCAAGAGAATGAAATTTCTCGTTGAAATGATTGTTGATTTGAAAAATAACAGAAAACGAAAATTTCAAGAAGATATCTCTGAGCAATACAAACAATTGAAGCAAACAGTGAAAGATATGCAAAAGCAAGAGAAAAAGACTGGGGAGAATACTCTGAGAATTCCATATACTGACTTAATCCAGGCAGAGACTAAAGGAAGATGGTGGCTAGTGGGTTCAGCTTGGGTTGGCAATCAAGTAGGCTCAGAGAGCGATCATTCCCAAGCTTCCTCTCTTGCATCCCTCAAGAATAAGGACTTTATTGCAAACGCCCTGACAGACATGGATTCTAAATTGATTCAAAAGCTAGAAAAACTTGCCAAAGACCAAAGAATGACTTCCGATTTGCGAAAGGCTGTGTTTTACATCATTATGGGAAGTGATGACTTTCTTGATGCATTCCAACGTCTTGTAAAACTTGGTATCCAAAAGAACAACAGAGAAATTGCAAGAGTACTTTTGCACTGCTGCTGTCAAGAGAAGAATTACAACCCTTATTATGGTAAATTGGCAGAAAAATTGTGTAGCGTTGAAAAAACAGGACGAGCCCTCCAATACACCTTTTATGAATACTTTGATGAATTGAGCAAGAGTTCGATTCGTAAGATTATTAACCTAAGTCAAATTTTGTCTGAATTGATTGGAAAGGGATGCATTTCTATTGCCATGCTCAAAATTGTTGATTTTAACTCATTGGCTCAGTTGGATATTGTGTTTTTCCGGCTGCTCATTCTGCATTTGCTTTTGGACTTTACTGAAGTTGAAACAACAAGATGCTTCCTCAGATTAGCTAAATTGGATGAGCACGAAGAATTGAAGGAGAGTCTTATTTTGTTCCTTTACCAATTCGTGAAGAAGGAATTTAGAAGAGGTTTTATTTACGAACTGCTTTCCATCACAAACATTTCAAAGAAGGATGATAAGAAATGGCTGAAACAGCAAGAGAAGTTGGCCAAGTCACGAGCAAGCCTCATGCGAAAGGTTTTGAGAACGGATCTGAATGAGTTGGACTAGTTCTTGGATGCAATGCTAACGGCAGTAGGTTCAATAAATTTCATGCCATTGTAAACTTTTACACTGAGTTGACTAAAATTTGAAAAAAATTTGTTGAAAAAAAATAACGTCAAAGGTATGTCTCTATCCCTCCCTTTCATTTTTTCAAATATTCACTAAAACTCTTCTTGTTTGAACATCATCAACATCATCGCTTCGCCTTTTAAATCATAGAATGTCCTTGGATAAGAGAGTTACATTGAGAAGAAAAAAGACCTACGGAACAAGATCCAACCTCAAGAAGATGGTCAAGACACCATCTGGTAGATTGGTTGTTCAATTCACCAAGAAGAAGGTCAACGCTCCATCCGTTCCAAAGTACTTGGGTGGTGAAGTTGTTAGAGGTTTGAAGAGATTGAGACCTTCCGAAAATAAGAGAGCTGCTATGTCTGACAGAACAGTTTCCAGAGCTTATGGAGGTGTCTTGAACCACAACCATCTTAAGGAAAGAATCGTCCGTGCTTTCTTGATGGAAGAGAAGAAGATTGTCAAGCAAGTCAAGAAGATCAAGGCCCAAAAGGACAAGCAAGCTGAAAGCAAGTAAATTTTCTCTCAATAAATAATAACATAAAAAATTCATTAAAAGTACCTATACATGGTTTTTATTGTGACAGACGTCAAGAGGAAATTTTAATCGTCTCTTCTATTGCGACGCATTCTGTCTCGCCTTGAGCTCTTCCTTTCGGATTTTTCTTCCTCTTCTTCCTCTTCCTCTTCGTCATCCTTTTTCTTTCTTCCTTCTCGTCGTGAAGATCTTCTGCTTGATCTTTCTTCTTTTTCTTCTTGCTCTTCATCCTCCTCCTCTTGGTCTTTCTTTCTTCGGGAACGTCTATCTCTTCTGGAACTCTTCTCCTCTTCTTCCTCCTCTTCACTTTCCTCGTCCTTCTTCTTTCTTCTTGCAGACCTTCTGTCACGTCTACTGCCGCTCTCCTTTTCATCCTCCTCATCGGAATTTTCTTCCTCACTCTTCTTTTTAGTTTCTTGAGCTTCCTCCGATTCTGCCTTGGGTGTTTCAATTGGCTGAATTGGTTCTCTTTTTTCTTCGGTAGCGACTTGAGAAATGTCCTCTTTAACTTCGTTGCTACTTGGAGCTTGCTCTTCAATCACTGCAGATGATTTTGGCTCTTCCTTTGTTTCGACTACTACAGAAGGTTCTTCAGGTTTTGGCTGCTCGGCTGTTTCAACTTTTGTTTCTGTTTTTACCTCAGATTTTGGTGTGACAGGTTGACGCTTGCTTGATTTTGGTGTAGCAGGACTTGTCTTTGCATTTGGCGATCGAGGAGTTCTTGAAGATTGTTTTGGTGTTGTTACAGATGATTTTGTCTTATTGACATTTGGTGTTCCTTGGTTAGCTTTGATATTTTCTACAAGTTGTTGATATTGCTGATCATCCTTTGGTTTTGTCATTTCAATTTTCATGGATTTTACTTTTTGCCTCAACAACTTGACTTCCTTTTCCAACTCTTTTCTTTTCTCCTCCTCAACTGCACGAGCTCGGGATACATGTTCCAATTGGTTGTTCAAATCCAAGACAATGACCTCCCACTGCCCATCAGCTGTTTGTACAAGCTTCTTTGACTTTTTCAAAAACTTCTTCAAAATAAGAGTGAGTGTACTTAGTAGCTCTGAGATTGAAATTTTCAAGTCGGAGAAGGTGTTTTTGATCATGGCTGTCATCTCCTCATTAGAAGAGGTTCTATTGGTAATAAGAAAGAGAATCATTTCCTCTTGGACCTGTTGGAGCTTATCATTAAAGCGATTCTTCCAATCTGTAAGTTGTTCCACGGCAGGATTGATGCTAACTGTTAAGTGCAGAGTTGTTGGACGTAAATGTATTGCCTCATTTCAAATCATTATGAACCAACCAATCAATACTTACAGTCCTGGTTTGGAGATGCTCCCATTGAGGTTGGACTCATACTCAAAGCGGAGTCCATGGATGACTTTACCATTTGCTATTTAGCATTCAATATTGATGATTTTCAAAAGATTCTACTCCATATACCTACCATAGAGTGGAGTCTCCTTAGACTTTCATTCTTTGCCATATTCTGCCTATTGATCATTCATTGAGTAAGAAGAAAGCAACATTCATCATCATCAATATATTATAATTGGTATTTTTCTCGTAACGATGATTATCATTATGAAAAACCTACAGCTTGATTAAGGGATCGCTTCTACTACTGTGATTCATTTTTTTTCGAGCTTGGTGGTTTCATCACCAGTTTGTACCATTTCATTCATCATACTGGTCATGGTGTTCAACAATCTTACACCCATGACGAGTCTGAGAGGATCAATTAATCTCAAGAACTCTTTCTTGTTCTCAGGACTCATGATAGATGTAAGATCATGAGGAAACCCTTTTACCACATAGTATCCATCACCATCACTATGTGGTAAAAGGGTTTCCTCAAGGCGCGCCATAAGATTTTCTATCCCAAGAAAAAAATGTAGGTATTAAGGCTGATTTTTCATTGACTCAAATTTTAACGACAATGTCCAAATTATGGATGATGATTTTGTTGTTGTACATTCACGAACATTTTACGAAATGTGTAACTAAATCGCGCGATAAAGGGAGGAGAAAAAGATAGAGGCGAATGGGTTTAGCGAGAATGCCGCCCTTGAGGATATTCATGCTACACGTATGTTATTGGTGGTGTTAACTATTGATCGTTGAAGATGATCACTCCTTTCAGTATTTTCATTCTTCAATGTTTTGAACGTTCTATCTGGAGTTGATGATGTAATGGGCCCAGCATCAGAGTAAGTGGTAACATTCTTGTTCGGAACATGATCATCGGAATTTCTTCTTGACTTATTCCACAATCAAAGACTGTTTACAAAATTGAACGAGGAATGCAACTCAAATGGAAGGCACATCAAAACATTCTTCGAAGATCAGATGGAAAGGCTGAAAAAAGAAGAGAAAGAAGTATTGGAAATTGGTAAGCATTCAAAACCTTTTATAACTTATTGGCTACAATTTTTGTCATTTAAACAAACAGTGGAGGTTAGAGAACACGCCAAAAGGTTATTACAAAATGAATTACAAAAACTAGAGGCCTCAATTGAGGAGGCTCGGAAAAAGGTAAGTGATGTCTGGATCTGAAAGTGATGCTTAAATATTAATCACTTAATACAGATGAAGTCAATTACTATTGCATCTAAATGTGTTAAGGCCGCTCATAGCTACCTCTTTGAAAATTTATCTGGTCACAAGTTGGCATCTCTTTCAGACCCTTCTTTAGAAAAAAAGCTTGAAAGTTTTCTTTGGTTTTTGCAAAATTCAACAAACTCGACATCGGATTCGGTAACTAAAACAGCATTAACAGAGTTCTATAAATTATGTATTAATTTGGATGAAGAATTATCGATGTATGAAAATTATTGGAAATTGATAACTCACTTGCTTATTGAGCAAGCGAAAACCTCTAGGCCTGACATTCAACATCTCCAACTAGGAATAATTTCAGAGATATGCCGAAAAGAAGAGTACTCCTTTGTTGTGAGAGAAGCAAAGGGATTTGAATTTATTTCAAAACTATTGAAGTCTATTAATGAACTAGTGAATGGGGAAGGTAAGAGGTTTTTCAAAAATTTTCAAACTATTGACTTTACACTGAAATAGCTTGCTCCTGCATCACATCATTCTCTTTGTCCCCTGAAAACAGAAGACATTTGGGAGAGATAGGTACAATCCAAAACTTGTTAGACCTGATATGGCGAACACAAAATGAAGAGTCTATAGAAAAAGCGATCACTGCTTTGTGGCATTTATCAATAGATGATGGAAACAAAGTTTTAGTTCGCACTTGCAATGGCATCCCTTCCATTTGTTCTCTCTTGAAAAGTTCGAATGTTAGCATTCTTGAAAATACAACGATAGCTTTAGGATATTTAACTAGAGATGACGATAATAAGACCTGTGTAAGAGAATCAGAAGGTTTAAAGCTGTTATTGGATGTACTACAAATCAATAATGATGGCTTGCGTAGCAAAGCAGCAGGAGCTTTGTGGAATTGTGCTTCAAATAATGAAAACAAAATCTATCTTAGAGAGATACAGGCAATACCCAAACTAATCGATCTATTGGATTCCAACAATACCAGTGTTTTAGAAAATGTCACTGGATGTCTATGGAATTTAGCTGTTGACAACGACAACAAGAAAGAAATATTTGAAAAGGGAGGAATACCAAAACTGATACAATTACTAACAACTCAGCAAAATGAGGCTGTGTTAGAAAATGTGACAGGGACGCTTTGGAACTGTGCAGCATTGGCTGATGTGAAAATTACTATCAGAAAAGCAAACGGTATGAAACCTCTGTTGGCGTGTCTGAAATTAGAAAATGAGAACATTAGAGAAAATGCTGTGGGAGCTCTCAGAAATTGTGTGATTAATGATCAGAACAAGCAAGCGTTGGGAGAGATTGGTGGAATTCAAGAATTATTTATTGCTCTTGGAGACGAAACAAAATCTTCAATTATAGAGAAAATAATAAGCACTTTGTGGATTTGTAGTATTGACAATTTAAATAAGAGACTTATTCAAGAATGTGGAGGGATTCAAATTCTAGTGAGTCTTTTGAACAATTCCTCTGCTTCCATTGTTGAAAAAACGCTTGGAGCTCTCAGGAATTGTTCTTCAAACGGTAAGTATGGTCTGTACTATCATAATTATGAAAGGTTAACACTGTATGGCCAAAAAGTTGAGAGTATTCAAGAAATAAGGAAGACCAATGCGATACCTAAATTGATCGAGCTTCTCACATCAGAAAGCGCCTCAATGAGAGAGTATGCAGCTGCTACTATATGGAACTGCCTTCGACTTGATGATGTGAAGATTGATTTCAGAAGCAATGCTGGCGTTGAGGTATTGTTATCCCTTCTTGCCGACACGTCTGAAAGCATTTTGGAAAATACTATTGGAGCTTTGTCAATACTTTCCTCAGATGTAGAAATAAGAGATAATATGAAAGAAAGTTTCTCAGCTTTGGCCAATATTTTAGAAACATCTCAAAACGAGTTCATACAGGAAAACATCCTTGTAATATTTAAAAATTGTTCAGCGAGTAGTAAGTTTTTATTTGTTGACTTTGCGAGAAGCTCACACCGATAAATGAAGAATCCAATATGAAAGCTTTGGGAAATGAGAACAAAGTCCTTCCTACCTTATTGAAGATTCTTACCTCATCGAAAAGTGATAACGTAATGAAAGAAGTGATTTTGTGTCTCAAAAACCTGTCTCTAAACGAAGATATCAGCACAAAAATAGGAAAACTGAGAGGTTTAGAAATGATCTTACACACCATTAATACCTCCAAGAACGAAAACTTGAAAAAAGTTTGTGCTCTCACTGTACAGTCATTGGCCAAAAATCGTAAGTGTTATGTTGGAGAGATGATTGACAATATTGTATTTCATGAACAAACAACAGCTAATAATATGAAAATTATTGAAAATTTAAAAAAAAGAAGCATCAAAAGCTCAGAATGACATGAAAATGCATTGATGTAACAAAATCTATCATTAATTTAGCTCTTCAGAATTTACAAAATGTAATAATATACAAATATTAACAGGAATGTGATCAGAAACATTCCTATATAAATCAAATACTTGTCTCTCAAATATCTTCTTTCTATCGTCCTGATTGTAGATTGGGAAATTCCCAAGGTGGATGCCATTCCCAAAACTTTTTCGTGAACCATTTTCATTGTTTGTCTTTGCTCCACAAGCATGGATGCCACATCGATTCCAACACTCTTCATTTGTTCAATTAATCGATTAGAGTTGTCTAGAGATCTGTTTTGCATTCCATATTCTGCCATTGCCTCTTCAAAAACTTGTTCCTCGTTTGGTGAGGAGGATCGTCTCGAATAACCTTCGTCTCCTAAATCCAACAATTTGTTTTTGTTTTCTAAATTATTTTGTCTCTTTTCCAAATTATTCATGGAGATGTTAATAGAGTGTAACTCTTGACTCAGTGACGAAACATTCATCTGCCACTTGTCTTTTGATTTTCCTCTTGGTAAATTTATGTAATAATCTCGGAGAGTCTGTTCATAATTTTTGAGTATTTTGATATTATTCTTGAGTGATTCTTTGAGTTTTATGAAGGGAGAATTTTCTGATGGTGATGTTGCAGCTGAAAATCCCTCCTCCAGAGTTTCCTCATTCGTCAACTTCTTTCCACCAGACATTCGTCTCTTATACGTTCGTGTATTGCTCAAATGTATTTGATCATCGGAATTGTATTCTTTTGAAAGTTGTCCAGAGAGAAGAATTGTCTCTGCCTCTCCTAAATCTTTTTGTACTGAAAGCACCAAATTTTTGCTTTCTCGGAGCAATTTCTCCATAGCGTCGTGACCGTTGGCTTGTCTCATTTTTTTGTTCTAATTGAGATTGAAATTCTTTTCCTTCTCTTGGAACTTGGCCTCACAGATGACATTGCAACGATTACCGAGCCACATCATCGCTCCCGAATTTACGAACCAAGTCCAACGCACCAGAAAATTAATAATATATTTTTTGTTTTATTTGATTAATAGAAGAATCCGAGAACCTTACCACCAGTGTGCTTTTGTCTGGCTTCCTCGTGGTCCATAATACCCTTTGATGTGGTCAAAACAACATAACCAAATTGACGGGATGGGAGCAAGTTGGTAACCCACTTTTCAATTTCTGGAACAGTAACGTCATATCTTGGGGAAATGACACCACACTTGTTGATTCTTCCGGTCAATTCAACGACAATCTTTCCGGATCTATGGTCATCAATCTCTTCGAATTCACCAATGTAACCATGCTTTTGCATGACTTCCAAGAACTTGGTAATAGTCTTTGAAGCAGGTCTAATCAAGACTTGTCTTCTTCCGTCCTTCTCAGCGTTTCTGATGGAAGTAAGGGCGTCGTTAAGAATGGAGGCTCTCACCATTTTGGCTGTTGTGTCGAGTACGAAAAACAATGAACAAGTTTGGATGAATGTTAGATTGAATGTGGTAGATGGCGAAACTCACCTTTGTGAATATTTTTTTTCAACAAATTTTAAAGTTTTTATGGTCAACCCAATATAAAAGTTTACAATGAAAGGGAAACTTTTGCCTCTTTATTTTGAAGAGCTTCTCTCAAACTTTTCGAGGTCCTCCAAGAACAGCAGAATCGTAAAAGTATTTTAACTATCTATCCTTCTGATTCGACATCACAACTACAACATATTGATCAATTTTTTGAATCCTCTAATTTTCTCTCCCTTCAGCTTCAACCAGCTCTTTCGTTTACTCTTCAAAAAAAATACCTCAACAACTTATTGTGGAATTTCTCATCTTTTCAATTCCCATTATTATAATTATTATTCTTATATTAGTAATTTAGATCGAAATGCCGTTGTTTGATCCTGTGGATGAACCCAAAGTTAAATCGTGGTTGGTAGGAATTTTGAAAGAACTTTGTCCTGCCGATCCAGAGTTGTTGGCCGATTACGTGATTGCACTCATACGAGATGTATCTGATTACTCAACAGTTTCCGCCACTTTGAAAGAGCAGTTGAGTGAATTCTTGCAAGATAGTGTTGATAATTTTGTGGAGAGGTTTATCACATACTTAAAGTCGCATCAACAAAAAGCCACTCAAAAGCCACAGCAACCAATTGCAAAACCAATAACTACTCCCCAACAACAACCTTCATCAGCTGTTCCTTCACCAACAACAACAACCACGAACGAAAAAAAGCGAGTGAAAGAGGAAGAGGAAACACGAGACACTAAGAAAGTGAAAACATCATTGACTACTTCATCAACTCCATCAAAGGATACCTCAAAATCAAGAGCTGAATCTTCCGATAGCAAATCAAAATATTCTCGAGAAATCAAAGATTACGACACTGAAAGGAGGCGTGATGACAAAAGAAAAGATTCTCGAGACAATCGTGATAACAGAAAAGACTCTAGAGATTCTCGAGACTCAAGAGACAGCTATGACAAAAGAGAGACCCGAACAACAAACAATAGAGAAAGCAAATACAGCAAGGATGGAAAAAATCAAGACAAACAATCCTCCGACAAGGAGTTTAAAAAGAAAATTACAGGAGATGTTATCAAAGATTCATATGGCAATGATATTGTTGTACTGAATAAGGACATCTTGACCGATCCATCCTCTGCAAGATTGCCATCCGTGAATACTATCATGCTAACTGATGTCCCATTTGAATTGAATCGTCTTCACAAATTGTACTACTATTTTAAGAGATTTGGCCCCATTAAGAATATCATGATCAAGCAGCACAATGGAAGAGCTTTTATCCAATTTGTAAATAAGGAAGATGCTCAACAGGCTCTTCAATCTCCTGATGCAATTTTGGACAATCGATTCATTAAATCTACGTGGGCTAAAAAGAACAGCTGCTGAAATGAAATTGGAACATGGCTCATCAGAAAAGGAAGAAAATCCAGAACTAAAAACAGAGGTCTTGAAACAAACTTCTGAAGTTACTAAGAAGGCAGAAGAAGTTCTCTCTAAGCAATTAGAAATGTACAAGGATTTGGAAAAGAAACTTGAAAAAGCTGAAGGAGATCAAAAGAAGCAATTAGCTGAGATTATGAAACAGCTCTCCAAAACCATTGAAGAGACTTTAGTGCATCAAAAGAACATTCTTGGCAAGGCTCAAGAAATTGGAAAAACAAAGCTTGAACAAAAACTCGAATTCTTCAAGAGAAAGAAGGAAGAGCTCAAAGATCAAAGTCTCGACGAAGGTCTCAAACAAATCACGGAAGCTAGTCCATCATTGGCCTCTTCTTCAGCAGGAAGAGAGGCTCCAACACTTAGAGGCAGAGGTGCTGCATTGGTTGCTGGTAGATCTCTCGTCAAGGACAACAAATCGACCACATTGTACGTGACCAATATTCCTGAGAGTAAGAGAAACCTAGATGACATTCGTTCTCATTTCTCAAGATTTGGACATGTGGAGAATCTTGAAGTTTTAAACGATGGTGCATGTCTTGTGAAATATCGATTCCGTTCTGAGGGAATCAAGGCATCCAAGGAAGGATCTGTACTTGATGGAAATACTTTGGAGTTCAAGTGGAAAGAGGAGCCAAAACCTAATTCAGCATCAAACGCCACTACATCAGAAGCAGCATCGACAAGTAGCACTACCGCCACGGCCACCACAACTACTCAATAAGTCTCCAACATGTGTTATTTCTCTTGGGTTCTTACTGACATTTGCCTGATCAGTACGTATTGACATCTAGGAGAACCAATCGCTTCTGTTGTATCTTCAAACCTCTCGGACGTGATATGTTATAGGTTCACCAGTTAAACCATTACAACATCACGCCCCAATAAAGCCAAAGCAAAAGAGCAACAAGCAAAACAGAAAAAGAGCATGAAACAAACATTTCTTCAATTCCGATGATGTTCTTCTTTTGTCAAGTCAGCTCCCAGTTGAAAAAAGTTGAGCAGTTATTTATCGTGTTCTTTGAAAGACCCGTAATGTCGAGTAAAATTTATTCATTACATTTTAGAATTGATTCATCATCATTTCGATCATCATGCCATCATCACATTAATTGAACTTTAAAATCTGTATGGCATTTCTGGATTCAAACGAAGATACTCTTCAGAGACAATATCGTTCACTCGTTCATGGAGAGGTCTTGTATCTCTTGGCCTTTCTCGTTCCAATGTTACTTGTTTAATTATATTTTCAATATCCGAAGCTGTTAAATTCTTCAAATCTTGTTTTTCTCTCACTCCGTAATGACGTTCTACCATCATAAAAGGCTCATCAATATCAGGAGTTTCTCTGACCAACAAGCCTGTATATGGGTTCAACGTTTTAATATCAGCATAATTGTTTTGTAAGAAATCTCTCACTCCCTTGCTTTGGGCATTCTTCGGACAAAAGTAGAAAATCAATTGATGAACATTCTTTGAAAGCTTTCCTCGCCAAGACATTTTTTTAAATTTTATTTTCATGAATTCGAGCGACAATAAGACTGCAAAACTGCACAAGACAAGAACAAGACATGCTAATTAATTTCACTTGAGAGGACCAAGCAAGTATATTTACATGATTTAGAATCCTAGAAATAATTAGAAAAAGTGACAAAGAGTTATTTCGGTACTGGGATTGGAACACGTCATTACTTGACCCAGACTCTTCCTGGAACACCGTCATCTGCGACGTTTGCGATAGGCTCTACGCCAAGCTCATCCTCAATACCATATTGTTGCATCTTGGCATTGATCACACGGATTAAATCATTGTAGCTCTTTTTCATCTTTTCAATTTCAAATTTAAGTTCTCGTATCGTGTTGTTTTTCTCTTCAATCACATTGTCCAAACCTTCCGTGATTTCTTCAACCGTCCTTTCATCGATATTACAAGCTTTGAGAATTTCATGAATCTGTGCATCTTTCTTTTCCAGATTTTCTTGGAGGGCATACACCTTCGTCTCGAGTACCTGATTCTTGAAGAGAGTTTTCTGTTGCACATCGTGAATGGTTCGTTCAAATTTGTCGTACAACTCGTCTCGTTCTTTTTGTACTTGCTTGTGGCTTTGTTCCAAAATTTCATGTTCCCATTTGAGCTTTTTGAGCTGATCTTCCATCATGACTAATCTACTTTTAGCATTTTTCAATGATAATTTGTCCTTTTGATAGTTGGCTAATTCATTTCTTAGCTTTTTCACTTCTGCAAGGGCTTTAACAAGAGGCTCACTCAACCTCTTATTGTCTTGAGCAATTTCAAGCATGAGTTTCTCGTTATCGGCTTCCTCCTGTTTCATTTGAGCGGCTTCATCTTTCAGAGTCTTGATCAGCTCCAAATTGTTTCTTGTGATGGTAATGTAATAATCTTTCATTTGTTGGAAGGCCAATTTGTGCTTTTCCATAAGCTGTTTAATATGTGTGTTCTTTCTCTCCTCAATTTCTTCGGTTTCTTTTCGTCCTCTTAGTTCCAAATCTTCTCTGAGTTTTTTCATCTTCATTTCATATTTGAGCTGTGTTTCTTTCAACTTTCTTGCAAATGTTTCAGTTTGTTTTGTCAGATTCTTGTCTTGATTGGTTTTTAAACCCTTGATTTCTTCTTGGTAGGCAATTTCCATAGAATGAAGCTCTCTTTTTAATTTTCGCTTGTCAGATTTTAATTGAGCTAGTTTTTGTCGGAATTCATCTGCCTGAATTTTGAGGGCATTCTCACTTTCAATTTTCAAGCGATCGATCGTAATTTTTTGTTCATAAAGCAAATGTCTCACTTTTTGTTTGTATACTTTCAACTCGACTTGATGCCGTTCTTCGTTTTCTTCCATCTCTCGATGTAGGTTTCTAACTTCTCCTTTCAAATTGTCAATCTCCTTCTTTGAAATATCCCAAAAAGAATTTATACGATCTCTTTCAAGTTGATAATAATTTCTGTTTCGTTTTGTCTCTTCCAGCTCCGCTTTCAATTCCTCCAACGTTTTTGCATCAGCTGCCGCATTTCCTGCAGCCGGCTGTTCCTGAGGCTTGTTAGCAGTGCCTCGGTTTTGCCGATTGTTGTTAGTGCTCATTTTTTTTACGTTTCGAAATGGTTTGTAAATTTGATGGCGCCAAAAAATTTTCAGAAGTTGTCTTTTCTTCATTATTGGATCCACATGGGACAAGAAATATAATTTCAAAAGATCCTCAAATCTCTTGACATTCCATTGAGATGCCTCAAAAGAGAGGGTGTGGACATTTCAGGAGGAAGGATAATCGAGAAAGAATCATCACCTTCTTTCGAAGTGGAGGGAAATATTCATTCGTGACGAACCTCAAGGCGCTGTCAATAACGTTATTGTTAGCTACTTCACTTCTCTTCAAGAAATAAATTACCTTTCAAAGCACAATAGGAAGAGTCATTGACAAATCCAACTAATTCTTGATCTCATTGAACACCGTCCATCCCAATTCATATTCAGTATAAATCTCTGATAAATGCACTCCAAAGGATTTCCCATTCTGATCCACATACATAGGTCACACATTGTCCTAAATCAGGATGATGACCAAAAGCAAAGTGTTTCTCAATATCCTTCCAATAAGAAGCATCTACAAGATTCAGCCTTCCTCCCGTTAATGCATCATTGACGTCATACTGTCCATACTTTGGATGTGGTTTAAATTTGAAATTGGGATTCAAGCTCTTGAATTGATGTTCGATTTTTTCCTCGACTTTTCCTTCGGAGGCCCAATCGTATCGATTCACGAACACAATTTTGTGACCTTGGTGATGTTGTCCATGAGAAATGCCAACTTCAGAGCATTTTGCAAGCAGATCTTGAGCAGAGATGCTTTCATGATGAACAATAAAGGTGTTTGTGAGGTTGTTGTTGTAATTGAAGAATGGTTACGCTTTGGAATGGAGAGTCGTAATGATGTGATACTAACTCCGATGATGAAAAGAGGAGAAGACTCTTCATCCTCCGAACATTAAACATGACCCCACAGAAATTCTCCAGATTGGCATTCAAATGCACACAAGACAGAAAACGAGGAGAGAGGTACATTGGAAACGAGGAGGTTGTTGTTGTTGCTGAGCGATGATGATTTCGAATTCACATCATGATGATGACAAGATGACATTTTTTGTGTTGAACGATGAAAACCGAACCTAAGAGATTAATGTTATCCTCAACGCATCAACGAATCGATCGTTCAACTCAGAAAAAATGTTCCTCCATCACAGCAGCAAACAATCGGACACGAATAGCACGACCGATTATTCAAGTCCAGTAGTTCTGATCGGGAATGAAAATAATGGCATTCATCACGGTGATGATCGGGTCGGAAGGACGAGTGATATAGAAATGATTGAAATGAATGGACAACATCATAGGACAACAACGAATGAACATCCTCATAATAACAATACCAATAATCATCATCATCATAATATTGTACAAATTACAACAAATTGTGATGGACACGATCAAACGGATTATGATTCGGTTGATGAAGAACTCAAAGGAAATTCAGAAGATCCTACAAATAATATTATTGCGAATACAACTCTCAAACTCTATCAGGCATGGATCGGAAATAACACTCTCTGTTGTAAAGGGAGAATTATTATTGGACCTGACCGAAAATTATTTATTCTCACGTTAATTTTAATGTTTATTCCTGCCATTATTTATGCTCCTGTGATTATGCCACATTATTTACTTTTTGTACATCCAGCCGCGGGTGTTATTCTTTTAATTGTGCCACTAATTGGATTTCTTCTAATGCTGATTGGGCTCTTTTATACAAGTTTTACAGATCCTGGAATTATTCCTCGAAGAAAATATATCGATCAGCAATTTGCCAGGACTGGAGAGGAGAAAATTGATGACAGAAAACCAGAACCTCCTCAATTTCAAAAGGTTCATCTTGAGAACGGACAAATTGTAGAATTAAAATATTGTCCATCCTGTGAAATTTATAGACCTCCTAGGACGTCACATTGTAGAAGATGTAACAATTGTGTTGAGCGGTTTGATCACCATTGCCCATGTAAGTGAGTTATGGATTAATTGACATATATGAAATTGAAATGAACAATTTTTTTATAAATGTACATAATAGGGACGGGAACATGTATTGGAAGAAGAAATTATAGATCTTTCATTTTATTTATTTTCAGCACGACCATTACCTCTTGGCTGGTGATATTTATCTGCATTGCTCATACAGTCTTAGTTTGGACTTACTATTTTAATATTAACACCGATACAATTCCGGACAAGGTGGCAAACTCTGTTCGATATTCCATTGGTGGACTCGTGTTGATAGTTTATATTTTCCTTACCCAGTTGTTTGTGGGGTCCTTGAGCGTGTTTCATGCATACCTAATTTCCACTGGCCAGACGACTTATGAATATGTAAGTTGAGTTTTTTGTTATTTCAAGAGTATGGATCTCATATTTTTGACTCCAATTCATAGGTTAACAAAGCCAAGAAAATGTACAGTCGAGGATTTTTTAGGAATTGGTTCTTCACTCTTTGTGTCATCACCGAATGCAGGAGAAGTAAAATGATGATGCGACACTCGTTACCAATTCCAAAACATGTCACTGAAGAGGTTAATAATTAAGCAACACTCATATTATAAATTATTATTAATTTATTCACACAAAGTTTCAATTTTTTTGAAACGCATTTGCATGGTCCGCTTGGATACAATATTGCAAATAAAACTTGAAAAGCTTCTTAAACACTGTTTTCAATTTGCTTTGTTCAGATGTTTTTGTCTCGTCCAAGTCTGACATCTTATTTGGATTAAAAAGTAACCTCAGAGAATCAGACGGGCTATGAAGGGTAAAAGAAGGAAATAAAGGACACAGGGAAATGAATTCAGTTGGTATAGCATCACTGTGACATAAATCTCCATTAAGGAAAAATAATATTCGATATCTGTAAAGTGATTCCTCATTCCTCTGAACAGGATATACAGAAACAAACATTGAAACAATATCACCTGCTTTGAAATCAGGAAACCTAGATGCAGTACACGGACCCTCAATAATATTAAACTTGACGTTTCCATCACTTGAGTAAGACAGAGTATTCTGTGGATAACCCAAAAATCGATGTTGCGATGACATGTCAAGAATTTGATGATCTCCAAGCCCAATAGCAACATTTTTTGATTCGTTCTTTTGTGCAATTAAGCAACTCACTAAATATTCTCGTTGAAAAGAGTCAACTTCCTGATAGTAATCTGGAGAAAAGTTGAGAGAAAATGAAAAATTACCGGCATATTCCATTTGCAACGATGCAAAATATCCATTTTCTTCCACAACAAGGTTTTCAATAGTGGTTGAAAATTGTAAAAATTGAGAGCTTGTTAATAAATAAATAAATCTTCTCCACATAAAACTTTCAGAGAGATGCTGTTCAGATTCTATTGTTGTATTTCGTTTGTGTTGATATAATTTTTCACATTCTTTTGACATAAATTCATAACACGATTGGCAGAATGGAAACAAGCTCGGAATGGCAAACTGAACGGCACATTCATAAAAATACTTATTATACAGAATACTTTGAATGAAATTGTCATATAGTGATTTTGAGCTGGCGCAAACCAGTAATTGATTTTTGACATCTAAAAAACTCAAAATAATTGAAATGACATCATCGTTCAGAATTGGATGTTTCAATCTTTTTTCTTGTTTTTCTTTGTGATTCTTCTTTTTTTGGTGTTGTTCGTCAGAATATTTATCTTGATCAACCTGCACATGAAGAGAAGGCGAATTTTTACTGAATGATGATGATGAACAAGAAGAATCTTTCGGGCTTGAAGCAGTTCCGTGATTCAATACATCTTCATTTGATGATAACGACGATGATGATACAATTTTCGAGTTGCAATATTCCACGTCGTAAGAGGCTTCTCGTTTTCCAACACTCGACGCTTGGCCCATTTTTTATTTTGTGTTTTCTCTCAAATATCATCCATTGATGCTTTGTATCCAATTATTGTCATTAATAATTGATTTAGAAATGTTATTTCAATAATAAAAAAAGAATGATGAAAGTATTATTATTGTTGAGAGAAGTGTGTTTCATTGATGATGATATATACAAAGATGATCATTGTTATAACTGTTTTTCTTGCTGCTCGGTATTAGCAGAAGATGGATGACTTGATGAAGGCAGGACTCCCGACGTCGTGGAAGATGATGATGATACAGAGTTTGAAGTAGAAGGTGAGACTGATTGGATGGGTTGATGTGGTTTGATTCTCTTCTTCATCCATTCGTTTCCGAGAGCCAACGAGATGGAGAGTGATTTTTGAAATTCTGGTAAATTCTCAACCAATATATTGGTGCATTGAACAATCTTGGTTGAAGTTTGCTCTACATTCTTCTCTGATTCATTCAAATGTTTTTCAGCCTTCTCCGTAATTTTACTGTATTCAAATTGTTGTAATAATTCATTCACTTGCTGTTCTGCAACAACATGATAGTTGAAAAGACGGTCAAAGATTTTAGCAGACAGATCAGGAATATCCTTTTCAAAGGAAAGCGAAATTCGTGGATTATCACTTTCCGATGATGATGATGCTGGAAGAATACTGGGTCGAGACATCCAACGATCAAAAGACATTTTTTAAATCATCAAATTATTTCTTTTATTTTAATAATAATCAATCATAAGGATATTGCTTTGAATTCTTCTGTTGGATCATCTCTAGAATTGATGATGATTTTAATTGTGAAACAATTTCTGTATTTGCCTCGATAACAATTAAAATTTGTGGTGAATTTTGATTTAAATTTCACATTTCTGTGTGTGAATTGAGAGATTTCACATGCAAAAGTACTCTATATTCTTCTCTAATCATCATCAAACAATTCCACAATATATGTTTCAATGTCTTCTCAGAACAGGAACAAATCATTCTGCTGCACCTATTATTTCCTATATTCATTATTCATCTTATCATAATACTGATTTAATTTTCAATCATTCTCAAAGAAGTGCTTGATTTTTCATGCTGTGGAGGAAGTAAACTCTTCATATTTAAATACGTTCCACTCCTACTGTCTTGTTCCAAATATTTATGGGACGGCGTGGATAATGATGATTGCTGTTGTGTTGTTGGTTTTGTTAATTTAAAGTATTTCACATAATCCTTTCCGACTTCAATAACCAAAACACTATCACCGGGTCGGAATTGATAAGATTTATTACCTCCAAAGAAAAGAGAGAGCAAGTAGTACAAGATCTTTCGTTGCACTTGGTTGAAAAGTCCAAACATTTTTTCTTTTTGAGGATTTTCATTCTATTTGCTACTATTATTGAAACGTGTGTTGTTGTTAATCATTAAAGTAGGAAAAACTTGATTTTTGGTTTCGTCTCGTATTCTTATCATTGGACTTGTTTGAAGAAGTGTTTTTGTGAACATCTCTATGTGTGACGTTAATTTCAGAAATTAAGAGCCGAAGAACTGGATCTGAGGATAACTTTTCTTTCAACTCTTCTGCAAAAGATACAGATCTATGTTTGCCTTTGTGACAATAGATAGCCACAGTGAAGGTTTTTTCATCATCCTCTTCATCTTTCTCACTTTCAACTTCTTCATCTTCGGTGTCATCTTCCTCCTCATTACTTTCCTCTCCTTCAGTATCTTCATTATTTTTCTTTGAATCTTGGTGATCATCTTTAATAATTTGTTCTTGCATTTCTGTTTTGCAAAATGTATCCTCTTTCTCTGTCTTTTCCTCCAAAATTTCCTCATTAATTGTATCAACAATTTTCGAATGTTCTTCTGTTTGTGTAAGAGCTCTTTCTTCAGCAGTTTGTTCGGCATTTGTTTGCAATTTCTGACATGCTGCATGAAACTTTCTAATTTCTTTTACAATTTCTTTGTATGAGGTGTAAAAGAAGGATTTCACAAATTCATTCGAAAAGAAGTCCTTTCTGTGAGTTCAGTCATTTCGTCACAATGCGTGTGAATTTTGACATTTTTATCGAAATTCATCACAAATGAATGGAAACAAAATAACCTACCTAAGAGGCTTATTTAAACCCGTCATCTTCTTTCTCGCTTGTGCCGTCAATGGGTTTGGTAAATCTTGTAAATTATAAATCAAGTCATAGGAGCTTTTTGAAATTTTGCCATAAAGAAGACCAAAAGTAATGATCCGAATTGAAACTAAGAACGGATCGGAAGAGGACAATGCTGAGTTGTCATGAGCACTCTGATTTTCGGTTTCATTTGTGATGGTGAGCGATGATGATGAAGCGGAGATGGAAGGTAACATTTTTTCAAATGAAATGTGCATTTCAATATGCCACATATTAACCAAATGTAAAAGAGCACCTGCATGGTTTCGTCCTCACGTGAAATCAATCAGAGAGTACATCAAACACAACTTTATAATCAACCTCATCGAACGATCATCATCAAACAGCCTCAATATTTTTCCGTTAAATTTTTTTATTTTTTTAAAAAAAAATGAGTCATCATTCTGCAGGAGAATATTATTCTCAACCGTCAGGTGCCGATGATCATCATCCACAACTAGAAAAAAGAAGAGCACTTTTAGGCGCCGAGGGACAAGAATACATTCTCACAAAGCTAAGCTCGGGTGATCCTAAATCAGCGATTACTTCATTCCAAAAGCAATTTTCATCTTTGTCGAGTGCTGCTGTTTCGTCAAGCATTCCTCCCATTCTTGAGTTAACCGATCTACTCAATGTACAACGAAACAACTTGTTCTTTGGCTTGATGAATCATTTGAAGAAGATTCTTCTTGATAAAATTGAGAATGAAAACGAACCAATTCAAGAGGAGGAACTGTTGGAACAAATCTTCCCATATATCGGGTTTGAAGAGTTGCGTCCAATTGTGTATACCCTCTTGAAGAGAATGGAGCAAATTCCGGTCACCTTCTTGCAGCAACTTCAAGCAAATACTGAGATTTTTAAAAATCTTCCGATTGAAGTGAAAAGACAAGTCTGGGTCAACGATGAGAACCTCTTCATTAAACACATTTCAACGCTTCTGAAGAAGTATGATGTGCCACAGATTCATCGAACAGATTTGCTATCTGGCTATAAAATTGATCCAAAGAAAAAGAGAGAGAAGAATCAAACTCTAACTAGTATGATTAACATCTTAGGAAAAGACCCTATTCTTTATCATAGGGTACTAGGCTATTGCAGAAGTCAACTATTAACAACTGGCAGTAGACACTTCTGCACATTTAGATATGATCTATTGATGGCTCTTCATGACAACCAAGTTCAGCAGCTTCATCAAATGGACATGTGCCACTATTTTTGTTGGTGGCTTGATGCATGGATTAGAACCGTTCATGCTAACCTCTTGAACTATGTTTTTGTGGAACATTCAGAGGACATTAGAAATAATTTAACGTACTCCAAGCTTACACCTACGCTCGGCACTTCTGGCTCAAGTGGATCTCTGACCTCAGCCACAGCAAGCACTGCTACCAAAACCACTAAAAAACCAAAGAAAGGAGGAAAAACTGGAAAAGCAAAAATCAAAAAAGAAGAACCTGAAAATCCACCTGTTGGCCAGCAAGCAACAGATGTATTAAAGACAGATTCCAAGCAACAAATTGTAGTTGCTGGTATTGATAGTGAAAACTTGACGTTGAAAGACTTTTTCGATATTCGAAGAATGAAAGAATTGAGACACTTTTTCGATAATGTTAGTCCTGAAAGTGAAGTATGGGGTGACATTGCTGTGATTTGTAGATCACCTTTTATATCGAACACACTGCTGCAGCAAATATTCTATCTCTTGGAGTTTATTTATTCACAACACCCAAATATGCCGTCAGAGACCCTCGATAGGGTACTATTGTCCATTCCCATTAAACAAAAGAACAAGAGAAAAGCAACAGAACAGCAACAAGAAGAGATCTCTTCTTCCAAGAAGAAAACTAAAGTTAAGGCAACAAAGGAACCAACTGTTAACACCAATACCAAAGGTACCACTATTAAGATTTCTTTCAAACCATCGGAGTCTGCATCGTCACCAGAGGAGGAAACAACCCCGACTCCTGTACCAACGACCTCACAGGCCACAATGGACACAAGCCCTGTACCGACAGTTTCTCTTCCTCCTGGTGCGTTGCCAGCTTATTTGTCTTTTCTCGAAGATGCCCACAATGTCAACGACTTTGCGGAATATATTGAAACCCTCACCAGATTATACTATGCTGGAGAGAAGGCTCAATCTATGCTCAAGGGTAAAATGCCTTTCCAGTTGCCTCCACTTCCAGATTATTTGTTTGAATTTTACCCATTTATTCAGCGATTGTTGTTTAGCACTGAGGCCACTCCTGGATCAAACGTCACAATTGACATTCCCGCCTTCCAGGAGCAATTCAAAAAGCATTCATTGGCAAGAAAGTTACTACTCTTTTCCGTCCTTAGATTCCATCAAAATGCCAGAATTGCTAACTGTAATTTGCACAGAACTATTTCTGGTTATGATATATCAAACGAGCATCAAGAAACTCAACCTAAGAGCCAAGCTGAGCAGAAAAAGAAAGATGATGATATTGAAAAATTTAGATCAATTGATACTCCACATGATGGTGCTGTCTATGCCGCTAATTTAAACAAATTTAGATATCTCTTTAAGGCATTATTCCTTGAAGGAAACACCACTGAGTTATCGTTGTTCGCAAAAACTGTCATCCAACGAGAATTTAACTTTATTGACTCTCTTATTGCAGACTGTACTCGACTTGTTAAGGATATCCATCAATATTCTATTCCTGTTCTTCTCTCTGGTAACATCAAGTGGTTTTTCACTGATCAGCTTTCTGAATTGGTTGATACTTATTCCATGCTATTCGAAAACTTCGTTATTCCTTACATTTGCTTTACCAAGCAAGAAAGTTTGTCATTCCAAATCAGTGTTAGTACTTGTTTGAAAGAAATAGCATCTCTTAGCCATTTAATGGGTTCCATTCTACTCACCATTCCAAAAGAGGTGTTTGCTATGAGAGAGAAGAAGGATGATGAAGACATTGACGATGAAAACAAGAAATGCATTCACTCTTTTGATGAATATAAGGAGAAGATCTTGTCTCTCAAGAACTTTTGTCAAAATATCTTGCAACAACTGAAGAATGTCACTCTTTCAGACGCTCAACTTTCAAAGCTATTCCAATCCATCGAAACACAACTTGCCAAAGAATGGAAGGCTCTGCAAAGCGAAACAAAATCTCTACTCCAATTGCAACAAGAGCAAGAGACACTAGAAAAGGCTAAAAAAGAAAAATCGAAAGAAACCCCATCGACACCTTCACCTTTCCCATTTGCAGGAAAAGTGTTGGCAGGTACTAGCCCTTTCGCTCAACAGTTATCACCTTTTGGAAAGCCTGTTGCCTTCCCTCACCCTGCCTTGTCCTCATTATCACCATCACAAATTCCAAAATTCCATCAAGTCCCTACTACTTTCAGGTCCCCTGCAGCATCTCCAAAAACTGAACAACCAAGTGGCTCTCAAAACAAAACTGATTCAGATAACAAGATGGATGAAAGTAATGTGTAATTAATTTATTATGATGTTGATTGAGGAATAAAATTAGGAGCAAAAATTTCATTCGCTTCAATTATCCAGTTGGAGTTTTCTGTGTGAATTGGTCAAAGTCAATGAATTGCAAGACCAAAATTGACAAGCCCAACAAAACTAAGGAAAGGTTAAAAACAACTGAAAAGACAGTGAGTTGTTTCTTTTTGTACTGAACCACGAGATGGATCGACACAGGCAACAAATACATGTAAATCAGACCACAAATGGCTCCGGTAAATCTCAAAACAGTTCCCACCATTGGATAAAAAGCGGCCATGCTAGTTGTAATTCTGTAGTTAGGAGGTGAAAACATATTCATTTAACTAAAACCATGTAACACATTCAAACTCTTACTTACAAGCAAACCAAAAAATTCAAGGCAGCAACTTGCAAAATACCTGGATATTGTTGCTTGTCCTTGTTTGGATTCTTTCTATAGAGAAAACTGAAACATTGTACTCTTATCACGCTCAATAAAAGAGGGTAGATTGACATGAGTTGGAATAGAACTGCACCTCTTGAAATGTTAGCATAAACACTATTATTGGGAAATTGATTCAAAAAGTTCTGTTCAATTTTAACAGAGAATCGAAATCTGTGACAAAATACGAGTGTTACCACAATAAAATACCAAAATTATGATATTTCGATGAAATAATAATCAAATATTCTCAAACTTACGCAAATGCTCCCAACATTCCAGGTACTGCATAAATCATAGCTGCTACAATAAAAGCAACTGCAGTATCTCTCTTTGTATGCTTCAATGATTTTTGGTTCTTCAAAATAGGTCCAATTACATTATGAATAAAAAAGCTCAAAGACAAAATTGCCAACAAGTGACTGAAATGCATATTAAATAATGATAAATGGTTCACCAACACTGTGTCTCCCTTCACAATAGTATCGTCAACGAAACTGTATTGTGGAGAAGAGGACTGACCCGATGAGCTGCTACTTCCGTCAGTGTTATGACCCAAAATTCCTCCCAACAAATGATTCATCCAACTGCTATTACTACCACCATTGGAGTTCACATTACTGCTTGTCGTGATAGTGCTCATATTAGAGCTTAGCGACATCATGGTTAATGTCGAAACGCTAGCGACATTATTAGAAAACTCAAAAGGTGACACCATGGCCTCAATGCTTGCATAAATAATGAAAATAATCAAAAACAATACAAAGAAAATTCCGAATGAATTAAATTTCACCAAAAAGTTCAAATTCTTGAGAAGAGTGATTGGAAATAGAAGCACCACAATAATCACAGAAGCAAAAATACCATTCCAATACCAAGGCGGACCATTTTTGTCCCATGGGTAGATTTTGGTGTTATCATACTGAATGTCAAAGATACCTGTAACAATGCTCATCAGACAGTCTTTCATGAAGATATGATAGGCAATACTAGCTCCTATTAAAATCACAATGCTTGTAATAATGCATAATATTTCGCTCCATCTTCCTAAATGTTCCACACAAACTTGAGAAAAATCTTTGATGTCGAGAACGTAGTTGGAAATTCTTTTAAATTTTTTGCTATAGTTTCCTTTTTGATATGATTTTGTTGTGGATGCATGATGCAGAGAAGTATTTCCCTCCTTGTTGTCCACCGATTGATAATACGTGGTAGGAGCAGAAGATTCTTCTTCGTCTGCAAGAGTAATTTTGTCTCCACTGTTGATGGCAGTAGTTTCGTTAGGTGATGTTTGTTTTTGTTGACCCTCTTCATCGTATCTCACTTTAAACAACGAGTGTTGTACCACAAGATTGCAAGTGTAATAACTAATGAGGCCAACCAGAATAAATACAATTATTCCTAGATAGAGTCCACTAAAAATGTAAAAAAACCATTTAGTGAAATCATTGTTGAATAATCATTCGTTACAAATTCAGCACATTCAATTTAACAAGGTGTCTTACCTTTGTGTAAATCCCCATGCCAATGATAATATTGTCGACCCCTATTGAGAGTAATCCCGTACAAAAATTATTTCGCATCATGAACAATTATTAACAATTCAATCATAACAACAGCACAAATTTGTACCGTTATAACACTTTTTCTACATACCACCATTGTGTTGATGATTGAAAAAATTGTAGAGATGGTTCCCGATGAACGTTTTCTGATTTTCTCCAACGGATGTGTATCATCCTCTTTCTCAGCATTTACATTGTTGATGGAATCCCCGTGCGATACGGGTTGAGAAAGCAGGCTTTGCTGCAATGAATCATCCTCGTTGGTGTGTTGATGATCATCCAGAGAGGACATGTTTTCGCCACAGAAGCCTTTTGGATCCGATGTAAGGAGGCTCTTTGGGTATTTTTTTTAAACAGTTTCACAGAAAATCAATTTGTTGCTTCATTTGGGATTGAATGTCGACATTCATGAATTCAACAAGAATCTTAGATGTGGTTTTATTTTGACAAAATTGCCTGATCGATAATTTAGAAGGTGAGAGAAACAATTCTTGCAATATCTTGTTCAATGAATGGAATGAATTGTGTTTCTGCACATCTAGTGTTAATCTTGCATTGGTTTGATCCATTTGGAACAACAACTTCAATCACTACAATGACCTCTTCAGTACCATAATTGAATTTAGCAGAGAAGTACAAGTTGGTCAAGTTGTCTTGTTGGTGATCAGCAACAAAGAAGACGTTGTGAGCTTGCAATCTTGCGATGAGAGCACCGTTATTACCAGCTGAAGCATTTGTAGCGTCAGTTGAGCTTTCAGTCTCATCTGGAATGCTTTGGAAGATGGAGAGGTAAGTATCTCTGTCAACCAATCCATTCTCAATGAACAAGGCGCTGAAAGGAATATAATCTTGGAAGTATGCAACACCCAAATCAGTCTTCAAAGCAATTTGGAGAAGATTGGAAACCTTATCAGATTCGTTAGTACCTGGAAGGATTGGAATAACTCCATCAGTCTTTTGACCTGGCATAATACCAGTGGCTTGAACTTGTCCTGGAACGAATCCAAATGTGTTGGTGTTAAATTTACATGCATATCCAGTAATTGGTTGTTGAGAAAGATTTTCAAATGTAACCAAAAATTCGAGATTTCCTCTTGGGTTTCTGTTAATAACACCATAAACTTGAAGTCCCTTGCCCTTGTCAGCAGTGAGCAACAATTTCTTTGGTGGAACAGGGCGAACAAGTGAAGCAATATTAGAACCTGCCGAAGAAGTAGCAGAGAATTGCAATTGTGTTTGTGGTTGAGAGCTTCCACCCATAACGTCATCCAAGTCAAGATCTTGTTCTTGTTGTTGAGATGAAGTTGGAAGGCCTCCTCCTAAAATATCGTCCAAACCAAGAATGTCTTGTGTAGTTGTTCTATCTGCAGCATCTTGGTGTTGTTGTTCTCTGAGGTAATCTTCAACTTCCTTATCACTGCTGCCTTCACTCTTCTTCTTCTTATAACCAGCAACGAACAATTCTGGAGGCTTTTGATACACTGATGACAATGTTCCAATGTGTTTTGTCAATTCGCTGAGCAAGTTCTTTGGAATATTGGTTGAGTCGTCTCTGATGACAGGCTTTTCTGACAACACAACAGTCTTGGCAGCCTCTGGATCTTCATTGAGCAAACGCCAGTAGATATAACCTCTGTCACGCAAGTCTGGATTGTCGGATTCTTCGGTGGAGAGATGCAAAACTTTCTTAATCAAGTCTCTGGTGTCGTTTGGTCTTCTCAAGAAGAGTTTCATTACTGCAGTGAGAGCTTGCAATTGGACTTGGGCAGTTTCATCATGGAAAGTATCAATAAAGATTTGCAACAACTCATCAGCATTTTCAATCTTGTTAGAATATTCACCAATAATCCAAATCATAGCTGCCTTAGCCTCTGGTTCATCCAATGTATCGAGATTTTCGCACAATCTTCCAATAATACCTTCGTATCTGTTTGGATATCTTCTGAAAATGTCCTTAATGACAATGATGGCTTCTTGGACGACATAGTTGACCTTAGTTTGAATCAAATCAAGCAAAACATCAACGCATCTTTGTGCTGCTCTTTCAAGTTTGATAGCACATCTACCGATTGCGCGAACACTTCTTCTGACAAACTCTACGTCAACTTCAGTTGCATATTCCTTGAATTCCATCAATACAGTATCCACGTTACGCTCTGAAGCCAATTTGACCATGATATCTAACTTTTCTAATTTCACATAGATTGGATCGTTATATTTACAGAAGAACATCTTGATATTGTTGGAGAGAATTCCTGGTCTACTTTGAACAATCAAATCAATATTACGAAGAGCAACATATTGAATTTCTGGATTGCCACTCAAGAGAGTAACAAGTGGAGCAGAAATTTTTTTCAACAATTCTTGTTTTTCGTTTTCGTTTGAAATCAAGTCAATCATCTTGTTAATAACTCTAACAGCAGAGAGAACGACTGCAGAGTTGGCATGTTGCAAACGAGGAGCAACTCTTTCCGCAATTTCAGAAGCTTCCTTCTCAGACTTTGGTTGATAATTGTTGGAGAGGGCATCCAAAATGAAAACTTGACCCCACTCGGTACAATTATTCAAAGCAGTCAAGAGAGTCTTGACAGTCTTTTCAGTAAAATCGAGAACTACCTCGGAGGATGATGATGAAATTTCATCCAAAGCCTTCACAGCATTAGCAACTACCATAGGATTGTCATCGGTCAAGAGCTCTTCCAATGATTCAACAAAACCTTGTTCGATGGCCATCTCTGGATTGATATCGAAAAGCTTTGCGATAGCAACAGCTGATGTCTTTCTCACGTATGGATCTTTATCTTTGATGGTCTTTCTGATTGGTTCTGCCAAGTATTCAACAATTTTGTTCACTCTGATACAACCCATAGTTCTGACAGCCAAACCTCTAATCAATGGATTTGGATGGTTGGAATCTCTCTCGAATTGATTCACAGCCATGATAGCCAAATCAGGTTGAGTCTTTGCGTAGTTCATGATGTAGAGATAGACCAACTTCTTCAATTCAATGTTGTTGGTAGCGACACACTTGATCACGTCGGTGAACAACATGGAAACGTCCTTTCCAACAGTCATTGCAGCAATGACTTTCTTTACGGTATCCTTTCGGACGGATTCCTTTTCATTGCCTAAACCCAATCTCCATTCGTTGATTTCACTTCTCTTGTTGGAGGAAGAGAAAAATCCTCCTGATTTCTGTGCTCCGCCTTCTTTTGGTTCTTGCATGGCGTAATGATGAAGCTATCTGTGTTGTATTTTTTTTAAAAAATAAATAAATAAAAAATACGGTGATGACTTCGTTTTAACATTTATGGAGGTGTGAGGTGGCGATCGATGAATAATAATTAAACTGCAACATCTTTCATTCTGGTTGTGTTTATCGATTGTTAGGTCTATTGTTGCTGGGAGCTCCTGATGAGCTAGTTGTAAATTTGGTTTTCTTTTGAGCAGGGGTATAGGTCTTTTCGGTTGCCTGCAGAGTCTTTCCAGTATTCTTGTACGTGCTTGAATTTCTACTCATGAAACTTTGCCAACTTTGTTTCTTTTGATTTAGTTGCTTCTCTTGCTCTTGAAGTTTTTGTTGTCTCTTTTCTTGTTTCTTTTTCTTCTTTGCTATGATATCTGCTTCGGATTGCTCGTACTTTTTGCCTTGTGCTTCGGTAGTGGCTTTGTTTGAAAGGGTTTGTACCGTCGCAATCGCTTGGCCTGATTGTGACTCATTCGATATTACCTCCTTCTTTTTAGGCTTCTTGGGTTTATATTTAGGATCATAGAAATGTTCGTTTCCGACTCGAACCAATTGAAGAGGGACCTCTTGCAAAACTCCTCTTTCTTTAAATGTGACCCAAACAGTCTCTTTGTCAGTAAGCTTGTCAACCACGGCCTCTTCATACATCCCATCTGGATCATTCGCATTTACTGCAAGACATCTTGCTCCTTGTTGAAGGAACTCAGAAGGTGGATGATAATACTCCTTGATAGTATATCTCTCTTTCGAAACAAATTCAGAATTTCCATACCCAACATATCTTACGAAATATTCATAGGCTGGTTTTTTAGATGACGGCGATTCCGAAGCTAATTGTAGCTTTTTTGTGTTATCAATGACTTTTGTTACAACAGCCACATACCATAACCCTTCATACAATCCATAACAGTAATCGCCTTCTTGAAATTGGGGACCTGGGAATGTTGATGATGATGCTGTTGTGCTTTCCTTTTTTAATCTAATCAATTCATTTGTTAATTGAATAGCATTTTGTAAGTCATCAATGAGAGCACCATATTCCTCGTTCTCGGGTTCTTGTTGTGATAATAATATACATTGATTTAATTGTTCCGAAAATTGTGAGAGCTGTTCTTCGAGTTCTTCCAATGATTTTTCTTCCTCTGGTTGTTGAGGAGCGTCATCATAGGTTGAAGATGGATCTGATGAAGACATTTTTTCTTTTTATAAATCCTTCTAGCAAATCGTTATAATAAGTTGATTCCAGGTTGACGTTGGACTGTCAATCGAGAGGTTCCCTAACTAGAGGAACGATTTCCTCGAACCTGTCAGATAGGAAGGAGCATTGTTCGAATCAAACCTCAATCATTTCTTCCAAAGGAAAAAATGCTGACACAAGCCACCAAGCTCGCCTCGAAGGCTCGCATTATTATTCATCACAGTCCAAGCAATGTCGGAGTCCATGTATCATCGGCATCGTTCATACTAAATAATCATCTCATCTGCAAGAAGAAGAATTATTCAACAACAACCAATCATTTGCAACAACAATCATCAGATCCATCATCAACACCAAAAATTGATAAAAGCGGATTGATTTGGAGAGATGTAAATGAACTGGAAGATGAATTCGCAGTGAAGAGTATGATTCGGGTGGATCATGCCGGTGAATTGGGTGCAGTTACAATTTGTAATGCACAAAAAGTGGTTCTGGGAGAAGATCCGATTGTGAATGAAATTTTGGGCCAAGAGGTGGATCATTTTGCTACCTTTGATAGAATGATTATTGAGAGAAGAGTGAGACCAACAATTTTCCGTTCGATTTGGCAACCAGCTGGAGTCATGCTAGGCATTGGAACAGCATTGTTAGGAAGAAATACAGCCATGGCATGCCATGAAGCAATTGAAAACACAATATTCGATCACTACAATGAACAATTAAGAGATATCTATGAAATGTCTGTCAACAAATCTCAAGAACAAGGCATGCCAGAAGAGAAGACTTCAACATCTCAAACCAATGCTTCAGATTCTGATATTGAAACAGACACAGAATACTTCTTCAAATCTGAGCATCAAAAACAAGAAATTCAAGAAAAAGAGCTTCGAGAAATTATCAAGCAATACAGAGATGAAGAATTACATCATCATGACATTGCAAGAGATGCCAACACTGATAGAAACAGTTTATTGTATAAGGCAGCCTACGGGTTTATTTCAACTGGATGCTCACTTGTAATTGCTTTGACAAAGAGACTCTAACAATTCATATCCCAACAATTCTTCATGTTTAAAGTGAAATTGGTTTGTAGTTGGATATTAAATTGACCAAGTGTAAGGGTTTTGGGCAATGTTTTTTTTCGATTTGAATCATAATAACCACTATATACTCTATATTATGATTCCCTCACTAATGCCAGAAACAACCATGTCGAAGTGTCCATCAAAGGACGTTCGGATCAAAAAGCATGTTTATCCTTTTCAAAACCCACTGAAACAACCGTTCAGTTTCATCTTCAGTTGCCACCAACTGGATTTCCCTAAGATTTTACAGGATGATCTCGGAATGGGCCCAATGATCTTGGATCAAAACAATCTCTTTGTTGAAATTTCGAGCAATGATTCTTCTTCAAAGGAGGTACAATTAACTTATTCGGGAGAATGAAGACACTCCTGCAAGAAGTGAACCAATTGAAGAAGGATCACGACGAATTGAAAGACATGATCAAAGATGGATTGTACAAGCCATGGAAACCTGTGGGAAGGATGAAAGATCTTGAAACTCTTCTCCAAACGTACCCACTTTTTAGAATACGAGTATGGCCTTGCATTCAACACTCACAATATAAACTCCAGTCATAATTCTCAGTCAGTAATTAAAATTTTCATTACATAGGTATGTGCGTAAACAAGCACATGTTTTTCTCTGGCTCTCTGTGGATTTAATGGATGTGACCATTTGATGTCCATTATGACTGACTGTTACCCAAACTTTATTGAAAAAAACCTCTAAATGGAGGACCTTAAATATAATTATGAAAACATTCATGCATTACTCGTTGAGGTCTGTTCTTGAATGTTCTTGTTCCTCTTCTTCATTCTCTTCATGTGTGGTTTCTCCATTATCCATGTTTGAGTCAAAGTTTCTTTCTTCGTTCAATGTACTCTCCAACAAGATTTGAGTCAATTCTTCATCAATTTGTTTTTCTTCTAATTCCTTTTTTGATTTCTCTTCCTCCAAACGTTCAAACAACTTCAAACATTCATGTCGAACTTGCTCATTGGCAACGTATGGAGAAGATCTTAATGCATCGATTGGTGTTTCTCCGAATGCATTTAAATCATTACTCAACATGTACAAATCCAAGTCGTACAACAAGTATTTGACAATGTCATAAAGACCATAATAACAAGCATAATGCAACACATTGAAACCGTTTTTTCCCAATACTGTGCTTGAATAACCACAGTCTTCCAATAAATATCTTAACAAGTCCAATCTTCCACAAAGAACCACATGAAGAATGATGGGTTTTGATGGAGGCCAAACTTGAAAATCTTCATTAAAGAATTCTTTTTGCTCTTGAAAGAGTTGTCTGAATTCATCCAATGACACTCGATTTTCTGATATTCTCTTACAAACCATGTTGTAAAAATCGACTGCTTGGTCTCTGAGTGTTGTCCAAGTGTATTGGGAAGAACTGTCAACTGCTGACACGGTATCATGTTCGAGATCTTCCGAGAGGGTGGAGATGTCAGTAGCAATATTGCTTGCACCAGTGGAAACAGATTCATCTTCTTCACCAGCGAAACTGTTGACGATTGGAGATGCGAGAATCAAGTCGTTGTCGCCCCTTTGGACGCCACCATCGCCACCTCTGCTTGGAGGAGTTGGGATCATGGTCACAAGATTATTTTTTTTTGATAAAAACTAGGCATGACTTTATTTGCGGAGCAAACGGATCCACAAGGATCGCAATCACGTTCGTTTCCAAAAAGATGGTGAAGATTATATACAGCTTTTGAGTTTGTTGTCGTGACGGGTTAGAATTAAAGGGTGATTTGCATATCCATGCAATTCATTATCCCATTTGATTCCGAGTTTTTCAAAATAGTAGTCTTTGCGTTTCATCCATATTAAGTTCACCTGTTTGTATGGTCACAAGATTATTTTTTGAATTCTTTGACATTTGAAGCAACTTGACTCAAGCCAAAAAATTCCTGTCAGGTTTTAACGCCATCATGAGTTTAGAAACATCACGATGATCCCATTGTTCATTTGACACCACCATATTGTCCTTCTTCCTCCTCATCAATGATTCGTCTTGAAGACTATTTTATTTTGCGAAATGATGGAACCTTGAGGATCATCCACAAAAGCGATGAATAGTTTATTGACATACCTTTTTGATTTTTCGCATTTTGCATGTTCGATATAAACATCGGACCATTGGTCAACCCGTTGGTGGTGGTGATGGCTGTTGTGTCCTGTGAAGGTACGTTTTCATCGTTTATGGAAGTGTCGTGGTTTTATTGTTGTTCAAATTCCAAAACAAAGGATAATAGATTGAATTTTGATGGGAAAAGGCAGAAACGAAAGCGGCCCATGAGTTTGCAAGTTCGGCGAAAATTTGGCGGCTTTCGACCCACCAGGAATGGAAGAAATCAAAATGGTGAGCGATTGGCCGAACCAGTAACCAAAATCATAAAAGCCAAGAGAGCCACGGCACATTCCAAGACAGGCATACCTCTTCTGTATTAAGAATCCTGGATGTTGTTTTTCAAAGATTTCGAATGATGTTGTAGTTGGCTCGACAATTACGACATTCATTCTTCCATAACAATTTTCAGAACCTTTTCGACCATTTCAAAATACAACAAAATCCAACAACAACAACAACAACAACCCATTGCCAAACAACCAAAGATGACTTCTACTTCTTACAGCGAAGATGTAAGCGCTTCCTCTTCCATGGAAGGTATGCCAGTCGTAACAGCTGTTCATTCGCAAACTTCTCAACAACAACAACAAAACCTCAATCCTACCACTCATGGTGGTTCCATTTATCTTTCTGAGAGTGCCAATCAGACAGCCACAACAAATACGAGTAGTTCTGATGGCTATTCAATTACTTCTCAAACCGTGGACATGATCTCGAAAATGATTGTCTCTTTGGAAGATAGACACGTCAAAAAGGGTTGGAGATTGTATCTTGTTTATGGTCTCATGTACGCACATTTGATTTGGACTCAAATGATGGTTCCAACCATTCGTGATTATCAATGGGGTCCCTATGGTGTCTATGTTTTTCAAGTGTTGAATTTTCCGACCTCCTTTCTTTTGGATTGGATTTCCTATCGTGCAAACCTTGTTTTGGCTTGTATTGTCATGTTGTTCATTCTCTTCAATGTGGCACTTTTCATCCTGGCAATGAGATTTACCATAAAAACAAGCAAGTATTTCAAAAAGTTGAAAACAATTCTCAGGTTATGCAGCTTTTTATTGAGATCGTTTTCATTGACCATGCTCTTTGTGTTACTTGGATTTTTCGATTGTGATGTGAGAAACTTGATCACAGTGACCATCACTTCTGGTGGATCCAATACGGCTGTGACCCAAATGGCATCTTTAGATCGATTTTCTGGAACTGCTTGTACAGAGACGATCAATGCAATTATGATGGCGATTAGTGCTATCGGAATACTTGCTTTATTGATTCTATATCCTCTTTCGGAGCTAATTTTGTCAAATTCGAACCCTCACAGCAACATTCCATTGATTAGAGACAATTCTTTGGTGGTCATGTTAGTTGGAGAACTTGCCATGGTTCAATTGTTGGCTTCTTTTTTGATCCCAAAACAGTTTTCGTATGCGTCTGCTGCTTTTCATGTCCTTCTGAGTCTTGTATCATGCGCCTTAGTGTTCTACTTTATTCCTTTTTTGAGAAGACTTGACAATTCCTTGTATTTTGGTGCGTGTTGTGGAAAAGTTGGAGCGAGTATTGGTTCCTTAATCTCTTCCACTGTCAATATGGATTCTGACTTGCCATCTTTTAACGATGTGGGAGGTGGTTTTGCAGGCATGACCATAGGGTTGATGATGCTCTTGTTTGTGGCTGGAACATGTTTTATGGAGATTTACTTAAGATTTCATGCAAAGAAGATGAGAGATTACTTGATGAATGCAGTGGTGACTTCTCAGACAGATCTCGATCTATTTGAAAAGCATCTCTTATTTGGAATTGAAAAATCAGCTTCTTCTCTTTTCAATGATTTAGAAGAATCGAAAGCATTGTTGTCACTTAACATTTTCTTAAAGTTGTCCTTAAAAAGTGGACAGAGAAACGTCAGAGGAAGTGAATACTCGGATTCTGATCTCTCTTTGGCATTTATCAAAGGTCTTGCACATCAGAAATCATTTAATGATATCAACTTGCTGTTAATCTTTGCATTGATCAGTAAGTACTCGTTCCACTTGCTTATTCATCACCATCAAACAAACTTTTTCAATTATTTCAATAGTTCAAGTGAAATGGCAAGGAGAAACGAATTGTTCCATCTTTGCTCAAAGTTTGTTAAGACGTGCCCTTAAACAACATCCAAATATGTTTTACAAACTTTTCATTCAAGAACGAATGAAAGAGGTAGAAACCATGTCACAATCGAATAATGCGCTATTTGAAGCAAGTGCTCAAATTGAGACTTTGGAGAAAAATCAAGCCGCTCTCTTAGCATTGCATCGTGATTTTTGGAAAGAATGTGCCAATGAGAATATTAATTATGACACAATTGAACGTATTATAAGGTCCATCTATGCTTTAAAAAGTGAGTGTAAAAGCACTCTTTCGAATCTATTATTTAACTATCCAAGTAACAAAACGATCCTTCGATTGAATGCTAACTTTTTAGAGAACTTTGAATTCAACAAAGAGCTTGCCCAACAACTCTTTACAGAGGTAAACTCGATCGAAGAGGATGAAACGAAAAAACGAAAAGGATCACTTCCTTCCAAAAAAGGCAATCGTGTGATACCAACTTCAGAATATTACAACAAGTATGAAATTTCCAGTTCAGCTGTTCCTTTGGATGAAAACTTTTCAGAAATTGGTGGTGAAACTCGAGATGAAGGTTTTGAGTTGGAAAGTGCTTTCGACAATCCATACATGAAGAAGGAAACCATCTTTCGCCAAGCGTTATTCAATTCCAGAGATCACAAACTATTTAGCATTATTTTAATCGTTTATTTTACGATCACCATTTGTATCATGATTTCAACCATTGCCTTAAGTGTTTACTATTCTCAAGCGGTCATGTCACAAATTCCACATGTGGAACAGGTAAGTGTTCACATTTCCTGCAATGGAAAACATCATGTGATCGATCGAATGACATTCAACGCTCTCAATAGGTGTGTTTTCCTGGAACTTTACCCATGTCCATTGTCAGAAATATCAGAGCCACTCAAAATTGGGTGAATGTTTTTTATTTATTTGGATATCCTTGGCCTTCCACTAATGAAGGATTTCCAACTATTTCCAAATTATCTTATATCACAGATCATGTCTCTCAGTTGAATAGAGCCATTGATTTTTTCAATCGATTAATTGCTGCAGCACAAGCCAATGTATTCAGTGATGACATTTATTATGATTATTCACACAATATTTATCCATTATACTTTCCCAATGAAGATCCCTTCGAAAAGAATGTCTATACAGGAACCTATACATCCAAGAATGCATCGATTTATGAAATAACGAATGCCTTCATTGCAGCCACTCAAAAAGTAATTTCAAACTATCCACTCAATACTCTAGTAGCGATTGAGACTGGAATTAACTCATTTACAACCACACAGAAACTTCTTGATCAAGTAGCTGCTTCTAGTTATTTCCATCCATTAACTGGTAGGTTTTTGAAAGAATGTGATTTGATAGCTTTCAACACATGTTGTGAATAGATTATAATTTCATGTTTCTTTGGATTAATCGAGAGAATGTAGCACTTGCGTATGACAGTTTTTGCAGTTCCTATTTGAATCGATCCTTTAGTGTCTTTAATAACTCCATGAATGAGTTTATCATTTATCTTTCCACCATATTAAGCTTCTTCTTTCTATCGAGTCTTCTATTCTTTGTTTACATGTATCACGAGCTCAAATATTTCAGAAAAGTTTCAAAACTCTTTGGATCTCAAATCCAAAAGGACGTGGTAGGCAAAATCTTTCAAACATTGAGCAAGAAAGCAGAAAGTGGAGCTGTCCATCAAAGAAAGAAATTCTCAATGAGCAAGGCGAGTGCAAAATATGTCACACTCTCTCTGTTTATGTTCTCAGTAATTGTTGTGGCAGTTTGTGTGGCATTCATGTTCATGGAGAGCGAATTGAACACAAAAACATCCTCATTGACAATGTCGAAGGTTAGGTTAAGCATTCAAGCTGCAACATCTGTAGAAAGAGCAAGTATTAACATTGGTGAAACATTTACCTATTTTGGAGCTTCTGAAATGACAAAATCCAATTCTGTCTTGTCACATCTCTTCAATCGAACGGTGAATTTTGGAGATACTAAATTATGGAACACCACAAACTTTGATTTTTTAATCGCAAGAATCACCAGAAGAACTCAAGAACTGACTAGACAATTCTCATCTCTCATTTACGGAGACGCTTCTCAAGGACTAACTCCAATTATTGGACAATATCCTGCAGTGGACACGATCATTACAGTCGGTACAAAAAATTGCACAGATTACATGCAAAAAAACAACATTTCTCTCACTTTTACAAGTAATTTATTGTACTGTCGAGGTATGGAAAAAGTGTTGGCTGATTTTGTGACACTTTCCTCTCAAGTGATCACTGATTCAAGAAAGGCATATCTTCTTCAACAAGATGCACTTGCTAATAGGACTCTATTGAGTCCTGCCAAACTTGCCATGCAACACTACACAGTTTTCAGAGGTGCGGTTCCATTATTGAACAAGTTTGTTACATTTATTCGAGAATTTGTTAAGAGTTCCTCTCAACCTTCTTCCATCATTGTCACAATGGCAGGAATATTTGGAATTTTGTTGACCATTTCAAGCTTTGTAGGAATTTGGTACATGTTTTCAAATTATTGGAATCATATACAAACATTAAGATTGATGTTCAACTACATTCCAATTGAAATATTGGATCGAAATGAGATACTTCGCGAGTACATGCTCAATCACTCTGTGAATGTCATCACAAAAAAGAAAAAGTCGAATCATGACGATGACTCTTTACATAATTTGAAGGTTACTTTCAATTCCAGTGTGGAGGGTGCAATCATTTGTTCAGAAAATGGTGAAATGGAATTATTCAATGTATCAGGTTTGAGAATGTTTGGTATGAAGACGATCGATATTTTGGGAATTTCAATTTATGAACTTTTTGATGAATCTGCAAGAGCAGACATAAAGAAACGAGTCGATGCATTGGTAGGAAAAGCCAAACAAATGGGTGAAGATTCCAATAGTGGTAATAGTGAGGACGAGGCGACATTTGACAGCCAGCCTGTGGAAGTGATCGAAGTGGATGGCATACGAAAGAATAGAACCAAGTTTCCAGGAAAGTTCACTTTTCATTGTGTGAAATTAGAAGGAAGAATTGGAATCTCCATTGTTGTCACATTCAAAGACATTACATTGGAAAAGAAACAAAATACCTTGTTGTTTGAGGAAAAACAACGATCTGAAAATTTATTGAAGAATATTCTTCCAACAGCTGTTGCCAATCGACTGAAAACTGGAGGTGATTCATTCATTGCTGAGGCAATTAATGATGTCACTTGTTTCTTTAGTGATATGGTTGGATTTACAAGGATCAGTTCGGCCATGCAAGCATCGGAATTAGTTTTGATGCTTAATACGATTGTGATTGGATTTGATCTATTGACCGAAAAGTATGAAATTGAAAAAATCAAAACCATTGGAGATGCGTATTTCTGTGTGGGAGGTTTACATAATTCTCAGAAGGGTCATATCAACTCACTGGATCATCCTGAACGAGTGCTCAAATTTGCCATTGAGACATTTGGAGTGATTCATCACTATAATAGCCATAAAAAGGAAAATCAAGAAATTGGAATTAGAATTGGTATTAACAGTGGTCCCATTGTGGCAGGTGTGATCGGGAAGAAAAAGTTTGCCTATGATTTGTGGGGAGATACTGTCAACACGGCCTCTCGGTAAGTTTTTGGATGATCCAATTCTCAATTTAATGAATTTAAATGATTGTCTTTGGAATTGCGACAAATTTTCAAAATTCTCAGAATGGAATCCACATCATTGACAAACAGAATTCAAATTTCTAGATCGACCTATGAGAGAGTTTTCGATCTTGGCTATGATTTCGAAGAGCGTGAAGTGGATGTGAAGGGAAAGGGCCAAGTGAAAGCCTATCTACTGAATGAACAACACCACAAGCAAGTGGAAGTCGATCAATGCATCATTGACAACGACAACCAGATAGTGACTAACTTGAGAGAGTCCATTTCATTCCTTGAGAATTGAGAGATTTCTTTCAAATTAAAAATGTCATTCAATCAAGTCGACTTTAATGTCTGTGAATATCAAAAAAGTTGTTGTAAAAAAGTTGCGAGTAGTTTGATGGGAATAAATTGTCAGTCGAAGAAATAATAACATGAGTAGTGATTGGATGGTAAATTGATCATCCACCACCACTCGATTTCTTCCTTTCTCAATTCCTTTTGAAGACAAATGGGGCACAACACAGTCTGGAGAGGGACAACAGGTCAGCATTCCAATGAATGCATGATTCAGTTGAATTTACACAACAGCAGAAAAAGGTTTGACAAACCTAAAAAAAGACTCACCATTGGCACCATTATTCGATGTTTGATCTCCAAACCAAAATTCAAATCGCTTCTGTTTGGCCATTTGCTTCATCCGTTTGTTTTTGAGCTCCTCCTTTTTTGTAATTTTGAATAACTTGCTTCTCTTAATGTGAACCTTCTCAAAACAAACAAAGCTTGCTTTTCTTTCAAACCTAGTAGAAAGTAACTCTTTCATCCTGTCAATGAGATCATAATATGATTGCTGTTGTGCCGGAGTTGGAGAAGTGACTGTGACATTGAGAGCAGGACAAGTCAGCAAGGGAGGTTCCTGTACTTGTTGATTCTTATCATTGAATGTGATAAGGTATGCATTGACCCATCTCTCATTTGGTTCCTCACCCACTACAAACGATGCTTGAATAATGGTCTCACCAAATTTCTTGCCACTATCAAATCCCATCGTATCCATTATTGCAGCACAGGCGGCATCCGTGATCTTTTCATCTGTGCCCTTACTAACAAAATGATAGGCACGGAATGAGTTGATTCCAAACAAATCAATCAAATCGGAAAAAGATTTGGAATCTCCCATGGCCAACTTGGAAAATGGATCAAACACCATGGTTTCAGGCTTACTACAATTATCTTCCTTCACTAGTTGAATATATTGAATATATCTGAGGGACTGAAAGTATTGTTGGATTTTCATGAAAATAGTATGGTTGCCTTCCTGAGTGTTGCGATTCTCATTCACAATGGCCTGAATGGGTGTCATGCTCTTGTTAGAGTCCAACAAATTTGCAACATGAATCCAAACATCATTGTCCATAATAATTTCTCTAAACTCCTTGTTCACGTGAGAGAGTATTGGAATCACATCCAATCGATCAATGGCATATTGGACAATATGAATTAGAATTTCCTTTGGTAAAATTAGAATTTTCATGATGATGTCTTTTATCAATATTGTTTCTAAATATAAATCCGAGAATTTTGTTACTGATGATGAAAGCGGTTGTGAGGTCAAATCTAATACTATTTACAAAAAACCCGAGAAAGAAGAACTCCGCTAATAATAACGATGAATGTTAAACTCCGAGAGTGATGATGATGATATCCAATTCACGCTCTGGTATTTCAAAACGAGAGAAGAAATCGTGGGTGCGTTTTTAAAGCTGATTTTTTTCAGTTGTTTGGTTCTAAAAATATTTTCGTTTTGTTCAAATTTCAATACATTGCGCTAAATTTGAATGGAAGAGAAAAGTTCAAAGTGGAAGATTAAATCTTTCAGATTCAATTTTGGGATTTTTGATTGAAAAAGATGTCCACTAAGGTTCCAAAAAAAAATAATTTTTAATAATATTATTGGGCACTGACACTCTAATGACAATTGACATCAAATCTCCAAACAGTCATCTTTCAAAATCGCCATGATCAAGTTTTACTTTTTCCTTCTTCTTTTCGTGCTCTTCTCCTTTCATCAATTCCTCACAGTGAAGGCTCAAAACAATTCACTTCCAACAACTTTTGAAAATTGTTACGCATTTCGATCCAAATCCTCATCTGACATTTACAAAGTTGAATGGACATTGGATGAACTAAATGATCGATTGAGTGTAAAATTTACTCTTCCAAGTGCTCCAGGTTACGGAGCGGTCGGATTTAAAAATCCAAATCAAGGATTTGGAATGTCAGGAAGTACCGTTTTGCTTGGTTATGGAAATGGAATTGTCAATGAGGTTGGTGTTGAATTTAATTGTTTTTTTTCTTACGAGTGAAATGTTGATGGGATGTGAAATTTTGTAATGTCCATTGGATGGAATGCACTTGAATATGAATAATAATTGATTCTCTTTTGAAATGTCACATGTCCAATGGCTACACTCCATTGTCCACATTTTCAACTCCATTCTGCAGTACTTTGCCAGTGGCAATACTCAACCAAACAAACTCACCAACAACCAATTCATTGTTGCCTCTTCTTCCACCATTGGAAATGTCACCACCTTAACCTATGTAAGAACTCTCTCACGTCCCAATGGAGCTCCAAACACTTATTTTGCGTTTACCAAGAATAACAGTGTCACTCTTTTATTTGCAAGCTCTTTGAAAGTACCTGCCAGTCCAACGAGTTTTCTACAACATTACAGAGCTGATTTGTATTCGGGAGGACTTGATTTTTATATGAAGAATGTGAATACTTGTATTCCTATTACTTCGGGAGTAACAATGAGAATGGATGGATGGGATGGATTAAGAATGAATGGATTGCATTCTATGGTGATGTTGTGTTTGACAATATTTTCTATTATGGTGTGGTAACAGAAAATGAAAGAATTTCTTTACCCAAATAAACTTTTGGTGAGTTGCATTCACTTCCACTCGCTGTCATCCGACATTTTGTGCAATTTTTATGAATCCATCAACAACATGTTTCACATTATAAGGTCGTGTGAAAAATTTGAATTGAATCATTTGACTTTAATAATAGCACTGTAACCAAACACAATCTTTTTAACTACCACCGATAACCATACATGATCGTCATCATCATCACCACCAACAAGCAACAGTACCATCCACCATACACAATTCCAACTCGAGAGGCCATTGAAGAACGTTCACCATTCAGCGTCGAATCACCACTATAAGCATTGGTTTGCACCGATGAAGCATATTGCTTAATAAATGTATCCAAATAATGGGTGGTATTGGTGTAAACTCCTCGATTGGATTCATAACCAGCTCCACAACCAGCAGGTCCAAAAGAAACCACACCAATTACAACAAAATCTTTTGTTGAGGAAAGAGATCTAAATAAGGGACCACCCGAATCGCCAGAACCTGTGTTGGTTGGTTTGTTTTGAAATTTTTGTCAAAATTTGAGTATTGAATCCAAAACATTAACAAATTAGTTGAAAAAAGAATATTCAAAATCCAAAAGAAACGTTGAAACAGTTGCATCATCAAATTTTTGTTCAAATGTTTGTTCCAAATATTTCCAATTCATAATTTCACACGAATCATATGTTTCTCAACTCCAAGTTCACTCAAACAATTCGACAAACACTTACATGAATCATGTCCAGCTCCATCTCCAGCACAAATCTGATTGGGTGACGTTGCTCCCTGACCACAAGTGGCATCAGTCACGACAGGTACATTCACTTTTCTCAAATTGGTCTGAACTGTATTCGTACTATCGATATATCCCCAACCAGCGACAGTGACAGCTAAATTCTTTGTGGTTGGAACAGAACCACTTTCAATATAGGCCAAACGAGTCGTAGTTCCATCAATTTGTAAATTTCGATCCAATATGATAATGGCAATGTCATGCATGAGTGTTTGTTTGTTGTAATTGGGATGAATTTGAATGGATTGAGCAATTCCGTAATTGCATTTTGAAAGGTCTTGACAGTAATTGTTGCTTCTTCCAGCGACGACTTGAACAGTAGAGGGAGAGAGTGGATTTCCATTACCGTCGAAAAAGCAGTGAGCTATTATTGGCCATTCGTTGATTGTTCGCAGTTTTACAAATTTGGAAATGACCATTTCCGATTAGGAATCATCATCATTGCATTGGATTGAATCCAAGAGAATTTTCATCATCATCATGACCTACATACCTGCCGACAAGATAACATTCGGAGCAATGATAGAACCTCCACAAAAATGTGTGGTGGATGTTGCTGTCGCATCCACCATTTGAAAAGAAACCAAAAACGGAAATTCATTTTCGCTTGCCAATGTTCCACCTGCAATGTGTAAATTTCTCTTCGAGTTGGAATTAAAGCGTAATCTCAATGGTTGGCAAGTCACAGCTGTCAGAAGGAAACACAACAGCGTCATTGAAAAAAGAGCGACTACTTTCAACTTGGTCATCTTGTGAGAGATCACTCGGTGTGTGTGCGCGACGTTTTTTTGTTTTGGAGAGATCGATGGACAATGAATATTCAGATAATCAGTAGTCATCGTTCGTCGACGAATTAGAACTCGTGTCCCGTTCTGTTCACGACAGCTGTTTTCTGTTGACGAATATTGTGCAACCATGCTTCAAATTCGGTGGCCTTTTTGCTTTTGTAGCGCGTCAAAGGATGACAGCTGGACGAGTGCAATTATAAAGATAACGTTATATTTATTGTTCAACATGTTTGATAGTGTACATATCGGAATAATCAATGCATTGAGAGTCATGTCTCACAATTTCACACTAACAGTGAAAATACAATCATAATGGTGAGTAAGAAGACTCCACAATATTGACTGTGGACATTCGATGGAGCCATTGAAACTTTGGTTCCTTTTGAACTTGTTGGTTTGGTGGAAGTATTTGAAACTGGAGAGGATGAATTATTGTTGGGAGAAGAGGATTGGGGTTTGGGAGAAGAGACTACTGGTGTGACAGATGAATAGGAACTGATTTTTACCGAAGGAACATATTGTTTGATGAAAGAGGAAAGGAAATAGGTTGTATTGGTGTAAACACCTCGATTGGTGGAGAAACCAGCGCCACAACCATCAGGACCATAGCTCACAACTCCAAAAACCACATAATCGTTTGTGGAAGAGGTTAACGAACGGAAAAGAGGTCCTCCTGAATCTCCTGGGCCTTTGTTGAATAAATTAATAAATCATGATAAGCCACAAGATATGCATGAAGAGTAGTATCATTTCACAAGAGGTAATTAACAATAGAACCATTCCAGAAAAACAATGAGATCAGAGAAAAAACACTGAAACGACCATATCCTATTACTTACAAGCATCATGTCCAGCTCCATCTCCAGCACATACTTGCATGGGTGAGTTCATTCCCAAATACAGTGGTGATCCATTACAAATACTTGCAGGTACCACAGGAACTGTCACTTTCATCAAATTTGTTTGAACCGTATTTGTAGAGTCCACATATCCCCATCCAGCAACAGTGGCAGCAAAATTTGTTGTCAGAGGAATTGAACCACCTTCAACATAGGCCAATCTCGTGGTGGTTCCATCAATATTTAAATTTCCATTGAGTTGGATGAGAGCAATATCATTTTCTAAGGTATTGGTATTGTAATTTGGATGTGGAATGATGGTGAGTGCATTCTTGTAATTACAACTTGCTAGATTAGTGCAAGAACTACTGCTGCTTCCAGCAAAGACTCTCACAGTGGAAGGCGAAAGGATATTCCCATTGTTGTCGTACACACAGTGAGCTATGGACATATTCGGAAATATGGATGACAATCAGGGTTATCCAGTGCGATATCAGACATTTATGATCGTTTGGTTAAATTCAAAATGATCATACGATCCTTACCTGCAGTCAAAATAAAGTTCGCTGCAATCACTGATCCACCACAGAAATGCGACGACGAGGTACTCGACAAGACTTGCTGAATGGAAGCCATGAAGGGAAATTCATGAGAGGAGGCAAGACTTCCTCCCGCAATGGAAATACTTCTGGGCGAGTTGGAGGAGGATGGACTTGAAGCGATGGAGGCCGCTTGTTGTCTCTTTCGTTGGGGAACTCGTTCCATAGTTGGGTGGGAAGAAGAGAGAGATAGAGAAGGTTGAGCTTGAATACAACCACCACCAACATCGTGAAGATGATGATGAATAATACAGAAGAGCATCATCGACATGAGAAGTGAACCAAACAGGAGGAAAGAGATGGGAGAGGGCCTGCCACGACGACAACGAGATGTGTGTGGTGGTGGTGGTTGGTGGAATGATTTCGCCAAATCGAACATTTTTTTTGGAAATGATTTTCGAAATCTACACCCAACAACTGCCAAAAACTGACTCCAAATTGGGAATGGATAACTTATTAATCCACCATGCCATCGCGATCGACGAAAAAAAGTCTTGGGCCATAGAGAAAAGGCACAATGAATTGAATCGCTCGACAGATCTGTGAATAATAAAGGAGTCAACGCACTGCATTGAAAGAATTGCAAATAAATGTGAGTTTGCACTCGTCGTCATGTGATCATTTCTGAAAAGAGTCACAAAGATGTTTAATTGAAATCCAGTTTGGTCTTGCGAAACCCCAAATAATGCTCCAAAAGGACTTCTATGTACCCTCCTCATTGATCATGAGCTGGAACAACTCAGTAGCACTGGAAATGGTTGGGGAAAGAGTAATTTAGTGTCGCTACGAGTCGATTGTGGTTTCATATGAATTACTGTTTTAATAAATTAATTGAACGAAAAAGTCACATCATTTAAACAAGCATCTTACTCATGTAAGGTCCATCCAGTTCATAACCCAGTTTTCTATAATAATGTCTTGTACCAACTCCACTGATGACAACAATCTTTTGTGAGCCATGTTCTTCACGAGCAATTCGTTCTGCTTCTTCCATGAGAAGTGTACCATAACCCTTATGTTGGAATTTGGTTGGATCTCTGGCACGAACTGGCACGACAGAACCATAGACGTGCAATTCTCTTACAATACTTGTTTGTTGGAGGTTTTCATTCTTCAGTTCCTTACGGAAGGTGGTATCCGTTTGTGTGCACTTTCTCAAACGTAAAAGTCCAATCAAAATATCTTGAGCAGCGTCTTCATAGGCAAGGAATGTTTCCCAACCATCTTGGGCGCAATAATCTCTTCGAATAAGTTCAACCTCATCAGGAATGACCTTAGTATGGATGGATTGAATACCGACTTCTCTTGTTCTGACATCACGACATTTTAATCCCAAATCTTTCATTCTTGCCAAAGCCAATTCTCTCAAGTTACCCTTTTCAACACCACTTGTGACAAGTGGCATTGGAATATCACGTTGAATTCTGTACACTCTGGTCCAAGGTGGAACGAGTGACAAAATCTTTGCAACTAAATCCACAAGGGAGTCTGGTGAATAATTCTTATATTGTCCAGTCTTCCACAATTCATATAAACCAGTACCTCTGATGACAAGAGTTGGATAAAGTTTGAGACCGTCTGTTCTAAACGCTGGATTTTCAAAATACTCAATAAATCCGAGAATATCTCTTTCCATATCCGAGTTTGGTAAATCAGGCATCATGTGGGCCACAATTTTATAGCCTTGATCCTTTGCAAGTGTGAAGCAACGCTTGACTGCAGCAACAGTGTGACCACGGTTTGTATCACGTGCAATATCTTCATAAATTGATTGAACTCCAATTTCCAATCTTGTGCAACCATATTCCAACATGTTAGAAATGTGTGGCTTTAAACAATAGTCAGGTCGTGTTTCAATCGTAATACCAATACACTTTTGTTTGCTTTGTTCACTGTATCGGATTGCTTCCTCCACGCTCGAACTTGTATGGCCCGAGAGAGCATCATGCAAATTTCTAATAAATTCATCACGATATTCCTTATCCAAACTCATAAAAGTACCACCCATGATAATAAATTCCACTTTATCACAATCGTGTCCGAGTCTCTTCAATTGATCGATACGATTTCTTGTTTGAAGATATGGATTATAACGAGCTCGAATAGCTCTCATACTTGTTGGTTCGTAGCCTGTATATGACTGAGTACTGTATTCAAAATCACTATCGGGACCTCCTGGACAATATAAACAAACGTTACCGGTCATGGCAATGTGAGGACATCGATGAGGCTTGCACATCACTGCTACCACAGCAATACCACTCGCAGTACGAATTGGTTTTGCCTTCAAAAGAGGCAATAACTTGGCTTTATGCTCCTCCGGAATGGCTGCAATAATTTCAACCAATTTTGGTCCGGTTTTGATTTTATATTTTCGGGAAATCTTGGCTCTCACTTTGGACATGACTACGGTTTCATTGTTTTCATAGGCCTTTAAAAGCTCTTTCACAATCTCACTGGATGCTCTCACTTTGGCTTCGGCTGGAGAGAGGCCTTCAATCACACTTGCGTTGGATGATGAAGCGCTCGATTTCTTGCTTGACATTTTTTTTGAATGTTTTTTTTGTGGTGTTGATGAGAATCCATTGGATGGATTTTTGAAAGTGAATAACCAGTCTCTGTGTGTGTTTATTACGTTCAACTGAAATGAAGAAGAAACTGCACATTTCAAAAACAACAACGACATTTAAAGGTCGTACAGTTTGGAGTATTTGTTTTTGAGGTAGTTGATAAAGATTTCTGGATTCAATTTTTGTCCTGTAGCTTCCTCGAGCAAACGATTCGAGTTCAAAGTCACACTACCTCTTGCATGAATGTTTTCATTCAACCATTTCTTGAGATGAGGATAATTATTTTCTTGGATATGTTTCTCAAAATCAGGAATGGCTGAAGCAATTTGAGCAGACGCAGCAGCACCCAACAAGTAGGTGGGGAAATAAAAGAATGCACCTGATGACCAGTGTACATCTTGCAATGCTCCCTTGGCATCGCTTGGAACATCCAATCCAAGGTATTCCTTAAATTTCTGATTCCAAGCTTTTGGTACGTCCTCAACCTTAAGAGAGCCGTCAAAGAGGGCCTTCTCAATCTCGAATCTCAGAATGACATGCATTGGATAGGTCAACTCGTCACTCTCAATTCTGATAAAGTTATTCAATGTAACAACATTTGCGGCTCTATAGACATCCTCGATAGAATTGTTCTTCTCCTTGAGGTATGGGAACATTTCTTCTGCAACTGGATACCACTTCTTCCAGAATGGTAGTGATAATCCTACATGACGCTCCCAAAATAGGGATTGTGATTCGTGGATCGTTGTTCCCAATGCAGATTGTACAGGTTGATAAGCATAGGATCTATTCAAGCCACCTTCATAGAGAGAGTGTCCAGTTTCGTGAATGACTCCTGCCAATCCATTGACAAATTCTTTAGTATCGTATCTATTGTTGTTTCGTTATGATTAATAACATTTCAAAATTAATTGTCAATATTAAATAGATAAGAAAATTAATAAGAATTAAAATTAAAAAGAAAATTAAAATTAAATCATTCGTAACGGTCACAAAAAATTTGTCATCCACACTTACCTTGTGGTAATTCTCAAATCATCGGTAGAGAAGGAAGTGGAGAATGGGTGTACGGAAACATCCAATCGACCTCCTTCAAAGTTGAATCCAATATCCTTAGCCACAAGTTTTGCCAACTCTGCTTGCTTATCAACCGGAAAGGTACCCTCGTTGGTAGATTGTAGTTTTGAAAGCAAGGCTTCATCACCATACTTTTCAGGTTGCTCTTGTACCCTCTTGCGAATGGATTGAATCAAAGGAACTAACTCTTTCTTGATGTAGCTAAAGACATGGTCAACCTCCTCGCAAGTCATGCCCGGATCGTACTCGTCCAACAAAGTATCACACACATTCTTTGAAGGATTAATCAAGAGGCTCATCTCACGTCTAATATCAATCCATTCTTGCATAACACCTGCAAACTCGGACCAATTACTGCTCTTTCTTGCCTTCACCCAAGTATGATAGCCTCTTGAGGACAATTCACTGGCTCTCTCGACCAACTCTTTCGGAATCTTGGTATTTCGTTGATACTCCTTGTGAATGAGAATAATATTGGAAATTTCATATTCATTGAAGGCAGATTCTGAACAAGATTTGACTCGGACAGAGGAGATGTCTTTTGGATCATGGAGCTCGACCAGCTGAGAAAGGTATTGTTCAATCAATGGATTGGTTTGCAAATCGTGAGTCAACGAAGCAACAACAGTTTTGTGTTGTCCTCTGCTATCAGCACCATTATTGGGCATCATGACAAGCTCGTCCCACTCCAACAAGGCATTCACAGATTGTAAGACTTTATACTTTTTGACATGATCGACGAGATGAGTGTAAACAGTGCGAAGTGATGAAGCCATTTTTTTTGTGTAATCCAAATGTTATGCATGAATCATCTGATGGCTCGATATTCTGTATTTTGTGTTTGTAATGTCCTTGTGAAACTCTATCACCAACTTAAGAAGGAATGGATAGCTCTGGATATGATATCTTGTAGCTATTTTGAAACGATGATTCAGACAGAAAGTGCTGATGGTATGTTTTTCATCTCGCTTGCATGATTTGTTGAGGAGGAGAGATTGTCGGATTTGTTCATCATTGATCACTGTTGACGGTTGGTGGTGATGTGAGAGGACAGGAATGTTAATTTGCCTTTTGATGAAAGAATCACTTGTCATTTCGCTCATGATCATAAAAAAATACAATCTCCTAATAGCCTAGCTCTCTCACAGCTGCGAACGTGTAAATAGAGTCAACATGCTGTCACATTTGCCCAATATTTCTGTATCCTTACAAAATCACAATTCTACATCATCCACACGAATCGGAAGTACAGAATCACCCAAGTCTTCATCATCACCTCATCATCCTTCTTCGTCCCATGAGGTTCTCCCAACGACGACGACTACGACTACGACGACAACATCACTTTCCTCTCCAATATTATCAACAACAAGACTTCCTTCTCCAACCACCCTCTCACCACAATTATGCTCGTCGACCATTTCACAAGAATTGAAAATTGGTTCATCGTCATCAACGTCATCATCGCCTTCTGATTCATCTCCTAAATTATATTTACAAAATGTCAAGTCTTTGAATGTGCATAATGATGACGACGATGAGGAAGAATCCTCCTGGAATATTCACATCCGAGGATTTTTACATCATTATCTTCCACACCGACCTTGTCATCGTCGTAGTAGCAGTTGTCATGACAACACATGTTCAACCACACACCACCACCAACATCATGAATATAATTATACCACAGAACTAGCAACAATTAAGGGAATGGATCAATCCATATTTCCTGTTTCGAGTATAAGACGAGTATTTGCTTTTGAGGAATGTATAGTCTTGTTGGATGAAAATGATCGAATTTGTATTTTTGGAAATTTAGACAAACGGTTGGAATTTAATAGTGAGAAATCAATCTTGCCATCCCCAATAACGACAACAACAACAACAAATCCATCATGTAGAAGGCATACTGAAAAGCCATCTTCAGCTGTCACATCCTCCTCGTTTACATCTGCATCAACCAATCCAAACAATCCACTGGAGCAACAGCAACAACAACAACAACAACAAATTTCAAAAAGAAAGAAAATGATTTCAATTTTTAATAAGAAAACCTCAATGGTGACGACTGATTCAATAGAAACTTCTCCTTCCACAACTTCAACTCCTTTCACTTCGAGATTTAAGCCCTCTCATGCAGGGTCTTTGTTTGTATCTATGAGAGATGATTTCATTGATCCGAGACCTATGGCAAGAAGTAGTGGTCTTCCTTTTCAAATTCTCAAAAAATTTTCTCTTGGAAACACGAGTTCACAAATCTCTTGCATTTTGCTTAAATATAATTCACTCACGGAAACGATTCATGACTTTGTACTAGGATCCAAGAAACATTTTTTCATATTGACCGAAAATGGGAGAGTTTATGGTATGGGTAAGTGAAAGGTATTGACAATATATATATTGGAAGAATGTCTTCAATATTCACATGTTTTTCCATATTAAATGAACTGATTGTAGGTGAAAACGAGGACGGTAGACTTGGATTCGATGAACATATTGAATTTGTGGAAAGTAACCTCATGATAGTGAATTTCTATGGTCACAAAATTCGGAAAATTGTTGCCAATGAATGTCACACCTTCTTTTTGACATATGATGGTGGAGTTTTTGCGTGTGGTAAAAATTTAGGATTTAATGGCATGTATCTGGATTTACCAACAGCGAATGTTTTTACACCACTTCGATTAACACTACCTTCGATACATGTTGAAAGTATGGCCGGATTTGGTGAATCATTATTACTTCTCACTCGAGAAGAAAATGCTTTATTTGCTTATGGATTGAATATTGGAGGAATGTTGGCAACAGGAAATAATTTGTCAATCATTGGTTGCCCAACACGAGCCTCATACTTTTTTCAATATAATGAAATTATTGAAGATGTATTTGTAGTGAATGGAAATAGTGTATTTGTAACTGAGTCGAATAAGATTTACGTGTGTGGAAAGAGTGTGAACACGGAAAAACCACTTTGTATATTTGATATTGGATCACTTGAAGAATTGGAACAATTCTCTATTCGAAAAGTGGTCGATGGAGATGGTTATGGCAATATTTTATTATTTCTAACCAATGGACTTGATTTATACAGCTATTACTATGAAACATCCACAGAAAGACATATTTTTGAAAAGGTTTATTTCAATGTCACAGACATTGCTAGTTATGGAAGAAATATTGTTTTCATCAGCAGTACGTTATGAGAGTTCGCATTGAAAATTTATTCAACATATTCAATGGTAATACTAATTTTTTCAAAATGATTTACAGATACATTCTCGCTCACCTATTGTGATCTAACTGTCAACATAAACAGAGAAGCCATGACCTTAATGAAAATATTCAGTGCGGATGCTCTTTCTGACAACAAAATCATTGAATGGACCATTCACGAAAATGATCTCTTTGACAATGAAAAAGATGCAGAGCGACCTTTGAAATTAATCGCCAAATTTTGTAATCAATTCCAAATCAACAGAAAAAAGAAGCATCCAAGAAGATACGTTTCCTTTACAGATTCAATTGATTATTTGGATCAATTTATTGATACAAAAAAGAATGACAATGCCAATCCCACTCAAAAGAATATTTGGCACAAAATTGCTCTCTCTTTCAATGAGTCTGAAAGTGCGATTCTGAGATATCTCATTGAACAATTGAAGTTGGAACTTCTTCTCGAAATTTTAGATGTACCATTTTACTTGAGACAAGTTGAGCGTGATCGTGACATGCTTTCCTTCATCAAGAAAAAAAAAAAGTATTCGCTGATCGCTGATACATACTTTGATTATCACAAAGAAAAAGGAAATGACCATCAATGGGATAAATTATTCTTTGAGCAGCATGAAGAGGACATTCTAAAATTATTAATTATTACTTTTGAGTACAAGATTCAAACACTATCAAGTGCCATTTTCAACTATCTAAGATGGAAACTTCAAGCCAATAGTCACTCCTCTCCAATTTCCAAAATTGAGAAATTAGAATACGCTTCAACATTTAATGGTTTACAAAATAATTTCAATCAATGGTTTTCATTGCAACGCAAGAAGAATATTGTTTTCAAAAAGAAGAAAACGAAACCCATGGATCACTTTTTGGCCACTGTATTGATGTTAATATGTCAAAAATTAATAGATGCTCTTCCACCTCTCTCTGTGAAACACACTGGAAAAACCTATCGAAATTTCCTCTCCCTGAATATGGATCTATCTCCCATTCAAGTAGCAGAATCACTTTCAAAAATTAAGCGACTCAAAGAAGATATTACTGAACATTTAACCAAGAAAGGACTCGTTCAAAAAGTACCAAAAAAAAGACGTGAAGAATTTCAAGAGATTATAATTGAATATTGTAAGGGAATTCGTTTCAACGACCTTTTCAACAGTTTATGTGAACAGTCACATGCCATTCATTTTCTCATTCGATACTGTATTTGTAATTGCTTTACCGAAAAACAAAAATGGATTATTGATGAAAACAAGACCACTTCTCACATTGCAAATCGAAGAGCAAAAATTCATTTACCGAAAGGAGAACATCTGTTACTTCGTTCCTATCATTCTCATGCGTCAAGTAGTGATACTTTGACCACAAGCGCAGCCACTCATTTAATGACTCTTGGATTCATGTTGGATAATATTAAGGAAGAATATCAGGATCATGAGGAAACGATTGGCAGTTTTAGTAGTAGTAGTGGTCATCATCATCATTTGAGAAGAGAATTTTCACAAGTAGAAGAAGAAGACTTTTATGGATTTATCGATGAATTTTCTTCTGAATCTCACTCTATGAATCATCAACAAGAGGAACATTTAAAAGTTCAAACGATGGATGAACAACACATGAAGATTTTAAAAATGTTTGAAAATCATAGTAGTAGCGGTTGTGATACAAGTACTAGCGGTAGCACTACTGCTTCGAATTCATCCACACCTCGACGATTGTTTGGTCTTTCATCCACTGCTACTGCTTCTACTACTTTGACGACGATGGAAAACATTTCTTCCAATAACAACAATAATTCACACGAAGTGGTAGTAGTGACTGAACATTCTAGTAACAGTGTGAAATCGAGTGTTGGTGATCATTCTATGGAAGCTTCCAATCTTTCACCTGAATATGATCAAGCACTCGAGTACGCACAAGATTTATTCTTTATTCAAAATATGGCCATCTTTAAGGTGAGAAGAATGGCCAAAGTGAAATTTCCATCACTTTCCAATCAGGAATTATCGAAGATGTATATTGACCTCGCAACGTCTCATCTCGAAAAGAAGAATTAAATGTTTCGCAAGTGAAATAATTCATCACACAAATCTCCAACAAGTTCTGGATCTTGTTGCCATTCTTTATTTGGGTAATGTCAGAACTTTTTCTTCATAACATTCATGGTCCTCTTGTACACCACTAATGACAATCCCAATTAATTCATGAAAATACTTTCCACTTATGTAAACATGATCATGAGATAACAGATTTTAATTAAAAAAAGGCCCGAATTTTGTGATAAGTGGAATGCTGCTTTTTAATAATCACACACTTAAACCTTATCCGCATTTGGATTAAATGCTGGAATTGGTCCATCATTTTGGTTGGAATGTGAAGGAGGAACATAAATTCCACCGCCATTTGTGGTGGTTGGATAATTCTGTGTTTCCATGTTTGTTGTTGCGTTCATATTTACCACCGCATTCGATGATGGAATGGAAGGTGGTGGTTGATAATACACTCCAGTTCCACCTCCTGCTTGAACGTTGAGTGGAATTTGTGGATTTGGGTAATACATTCCATAACCAGGTTGTTGAGGTGCTTGTTGAGGTGGATAAAAAGCACCACTTGAGGCATTTCCTGGTGGAAGAACTACACCTGCCTGAATCATTGGTTGTGAAGGAGGTTGTGGTGGTTGTACATAGGTAGTGGACACGACAGGCATGGTTGTTGGTGGTGGTTGAACATAGGTGGTGGTTCCAGTGGTGCGTTCTTCCATGGCAGTTGTGGCCACAACGGTTGCAACATTTGGATTTCCCGTGGTACTTAATAGATAGAGTCTTCTTCTTCTTCTTGCACAAATGGAAAGTGTAATGGTGATGGCGAGAATTAAAATACAAGCCACTACGCCAATCACTGAACCAATAATGGTCCAAACCATGGATTCTGCTGAAGAGGGTGAAAGTGATCCTCCGCCAGAGCTATAACTAGAACTCTTTAGAGTCAACTCAAAGTAACAAGTTAAAGTGCTTTGACATTTGACATAGATATAAAGAGTACGAGAAGAATAGTCAGATCCAATATATCTTTCCGAAGTGCTACTATAATAATAGCTGTTTGAGACATATATATTAGATGATCGATAAACATAACTATATATAGAATTTGGATCGGTTGGGTATTTGGTAGAAAATGCAAGATCCACATTGAAACTAGAGTAAGAACTCCTTCTCCTAATTAGTAATTCCGCATAAGTATCGGTAGAGTACAAACAACCTGTACATTGAAACAATTTGACTTGTCCAGCCGGAATGGAATCACTCATTTCATTCACGCTCGAAACAGATTCCATGGTTTGAGTGACTGTGAAAGTGACCGTTTGACTCCAACTTGCTGAATTATAAAGAGCGTAATAATACTTAATATTGGGAACTGTAATTTCATCTTCATTGTAGGAGTAGACTTTAAAGCCAGTGAGACGTGGATTCGATCCAAGGATTGAGGTGCGATAGAGTTCGAGGTACGAATTGGAGGAATAGGAATAACCATTAACAGTGATGTTGTAGAATCCGTAGGAACAAGTTTTACTGTTGTAGGTCCATGAATAGGGTGGAATGGTGATGGAGGATTGCTGGACAGCAGCGGATGCAATGGAGGTTGTTATGAGAAGGAGCACTGTCAGGAGAAGAATGGTGTGGACAATTCTCATTTTGACATTTTCCATTTTTTTTGAGTTTGTTTTGGGCATGTTGGGATCACTGTGTTGGGTGAAGCAACTCGAACGTGTGTTTAGCTTCCAAAGCGCACTACCTCATTTGTTCACCTTCAGATTCCAAGAGGAATTCCATCCACATGTGGGTGAGATGCTAAGCATAGCCATGAGACTCTGTCTCGAGGATCTGAATCGAGGGAAATGGAACTCAAATGCTGCTTATTCTGAAGACACTCATGATCAATTTTTACCACTACCATATCTTGATGCTTATAATGTCATAAAATGTCATTAGGTAATTAAAAGGACACAATTTCATTTTCCCGCCATTGAACTTACAAATAGATTTTCAAAAAAAAATATTTCAAAAATGTCCTCCGAGAATGAAATGAACAACGACAATAGCAACACCAATCCGAATGGGGATCAGGGAGATTTAATTAACCTTGGTGTTTCATCATCGGATGGGGTTCATAATGATGAAAATTGGGTAGTCAATGAATTGGATCGAATTGAGGGTCTAGATCCGACGGATTACAAACACTTTAAGAAGAAAGGACTTGAATTAGAAGCTTATTTGCTCAAGATGATGGAACGAGAGACCAACGTCATTGAGAACGGAAAACAATTGAACAAGGAATTTTTGGAGGAAAAGAGAAAATTGAAAGAGCTTGAAAAAGTCAAACAAGAAAATTCTCAGTACATTACGGATCTCAAAAAAGATTTAATGAAGGCAGAAAATCAAACAGCGCTCATGAACGAATCAGAGGCTGTCACTCAGACCTCTGTCATTGAGCTGGAGAGGAAAATTTCGATATTAGAAGAACAAAAAAAAGATCTCATTGAGCAACAAAATGCCAAGGAGAGACCCATCATTGAAAATTTGAAAAATAACATCCGACAATTAAAACAAGGAATTAAAGAAATTGAAGAGCGGAAAAAGAAGGAAGAAGAAAAGAAACAAAAATTAGAAAATGACATTTCAGCTGTAAATCAAGATTTGGAAGAAGTGTTGAAAACCCAGGCTCGGGATTTAGAAAAAACTCTGCAACGATTGAGAGAAGAACCCGAACGAGAACGACGACAGACTGAGATTGTCAGAAAAGCAAGCAAAGCTTCCTATGAAGAAGTTAAAACTCTCTCCGAAAAATTGGAGCAACTTGAAAGAGAGGTCAACGAAATTGAGACGAAGAAAATAGATTTTGAACAAATTCACTACAACATGTTCATGCTCGAGGATAGTGCAAAAATCAATGCAACCAAGCTTCAGGAAGACATTGACAGAATGAGACAAACTCTACTTATCGAAAAAGATAAAGGAAAGGAAGAAATGTTGGAACGGGTGAGACTAAATTTATTGTTGAAGACGACCGCTGAAGAGGAAAATTCAGAAGTCAAACACAAACAATCTCTTGAAAATGAAGAAAATATATGTAGTAGAGACGCGTACAATATCCAGCTTCATCTTGAACACATCAAATCCACGATTGATAAATTAGCAAAAACAATAGAGGAGTTGACAGTCGAAAAGGCAGCTCTTCAAAATGAATTGGAGGTCACAAAAGAAAAGAAAATTGAAATTGAACGAGATGTTGACTTGTTAATTCATGAACTGCTCACAGGAGAGGCTGAATACATGTTTTTAACGGAAAAGTTGAAAAATCGAAAAACAGAAACAGATGAGCTGGAAAACAAAATTACAATCGTTGATGGACAAGAGGGAGAAATGAACAAGATCATCTCCAATTTGGAAGGGTTGCGAGAAAGGAAAGCAAGAGAAGCTGCCAAGAAAAAACGAGATTTCATGGATGCAGTGGGAGAAATTAAAATTCTGCATTTCAGCAATGGAGAACTTTTTAAGTCGCTCAATGAACTTGAGAACAAGTACATTGCTTTGCAACAATCATATTCTCTGATGGAGAGAGAGAGAAACAAATATGCCAAAGCTATTCAAGATAGTGCTCAGTCTCATGCAGAAATTAGAGAGAAAAACAAGATTCTTGAAAATGAGTTGGAGGTCCTGACAAAGCAAAATCAAACCAAATCAGAAGAGCTAAAGCAGGTAAAACGAAAAGTTGAGGACGAGGTGACAACCAAAGCAAGCATGCTGAGTGAGTTCAGTAAAAAGAGACTCCTCTACAAGCAAAAGGAAGAACAGAACCTTGAATTAATCATGGAAATTGATAAGCTCAATGCTGACATCAACTTGGCAGAAGAAATGATGATGATGCTCAAGAAAAAGTATGAAAGCGGAGTGCAAGATAGAAACTATACTGGCATTCAGCTGATAGACAGAAATGACGAGTTGTGTATCTTGTATGAAAAAGCTAATGCACAAGAGAAAATTATCAAGGAAGGTGAAATTGAAATGAGAGAGCGAGACGAGGAGATCAAAGCTCTTAAACTTGATTTGGAAGAAGAAAAGCGAAGATTAGAGGTTCTATTTAAAAAACTTCCAGAATATGAATCGTTTTTAAAGATGGAAGAAGAATTAAAGGAAGAAATTGAAAAACTAAATGCTCAGGCCTCCAAATTATCCGAAGAATTGGAAAGGCCTGAAAACTTGGAGAGATGGCGAAAGCTTCCAGGTGACATTCCCAATGAAGAAGAACTCAAAGATAAAATTCAAGAATTGGAAGAAAAGCTTAATGAAAGAAGAGAACAACTCATGGAAAAGAATCTCGTTCTGAAAGGGATAACAAAAAGTTCGGACAAACTTCGAAAATTGGCAATTAAGGGAAGAGATGAATCGTTTGATTTGGCTGTCAACTTGAATTTCATTCAAAAGAAAATTGAGCAAACGACCAACAAGATGAAAGCGACCGTGTCTGAGCTCTCCATTTATGGCACAGAAGCCATGCGACTCGAGAAGCAGAATGAAGAACTCAAGAGCATGATTGACGAAGCACGTTCAAGAATGGATCGTGGTGAACCTCCCTCAGAAGCGATTGAACAAGAATGGGCACACGAGGAAGAAGTCAAACAACGATGGAAAGAACAAATGGCAGAACGAAAACGAAGACTTGAATACGAAGCTAGTTTACCCTCCACCATTACAAGAACCACTGCTGTCAAGCGACCGAATGCCTACATTCCTGACGATGATTTGGGCATTCCAAAACCTTACTTCATGCCACCTGTATTATATTCTGCACCTTCAGCCACGATGAGACACATTCGAAAACCAAAGGCTAAGGACATTATTATTTAAGTAATTTATTGAAGAATAAACATTAACTCGTTTTTTCATAGTTATGATACATATTTGAATGAGATTGCACAAGCATTCAATAGGATCAATAATAATATTTATAATAAATAAAATCAGAAATAGTTTAACATTTGTACTCAATAATATTGTAAAAAGTCAGCGTAATAATTAAAAATATTTTCAAGAATTCCAATTACCAAAAAAATTACCAAAAATTGGCTCCATAATTTATAGAAACAAAATTGATGAACTGATTAGTTGCTCGTTTGAGGCACGTCAAAGGCATACTCAGAGTTGTAGTCTCTATTGAAAATATTTTCAACAGTTTGTCTCAAAGTGGATGCAGTGCTAGTGAAAGAAATTCCTGCAGTCGTGTAAAAGTAGTCCTTACTCCAATTCGACGTAGAAATGTAGGCTTGTTGTTCAGTGACCATATATTTGGCATGATTGACCCTAGTGAAGGGATATTTTGGAGCGTTTGGCTGATCAGGTACTTGGAAGAGTTTGGCAGAGATGGAGCCACTGCATTTTACTCCTCCAACTTTACAAATTTGAGCTCCAAATGCTAACAAGGATTGCAGAACAGTGATCTGCATTGGTTTGGTGTGATCCCACTTGCTAATTAGAAGCTTCACTTGAACATTTCTAATCACAGCTGATTTGAGAGCGTCTATTTGTGTGTCATGTCGCAAATAATAATAAAGAAGGAATGAAAAAAGTCAATATACCATGTTAACACAGCAATGGTAATGTCAATTGAATTACATACCCTCAATTTCTCCCCAATATTCAGGTGCTGATCCGTAGAGCATCAATGGTTGAAAATCCATGACTGAGATGTAAACAAATTGAGTGGCATTATTAATTACAGAAAGTAAAGCATCAATATCATTTGTTCTTAAAGGTTCATTAATAATTCTTGGACTTGCAGACATGAACACAGTGGATTCATTCTTGACAGGTTCATTCTGGAAAGGAACCAACAATCTACTAAATTGATTCACACTTGTGAAGGTATTTTCAGGCCATCCTCTAAATCCTGTAAAACTATTGTTCATGCTTGTTCCAAGAGTGTAGTAAATATCCATAATTTTTTCAATATCTTGTGTCAAACATTCACAATCAGTAACTTTAACTCCCAATTCTTTGACTTGAGCCAAAGATCTCCAATCCAAATTAGCACTACCAACATAGAAATGTTTACCATCAACAGCAATGGCTTTTGTGTGCAAAATACCACCAGAAAATGCCTTTTTCCAGTCAACTGAAACTAATTCAGCACCCATCTTTTCCAAGGCTCTTGTGTCATCATCTGGAAAATCTGCAGAGGCTATATTCTGAATAATAGTGACTTTGATTCCTTTCTTGATAGCATTTGCAATGGCAGCAAAAGTTTCATTTCCATATTGTCCACCCGATATCACAGAAGCGTCGTTCAGTAAACTTGAATAAAAGCAAACAATAGTGAGCTTTGATGTAGCTCTTCCAATAATATCAGCCCATGCATTGTGTGTAAAATCTGTGTTGGGAAGTAATTTTAAATTGAGACCCTCTGGAATGGACTCTACAACTTGATATGTACTAGTTTGAGTGTAATTTCATTGTTGTTGTCATGTAAGTAGTGAAATAGAACAATAAACGTTTGTGATGAGTATTTCATGGAGATGGTTATAACATATTAATGAAATAATTCAATCGCAAATATCATCAATAATAATAATAATTTTGACATAATAATTATTGAAATAAGAGAGTCACCGCTCCCGAACAACCAACACCTACCACGATGAATCACATTTCAAAGAATCCATTCTCTTCCCAATTCTCGAGTAACTATAAACCAATGCCGGAATGATCACACACGTAGCAACCACACAAGCCACCGTAGCACAAACTCCAGCGACTATATATGCATTATATGCCCGTAATTTCTTCCATAAAGATGATGATGAATCATCGTCATAGTGAATGACATTGGAATATCCTTCTTCTCCACCATGATGATGAGCCTCCGATGAGGACGAACCGTAGAGAGTGCTGCTGTGATTGGTCGAGCTCTCGGTAGCAGCAAGAAGGCTCTTGTTCATTTTTTTTTCCAAAAAATCTCTCAATCCAAACGACAGAAGGTGTCGTCACTTCTTCATGTACAACGAATGTTGTGGAACGCAAGAATTAATTTCTATATATAATCCCATTAATAGTTCAATAATAATAATTTATGAACCTTTTCTCAAGATTTGATTGGCAAGACACCTTAAACATTTGATGCTCTGTGTGAGATGATATTTATTAAAAGGTGTTCTGACAATGATAGACGTTTTCTAAGTGAGACCGAAGGTTTGAGTTCCTTGCTCAATCGCCTGAATCAGTTTCTCTTTCATTTGTTTTCTCGAGGTGTAGGCAGGAAGTTTTAACAAAGAGTAGCAGGTGGAGCTGGTGGGTAGTCGAGATGTGTCAGAAACTTTGTGAATACAAATTTTAGGATGTAAATCCTTAAATCCTAAAAGTGGAGGTCTCGAAATGGATGAAATAAATTTTAAAAGCAACACATGTTGTTGAGGTGTCAAATCATTGAAAACAACATCCCAAAATAATTGAATGGTTGGATGTTCCTGATCATATCCAGGTCCGTACTCTGTGTTGGCATACATGTCATCAATATCAACAGGAGCATCTGATCCGGAAATAATGTCAATAAGTTCATTTTCATCAAATAATGCAAGCCAGGAGGCAGGAATAATATCATTAAGGCCCTTCATGAATGCTTCCGATTGACTTTTGATTTGTTGATTGAGCTTGTAATGGGCCATTCGATATATGAAAGAATACTTGTTCTTCTCATTGACTTCAATATTTTCGCCATTGGGAATGAGTGGTATGACTCGCTTTGCTGACATTTCATCGCCTTCAACAACCGTAAAGTTCAATCCTAAATCTCCTAAATTGCTATTGTTTTTGAGATAGAGTAAATTCTTATACAACTCCTTGTCATAACTGTATAAATCATTGATCAGATCAGAATTTGACCCTTTCATTAGTTTGGAAATGAAGAACTTGGCCAATGGTAAATCAATCATAATACCATCGTAAACAGCCTTGCCTAATATCTTTCCTAAAAATGTATAAAAGTGCAAATCTTGACCTTCAGGATAAATCAAGCTTGAATATGGATTTGGATATAAATGACCGTCGTCTGTCGATTTGAACAAACCGTATGATGTGCTGTACGCCAATTTACACAATTCAAAGATAAATTCTCTCATAACACCCTCTCCAATACCAGCCTCTCCACTAAATTGAACTCGAATTCTTCCTTTTAGTTGTAATGCTGACAAGGGATAAAGCTTTGAATATGAGTCCTCAAATATTCGATCTCTGTGGATTTCTATTGGTTCGATAAAGTGCTGTAGTTGTTGGCTATAGTCCTTGTCGAGTGTAAGAATTTCTTTGAAAATTCTGATGCGCACGTGTATCGGGACCATGAACGGCAGTTTAGCAATTAATTCTCGAGTTTTGTTGAAAGCTTGCGTCTCTCTAAAAGATGACTTGTGTGATAGAGCTTCTTTGAGAGCCTGTACTCGTTGCAATCGTATTGGAACATATTCATAGGGGTCTCTTCTTTGCTCTTCTTCGTCTGTCATGTCATTTCCTTGATACATAAATTCTGCAATTTTAGTAATATCAATAGAGGAGGCTTCATCAACGACAAAGTGATTGAACGGACAAAATTTGAGCCTTACATCTCTATTATGAATTTTGGTGAGTACATTACAAACGTCTTCCTTGAGTGATGACTTTGAGGATGTCCATACCAATTCAAATGCAATAGGCTTCAAGGCTCCAGAAATGTTAATATTTTCCTCATAACTGAATGGTTTTGTTTTGAATTCTTCATCATCGATAAATGATAGAACATTGTCATACACCTTACAGAAGAGCGCTAATATTTCCACATTGTCCAACAGATCATCCTTAATCAAGTTCCACATGGAGGTGAGCAAGCTATAATTATCAGTGCAATACGATAGCAGCCCAAGAATGAGTGTTGTATGTTTGCTTTCTTCGTGCATCAAGTACAGGAACAACTTGGCAAAATCTTTAAAGGTCGTATTCCTCAAGGTCAATTCAGAGTTTACAATGGTTTCGATCAATTTTTTGAGATGGTTCTTTTTGAAAATTAATTGGACTTGTTGTTTCACACCTAAAGGGATCTCTTCAATGCTCTTGTCGTCGGTCATCATAGCTGTATATTGTGAATAACATTAGTGACATGTTGAAATAGTCATTCATGTGCAATGAACATAAATAACATACCTGATGAATTGTCATCCATGGCTATCAGATCAAAATCCACGTCTGGCAATAGAGATGCAACAATTCCAAGATATTGTATCAAAATTTCGAAGCTCAACGAAGTTTTCAATCGCTTGTTCATAAACTCAATTAAATTTCCGCAGAAAAATAACTTTCTCTTATTATCATGAGAGAAATGACTTGCTACTTCATTTCCTATTCCACACAATACCGTTTGAGCATCAATAAGAGCAACACTTGCCTCTGATAGAGAGGAAAATACCATTGGATAAGAAAATAGTTCCAACACAAGATTTGCAATCGTAGTAGAATCATCCTTGATGCCATTCATAACGGTGGAAAATAAATTGGCTGCATATTGTTGCGTTTTTTCCTGAGAGTGGGTCATCATTCTGTTCAACAGTGTAATTAAGTGTCTAGCATTGATTTGTTTTTTCAGTAATGTACTGTACATGACTTTGGAATAATATTTACAATCAAGAGTGGTTATTAAGGCCTGAGACGCGAGTATTAATCTCTTGTTAGTTGTCAAGTTAAAGTCGTCATCTTTGATGCTATTCAAATATTGTACAATTAGAGATGTGAGTTTGTTATATTCTAACATCTGTAAATGCTCATTAATGGAAATGGGATGAGTCCTCCACAGCCGCAATAAAAAGTTTAAGCAAACCAATAACCTATTTTCATCTTTCTCTTCATGAATGTTATAAAAATATAACAACTTGTTCATCATGGAGAGCACGACATTGGAGGATTTTTCCTTTGCAATTGCCGTTTCGTCAAACAATTCTCGCTGGTGATTTTTCTCTTTCAATTTGATCATGTATTTCCGAGCAAGCTTTCCGATAGATTTTGCGGCTTGTTCTTGGACTTTATTTTGTTTTGATAACTCTCTTTCCCTCCGAGCATTTTCTAACAATTCTTCTCTCGTTAAACTCTTTACGTTTCCTCTCAGAGAGACTTTCTTCTTGGAAGAATCAGCACCAAATGTAAAATTCATTTTCCAATGTTTGCGGAATGCTATTTTTTTTAAAGAAAGCAAAGAGGAAGAAACCTCTTTTACAAGTACTTGATCACCACCAAAAAGAAAGAGATTTAGATGAATGAGAACTTTAAAAATTGCTGAGACGGTATGATCGAGTGCAGTTTTTCATCATTGATGACATGTTCAACTCTTCACCTATTGTCATCATGGAATCAACTTTGGCTCCAAATACTGTCCCAGAAACTCGAAACAAAAGTTCAAAACTGGAAATAAGTCTGAATCACTTCGAAATCCATTCTAAAAAAAATGTCCAACAACAACACTCCACAGTCAAATCAACCAACTTTTCAGCCTCCGACTGGCGGTTACTATGGCCAACCAACAACTCCATTCATGTATCATCATCAAGCTGGAGGACAACATGTTGTACAACAACAACCCTATGTGATCTATCCACAAATGGTTCAAGGACAAGGTGTACCAACACCCGTCTATGTTCTCGGAGCAGGTGGACAACCTCAGATCGTTTCCATGCAACCAGTTCAAATGGCTCAGGAGACTTCTTTGGAGGAACGTTTAGCCGCTGAACCAACCGCAACAACAAATAATAACAACCAATCTTGTCCATTCTCTAGAATGAGATCTTGTAGAAGTAGCAAGGTGTGCCAATTTGTCAAGGCCAATAAGGAATTCACCGCTCTAATTGTTGTATTCACCATCATTGCCATCATGACTTTGATTACATTGATTACCCTTCCAGGCGTAGGAGCATTCTTACTTCCAAAGGTTATTTTGGCAGCTTTAGCTCTTCTTTCCATCTACAAGAAGAAAGTGATGGCTCTCAACTTCTTTAATGGAGCTTTGCTTGTTGATTTCTTGTATTTGTTTATTGCTTCTATGGTTCTCACAGCTTCATATTATAGAGATAGTTATTATCGCCACTTTGCTACTACTGTTCCATGGCATGCAACTATTCATGTTTTGGAGCTTGTGATGATTGTTTTGTCCATCTATTTGTCAAAAAAGATTTACAGAGAGACCCACTCCACTCAAGTGCCACCACAAGAGCAAGTGGTTCCAGTTCATATTGCCTCCAATGAACAATCTGCCTATGCCCGTCTCCAAGATGAACAAGAGACCCCACAACAACAACAAAACGAGGAAGCCATTCAAAGATACTATCCAAGCTTGAACAACAATAATAACAACCTTTAATTGTTGTGAGAGAATTGGTCTGAGCTTGAATATAAACACTTGTATGCTTTTGTTTACACATAGATTTGATTCCAAAATGTCAGTTTCTGAATGATGAAGTCGTGACATTCACATCTTTCAAGCAAACCGACTGACATTTCACATCTTTAAAAAATGAACACAATACACATGGATGACATCTTCATTCCCTATCATTTCCAAACTTCAACGAAACAGAAAGTACAATTGCTTGGTTTACTCTTTGGAATTTTGTTAATTTCAGGATCATTTCTGCTTCTCGTGTTAAATAATGAAATTCAATTTTCAAAACATCATCGGAAAAGTGTGGTTTCGGATTTTTATCATGACGATTCATGGATTGGAATATTGAATGAAATCTTCGCTACATTATATTCATATTTAATTTATTATCTGAATGAAATTGGAAGGACATTAGATCATTGTTTGGATGACCATGTCAGTGATGGTTTGACATCTGGCAGCAGTGATGGATGCTTTTCAAGATTGATTCGACCAAAATCTGTCATTCGTGGTACAGGTAGAAAAGGAAGTAGTAGTTACTTCCTCTCGTCATCATCGCCATCTCCATCATTCATCCTCTTTCCAAAAGACATTCCTTCGAATTATCGCAATGTCACACGAGTTGGAAAAATTCCTCCAAAGATTCGAAATGGTCACCATTGTCCATTTAATGGATTTCGAAAACACACTCACTACATGTTTTCACAAACAGTGCTTCCCACACTCTGTTATCATAATATTGAAAATGATCTTTATTGTGATTTAACAGAGGTGAGAGAAAATTTTCAGGATCGACTCTCTCCACATGCTTTTATGGGATTTAATAAGGATCGACGAGTGAGATCCTTCTTGTTTGCTCAATGTTGTGACAATTTCGATTTTCGTTTTAATTTTAAAAAACGAATGGATTTGAATTCAACGAGAATAGCTGATCTTTCAAAAATAGTTCCTAGACCCGTGTTAGATCAAATCTATAATTCACTATTGATGCAAGATTTGATTCGATATGAGGATTTACCCAGGGCTTTCAATTGGAATACCTTGAATATTCAAGAATTTTTAGATGAAAAAACGAAAAGATTGCTGGAAGATCGATGGCCAGATATTTTGTATCATCACAGTCGATTATTAGCTTCTTTAAAGTTTGGAATGTGGGCTCATGCGTTTACAAAATTTGGAACATGTGTCACTGGTCAAATTTATCATAATTATGTGGAACAAGCTTTTCTTTCGAGTGTTAAAAACAAATCTTCACAAAATTCTGAAGAAATGTTAAACGAAATTCGCAAAAGAATGAAATTAGAACACATCTATCATTCAGATCCTGAACTCTATTTTGAATTAATAATTTTACTGAACTCTCGATTTGATTATTTTAAAAGAAAACATGGACAATTATTGAGAGAACATTTTCCTCCCACTCTTAATCGTACCTATTCAGCGAGAGAAATCAAACAACGCATTCAACAACTCTTTCAACATGATGTTCTTCTCACCTGTGTATGGTCTACCAAATATTCACATCGATTGCTCTATCAAATTCACACATGCATGAATATTCAACAAGTGGAACCATTGGCATTTTACTTGATTGAAAGAAGACAGAAATTAGTATTCCAATCGACAGAACACGATGACGATTCAAATGATTCTCAAGTTCTTTCTCTTCTCAAAGATCCAACCATTAAGAAATTACTTTCTCAAATTCAACCTGAAAGTTGTTTGAGTGTGACAAAAAATTACAATCGAACTCGACATTCTGAAATTTTTCATCACAATGTCACTGATATGTGGAATCATTGGAATTATCATGGCAATGACGAACCCACTCTTCTCCATACTCGTGAATGTGAAGATGAAAGTCAAGTCTTTCTTCCAGATGCTGAAACTATTTTGAAACTATTTTCAGAAGAACCTTCGAGTGGTAAAATTATAAAAATTCCCACAGAAGAATCAGTAGAGAATGTCAAGTTAGAGGAGAATATTGATCATAACTCTTAACACCCATGTGGAGAGAGGATGTATTTGAACAAATTTAGAACAAGTCGTAACATTAATGCATTTTCAAAGTGGATCTCAACAACAAACAAAATGCACTCGATGACCAACCAAAAGAATCAACAACTGCAGGTGGATACGAGACCTCTGGCGAGATATCTCGAGGAGACGTTCCATGCTCAATATGTGGAAGATATGTTTGATCCAATGTCTCAAGATTCTAGTCATTGTTTTGATTTGGTCTTTCGATGCAACGATGAGGTCAATGATCATGCCTATCCATCATTTGATGAAAACTTTCATGAAAGAAATATAGCTGCAGACCATAGCTATGGTAGTAATGGTAGTGCAACCACCACCGCCACAATAGGACAATCAAAGAACAAAATGATGATCCATCAATATTCTGCCATCTATGTGCACAAATTCTTCGTCATGGCTCGTTCGGATTATGTGAGGAAGTTGTTGAAAGGACATCATCATGATTCACAATACAGTGATGATAAGGACAGGGAAATTCTTAGAAAGACCACACGATCAATATCTGAAGTGATGGTTCATTCAGAAACTCTAAAATGGCTTTCTTTGCATATTAATGCTTTATATAGAAATACAACCAGTCATTTGTTGAATTCTCAGTGGTTTGAGGAAGCACAACTTGTCGAAATGATCGACAGGAGAAAGGTGTTCAGTGAAGGTGTTGAACAATTTGCAAATTGTGTGCAAGCAATTTTCCATGTCGTTTCTGAGTTCAATCGAATTCAACAAGGAACCAAAAATGGAAATGAAAAGCAACCACCACCACAGCTTGCGCCCAAATATTCCTTTTTGAAAGACACATTCGACTTGACCATTCAATTGTATAATCCATACTGTGTGGAAGAATTGATGAAAGAATATCGAGTTCACAAATTATTTCTCTTTCGATCACCATTCATGAAAAAGATCCTGCAAAGTGGAATGAACGAAACTCAAACGAATATTGTGAAGTTTCACACCATTTCTGTTGAGGGTTTTAATCATGTCTTGCAATATCTCTATACCCAGCATTGCAACGTTCCGCGCGAGCATGTTGTGGAAATTTACGTCTTTGCACAATTAATGGAATTATCCGACTTGTCATCTGTGTGTGTCAAACTTGTAACCAAAATGATCGATAAGGACAATGTCTTTGATGTGTTAAGTCTTGAAGAATTGTCATCAATTCCATCCATTCTTGAAGCATGTGCGCAGGTCTTGACAGAACATGTGATCAAACAAATGTCATTCAATTAGCTTCGACTCTTCCAAAATTTGAATTATTACTCAAGCCCAGAGTTCATCAAAAGATTGCGTTCTATCTGGCCAATGCCTATGAATCCATTCCTTCTGAAGTGTACGGTGAATTGTCAGTGGATATTCGAATGAAAGTTCAGAAAATTCGAAAAAAGAAATTATTGAGTAAGAAATAGAGAGTTAACGATCGACCAGTAGTAGTGAGAGGTCACAATCTCTTTTCTGCATAAATGGAATATTCCATAAACCTGTTTAAGACGCATTCTTAAGATTTTGATGTTCTGATTAACAACTTCTGTCAGCCAACATCTTTTCCAAATCTTCCAACAATACATTATATTCCTGTAAAAATTCTGGTAGCATGTCAATAAGAGCTGTCTCCTTTGCCGACTCCACACTAATAGGTACATATAAACAAATGGTTAACCTGTCTGGATTGGAACTGTTTTTTCGAATTCCAATGCCACCACTTGCACAATTCTTTCCCAATAAATTTCTTTTCAATAAATACGTGTAAATAAGATCCTTCTTGTGAACGTCAACAATGTTTACCGTAAACATTGAAAACACAAAAATGTGATCAATGGCACGGATTTGAGACGATGAGGATGGATATTGTTGATGTTGAATAAAAATACTGTAAGAATTGGTCGCCACAGCACACAATCGATCTTCAGAAAATTGAAGTCCTCCTGGAATGGCAAGAAACGTTCCTAATCGGTCAAGAAGTAAATTTGCTTTTTGAGTGCTATCCAGCTGGCCCTTGTAATACATGTCAGACATGAAACAAAGTATGTAATAACTATCGAGAATAATCTCACTTGCTGCTTGTTTTTCAAGTTCTCCTTCAATCAGGTCATCCATTGATTTCTCTAAATATGATTTCAATACTTCATGTGTACTCGATATGAATGTGTCTAATAGAGATTGATGATTACTACTACTAGTGGATTGAGTATCATGATTGTTTGCATCTTCTGTACCATTCGTTAGTTCAGAGGAGGCCGCAACTGCTCCAACCACAGATGGTCTTGGACTCACTTGTTTTTTATGCTCAATGAGGTCAATAATACTGTTCACAAGAGTGGCTTGCTTTTTTGTGAGGCCATACTTTTTCATGGTATTGTTCGTGGAATTGCAGGTATTCGATAACATTCGTTGTCGTACATTGGTCGAAGGACTCTTCTTGATTGTCTTCTTTAAGAGAATCTCCTTACTAATTTCTCTCCAATATTCAACTGCGAGAATGAAGCCTTGAACAGTGAAAAGTAATGTGGAAAAACTAGCACATCTTAAATCATAATATGTATGTAAATAGATGGCATCTCCTTCTGAGTTCAGTCCACACGACAAGAACCCGAGTTTTCGTCCTGCATCCATCAATCCAAAGAAAGATTGGAATAAAAACTCTTCAAATAGTTTCGCTCGATCTTCGGTTGATATTTCAAATAAATCAAGGTCGTCCAATGTCGCATAAATGTAAACTCTGTCTGCTCCAACCCCCAGAAACACTAAGAAATTGTCAGCAATTTCAATCAGTTGAACGCTTGAGAAAAATTTATCATGCAGACCTGAAAGTCCAGTCACATGCTCTAAATGCTTCATGGATCGAACTGCTCTCAACTTTGTGAATGATTCTATTATATTTTCAAAGAACTCGCCATCTCTGAAATTTATGGCAAAGAGTTTTTGGTAGAATTGAATTAAAGAAATACAGGGAGAAAACTCTTCTTGATAAAAGAGATCGTTTTGTCTTAAATCCGCAAGTTTGATTGAGTCCTCTATTAAAGAAATGTCTTTGATCACTGGAAATTTAACAATCTCAATTCCATCTTTTTTTTTTGAAAATTTAGCAGTTTTCTTATAGAGATCAATATTACGGTCACGTTGAATACTTAATTCAATATCGTTTACATCTAGAACTGAATCTTTCCATAGATAAAATTGATCCTCAAAAAAAGCTTTGGACAAGGTCTTGTTTTTGCGATGCAGAGAAAACATTTTCTTGTAAACACGCACTAAATAGTTTGTGGGAGCAAAGTTGCAATAAAAAATTGCAATTTTCAGCATGACTCTTAGAAAGTAATAACTAATTTCCACAAATGAGGTTGGTTTTGCTTTCGCATTGTCGTTGTTAGTCACGAATCTCAAAGGTTCGTCCAAAAATATCAACCCGTCAATTTCTCGTGATTGGTAATGTATGACAGGCACTGTGTGCTCCTCAAACCTTTCTATCTCTACACAAAACATACTCAAGACCTCAAATAATCGAGAGATCTTTTCGAAGTTCTTAAATAATTCACAAACCTCTTCAAAATGTTCTGCGAGAGTGAGTGAAGTTTTCAATATGGATTTGACCTGTTCAATGCTAAGAAGGTTTTTAGAATCTTTAAAAATAGAGTATAAATACATTAGAATCTCAAGAGTTGAAAGAGTATAAACATTGGAATAATCAAACGCAGAAATAAAATGTGTAAGATCTTCAAAAACTTGTGAAAATTTGGTGGTCAACGTTTTCCATTTCTCGCTTTTAACAATGTATCGTTTTTCCTTTGATTGTGCATAGAGGCAAGAGGCAGATTGTGAACATTGCAAAAAATCAGACAAGGCGGAGATCTTGCCAGAGGTGTCATCTTTCAACACCTCAATTGCCGCGCTTATGTGCAACAAGCACTTGTCCAATAGATTGATTTCTTCATCATGCAATGTTGAGTATTTCATCTGTCGCTTGTAGTAGTCCACTAAAAATTGATAGCACCTAATCTTGACAACACTGTAGGTGCCATAGTAATCCAACAATTGATCACACAATGCAAAAGCTTCTTGTTGCATATTGAGTGTTGTAAATAGTGAGAGAATATATAACCTAATAGAACAATGATCGTGATTGGCAATATTGTCCGTGATTAGCCCACGAAAGAGTTTCAATGCAATTTTGGGTTCGGTTTTGATGAGAATGTTTGCTCTTTCCTTAATAATCGAAACATAGTATTGGTAAAGCTCAGTTTTCTTCTCAATTGTGTCATTTCCACCATATTTCAGAATGAAATCGAAATCATGATCATCAAAGACTTCTGCGTTTTCTTTTTCCAACCGTAGAATCCGTTTGAGATACGGGATTAATTCTGTATAGAGGTTTCTTTTCTCTAAATCATTTTTGGCAGAGCGAGCTCGAAGTGACACCAAAATTCTGTGTTGTTTTGGGTAATACATGAATGCTGTTTTTTGGTTTAAACCTTGCCACAAAAGTTCCATTTTCTTTAAAATATTCATAGCTGTGGATGAGCTGGCATAATTATAAAGCATTTCTGTCAATTCAAAATATCCACAAGAAAATAGTTCTGTTGTTTGCAATGTAGAACAAATGTGATTTGCTTTTTCGAGGTGTTTTACGCATTGGATAGAATTTCCTCTCTCATCGTACCAAGCTGCTATGGATCTAAGGGACTTAACAATTATGTAGCAATCTGTGGTGTTTAGCAATAGTTGGAATGAAGACAAGTCATTATTAGAAGTCAATTCATAAGCAGTAGCATAATTAATTATACCAGTCTTGAAATATTCCTGATTTTCGGCACAGAAATTTTTCAGTTCATCTTTAAAGGTAGAGGAAAGATATTCCTTCATGCCGTAATAGGCAGCCTCAATCTCAAAACCTTGCGATTTCTTGAGCTTTTTGCACAAAATCTCAAACATCAAGTAAGAATAAAGTTCTCCAGAGAGTTTGTCTTTGTTGTCGTTCAATTCCTTTGAAATTCCATTTAAAAAATCGATGGCCTTATAAAAAGAAACAAATGGTGGAGAAAAGCAGGCCAAATACTCAACTTCAACTCTAAATCTTAAATATATTTCCAAATGTGCTTTTTTGAAATTTTCATTCAGTATGTGTGTCAACATGTGCTCAAATAATTTGTTGGCTTTTTCAATTTGGCACGTCTCGAACATCAACATAAAAACCTTGGAGAGCATGCCATATTCTTCATCGAGAGTCGGCACATAGGTGAAAGTGATGTCCTCTGGTGAAAAAAGTTCATCTAATTGATCTTGTGATAACAATATTTTCTCGTTCATAGAGAACAGAAGCTGAAGACAATAGTTAATGAGCCAACATCGATCTAAAAAATAGAAGGGAGACATGCCATAGCAGTTTAGAAATTTCGAAAAAGCAAGAATTGGGTTATAGTTCAATCCCGTAAAGTCTTTCATCTTAACAGTTGAATGTGCTTCAATCCAAGCTTTACAAACATGACCAAAAAAAGTGGTTGCTAATGACCTAGCTACATTTTGAATTCGAGGAAACAAATCAAAAATAATTTTTTCCAAATGTACCAAACGTTGGTAGTCACCTATATAGAATATATCCACATCCTCGTTCCAATAAATTTCATTGTAGGGATTAATATCTTTACACAGATCATAAATAAGGTCGATCGCTAGATCTAGATTTACAGCATCAATGCGTTGTTCAGTGGCTCTGTACAAGAAAAATAAATGAACAAAATATTCCATCATGATTTTGTGTTTGTTGAATTCCTTATCGTTGTTGTGATTTGCATTTGAATGCCTACCACCAAGTAATACTCTTTCATCAGTAATTATTGAATATTTAAGAGATTCGGAATTCCGAATAGTAGGTATATGGTTTAAAACAACTCCAAATGATTTCCGAATCATGTCATTATTTTCAAAATGGTCTAGTAATACTCGTGCCAATTCATTGAAATTGTTAGCACTCTTGTTTTCACTCGTCGGACGATCCTGTTGATGATGCGTTTGATCAATATCGCACTCTATCCACGTCGTCATTGTATAGAGTGGAATTTTGAAATGATGATCACTTTCATCCTGATGATCACCATCTCCCAATGAAAATTTTAATACAATCATCATGAATTTCTCTCGGAAATTGAAAATTTCAATCCACACAACGCAATCAACTCTTTCTCAGTTCAACCAGACGCTCCAACGTTGGTTTATGATCAGTCACAAGAATTACAACAAAATAATAACAATGAGGCCACGCAGAGAGAGATTTTGAGTGCGTAAGGAAGACAATTTTTTACAATTTTTTACTTTTGGAAAATTAAAAATTATTAAAAAAATGTTTCGTTTGTCAAGTCTCACCACACTCATCTTGGATAAACGCTTCATCCGATCGGAACCACAAGATGAAAACAAGACGGAATATTATCTGAGAAATGTGGTGGCTTCTAATGAATATTTTATAAAATTAAAGGAAAAGATGATGAAACCGAAAATAAGAAAGTTGAAATCATTCTCAATGAATTTTGAATTAATGCATACACTAGGACAAGTGGGAATGAAAGGAAGCAAGAATGATCAATTTAATCTTCCAACAGATGTAAAGATATCATATAGTCATAATGTAATTTTAGTAACGGATATGTTTAATCATAGGATTCAAGTTTTTCATGCAAAAACCAAACAATTTATGACGAGCATTCAATCACCATCTTCAAAGCCATTGTTTTTATGTGTACAAGAGAAATATAATGGATCAGATTTTGACGCTTTATTATTCGATTGTACAGGAGATAAATGTGTTTACAAATATGATTTACATGGCCTGTTGCTGCATTGCACAAATGGCGATAGCAAATCGAGAAATGGTCACCAAGAATATCCATACATTTGGAAATCTGTCGAATTTCTTTCTCCACAAGGAATTGCAATTTTCTACTCCAAAAATCAAGTATATGTTTGTAACAAGCATGAAAGCATTTGTGTATTAGATGTGACAACAGGTATTTTAAAGCAAAAAATTAAGCTCGGTGTAGGCTTGAGTGGAATTTTCTTTACCAATGACGAGCAGTTGTTGTTGACGGAGTGGATTTTCTTCAACACAAAGCATGGATTTTCATTACATTCAAAGATTTCAAAACAATCATCTGTTGACCAAAATGACGACACAGAACAATGGGAAAAACTTATGGAGATTAAGCAGACTGGAATTATGAGTGGAGAGTTTTCATATCCTTCCACTATTATTTTCGACAATGCAGCAAAACACATCCTTCTGTCAGATTTTGGCAATAACAGAGTCCAATGCTTTGACCTGGATGGAAACTTTATTTCTTCATTTGGAGAAATGGGAGTCTCTGCTTTTCAATTGTACCATCCAGAAGGCATGTGCCTTAATGAAGAAACTGGAGAATTGATGATTGTGGATCAGTACAATCATTGCGTGAAAATTTTCAAATAGTAGTGACAAAACTAATGTGATGTTCTGAAGAATTTCATTCTGCCAAAAATTCGGTAGTGAAAGAGTTTTACTGTGGTTTTCTACCGATGAAATGTCTCCGTCTTTATGGAGAGAAGAATTTGGTCAATGCCCAAGTTGTGATGACCACTGATGCTCGATGTATGTAGCATCTATTTCATTTGTGTGATGTATGACTTGGAGATTAGTGAATCTGATTCAAAGTTTTATTATAATGATAGTACTTATTTCTCGAGATGTTAGAAATGAAGCTGTTTGATCAGTACAGTGAATTCTCACAGCGTTGATAAATGTTAAACTATTTCTGATTTTATTTTATTATTTACGATTATTGATGCTATTAAATGCTTGTGCAATCTCATTCCACCAACAAAGTCCATTGCGCTTCAACATTTTCAAATATGAGTCATCCAATTGAACACTTTCAAGGATTTTTCTCATTCTTTCTTTTGAATCAAAGAATGTAATTTCAAATTCATTTGGATTTCGACGCCAATAATCAAATAAAGCGAATCTGATCCATCCTTCATGTTTTCTTGATCTTTTTGGTTCTTGTTTTCATGGAATCACTTTCTCCACAACAGTGTCAGGCAATCGAAGAATTTGAATATTATTGTTAACATTAGTCTTAAAAAACATCAAGTTGCGCGCCTTTAATAGTCGTTTCAAAGATTTGCAAAAAAAATTTTGCAGGACACGTGAGCGCCATGGTTAAAAAGCCGCAGAAAACTGGAAAATCAGAAAAGGGTAACCTTTCCACATTTGGTTTATACATTATTTAGGGTTTTTCACAGTTCACTAGTTCACCCCTTAGTGAAAAATTAATTCAATAATTTTTTTATTGCAAACAAACATAATCTGTTTGAACATAACCAATCATACTTCCATATAGAACCTTAGAAACATACACACGTTGAGCCGTATATACTGGATCACTCACCACAAGGGCACTTGTTCCAAGAGGGAATGAAGCCACTGCTTTACCACTCAAAATTGGAGTTGGGTACATGCTTAGACCATTAATTCCTGGTGGAAGTTTGCATGGAGTGACACGATCACCACCTCGAAAGACCGACTTGATGTTGCACAAATTTCGAGCATCCACAAATCCTGCTTGCATATCAAAGGTGTAGACACTGAAGTACGAGATACCACATGCGGATGGATAGGGACCTCCACTGTTGTGGTTGTTGTTGTTGTTGAAAATTAAACAAGTGGTTTTTGAGGAATGAAGATTCATCATGGAAATGAGAAATGGCATCAAATTCAATTTGCGAACATTATCCACACACATCCATTGTGATCATCATCATTAATGGTTTTTCAATCAATGATCATCACGAGACACACGATAAAATTCATTTATACATACATTACTTGAACTCTTGAAGATTGAGGAATCAACAACGTAAAGTTATTTGGGGCACACATGGTTGGGAATGTTGGAAGCCAGGAATCTCCCGACAAGTTGCAGACTTCTTGGAAATTGTACTGAGCCTGAGCCAGAGTAGCCATCAGCATCACCAAAACAAGCACCAACCACACACCCGAGAATGACGATGAACGAAGGTTGAACATTTTTTAATTTGTAAATTTTACGAACGTGTGAATCTTGCATGCCTTTATTTGGAATAAAAATAGTTATGAAAGGTTACACCAGAGATCAGAGGTCAGCTGAAAGGAATGAGGGTCACTCTTTTTGCTTTTGGAATGGACAAGGAAGCTGTTTGCTGGCAAGTCAGGCTCGCAAGTCAGATCATGACCGTTGGTGTGTCCAGAGTTGTTGACAAATTCAAGATATTAAAAGTAAAATGGAAGAGGAACATCGATCGATACAAGATGAATATCAGAAAAGATGACACTTGTCACCATCTGTTTCATGTGGTTCGAAAAATATAAGGCAATGTCGATCATCTTGTCGAAAGAAAAACCTTCTTGGAAAGAGAGCTTTCTGTAGTTTTCCAATTCCTCGTCCTTGTAAATATTTGGATGTGCTCTTAATAGGGAAATTATGGCATGAAGACTCCTCTTAATAATCGCAATGTAGAGACAAGGTTCCGTAAAAAACAACTTTCCATCCTTTCCAATTTCTCCTAAAGAAATGTCGATTAAGGATAAATGGTTGGAAAGTAAGTATCGAGTGAGAGAATCATTTTCATTATAAATGGCCAAATATAATGGACTATTCACAACAAGTTTGGAAAAACGAGTGGCAATTTTCACTTTAGAAATGTTGAGACACGAATGAATTGAGAATTCATCAGTAAAGGACTTCAAATAATTTGGTGTCGTTGAATGTGATATTGAGTCCTTTGGGTTGGAAGTGATAGCGTGATCATTGATTGGATACGATTGCAAATCTTTCCTTTGCACTTGTTGTTGAATTCTCTGCAGTTTGTACATGGGTGCAAGAATTTTCATAATCTCAGTACTCGTTTTCTCTTGTTCCAATAGATTTTTTCCTCCCACTTCGCTCACAGCATGAAATAGTGTCAAAGTAAAGGTTTTAGAATATAAAGAACTGCCATGGAAAAAGTCAATGCGTGACAGCAATTGATAAGTTGGATTAAAAAATTCTGAAATAATTGCCAAATTTCCAAGTTTACATGCCAGATATAATGGTGATTCTTTCATTGCTGAATTGGTATGATAGGACGATAATTTTCTTCCTCGAGACAATTTTTGAGAGGAATTTTTCGAGTATTCCATTAATAGTAATTTCACAATTTCCAAATTTTGTACTCGCACTGCTTCATACAAGCATGAAATTTCAATATTATGCTCTCCATCAGAAAAGAAACCTCTTTCAAAATTTTGAGAAATGGCATCACGACTATTCTCTTCATATCCATGTTCAAAAGGACAAGCCCCTTGTCGCAATAATTCCTTCACCACTTCATTTTGATTGAAATGAATGGCTGTAAATAAAGGAAATGCATATCTGCACTTTTGACTCAAAACTTTTTTCTTTGATGAGAGCAATCGTGTGATTTGATACAAATCTCCCATTTGGCAATAATAATGAAATACTTCGACATCGTTCAACGTATCGATCTTGTTCTTGAGATGAATGACCCGATATCGGTTTGAGGATGATGACGAGGATCTCAACACGAACGATTCCTCACTATCCACACAGAGTTGAGCAGTTCCTTGCACTAGATCAATCAAGCCAATCGTTTGATCAGTACTGTGTTCAAGCACATGTGCTAAATCGGTATCATAGATGGACATGTAAGATCCCGAAAATGAAGTGGCCATTGCGGATGATCCAAGAGAAGTCATTGTGATGGTGTTCTTGTGGTTGTTTATGTTGGAAAATGAATTTCTGGTGGTGGATGGTTGTCTCAAAGATGTTGTGGATGAAATACTTGAATGGGTTTCGGAGGCATTATTACGAGATGAAAATGATGCTTTATGGCGGTTGGCTTTGTTGCTTCCATGGTGGTGGTGTTGTCTGTTTGTTGTTGATGATGATGATGGAGTCCCAAATTGAAATCGTGGAATCATTTTGTTTCTAGTGTGTTGAGTGGGTTGAATGAGAAACAAGTTCCAACTCCTCGCGTCATATTTGACGAACTATCTCGGAACAGGCGTTGGACCACACCTCCAAGAAACATTGTTTTGTGTATTAATATGAAGAATATTGAACCGGTTCAATATTGGCAACGATCATGTTGATACAAAAATGTTTCTCAGTTTTTCACAGCAGAAGTCAGGGATGTGATTCGGCCACCTTCACTTGCGTCAAACTGTCAACAATCATCAAGAAGAAAAAAATGTCTAACACAGTAGCAGATACTTCCACCTCATCATCCTCATCGACCACAGATGGTAGTGGAAACGGCGAACTCAAAAACTATGGTCGCCAACACTCCTCACCGACCGTCATCAAAGCCCAAGCCCAGAAAAAAGAATTCGACACTCAAGGTTTCGGAAAGGAAGATTCCTCCTCTTCCTATTATCAATCCGATTTAGATGCCATCATTTTTAAATATGATATTCATCCCTTCTCCGTGTTTGATAAGATTGGAAGTTCCTCCTCTAATTTTTCTTCTTCTTCTTCGACGGTTTTAACCGTTCCTCCCGCGCTCAAAGACTTTACGTCGGACCCTGAGCTCGATTTGGTACATCCATTTTTTTCTGAAGCGAAAAAAAAATATCACAAGCTGGATGAGATTTATCGAGAGCAATTGGAATTACTCACATCGGGAGGTAAGAAGCGATCGGAGAAGGAGAAGATTGTGCAAAAATCGATGGATGCAAAGGTGGATAAGGAAGGATGGTTGGTGAAGGAGGGTCGGTTTAGAAAGAATTGGAAGAAGAGATGGTTTGTGTTGAGTAGTAATACGTTGAGTTATTATACAGCAAAGAAAAACAAGTTGTAAGTGATTTGGTGGTTTTGAAATGTGTGTGAAACGTTTTCAACAACAACAAATCATTCAATAACTTTTCACATTGTGTCTTGCAAAAAAAATTTGGTGAAATTTTGTCACATATTATTGTCACATGTTATGGATGTGACACTCTTCCTATGAAATTTGTTGAATACCATGGTCGATGCTATGAACATTTGTACTCGAAAAATAATTATATTGCAACCATAGGAAGGGAAAAATTGTATTGGACGGTACTCAAATTGTTCGATTTGCCAAGAACAGAACAGACGAATACAAGGGATGTCTCGAATTGTACACTCCTAAAGATTCTACTTTCACATCGGATGGTATGAATAATCGTTTCTTGATTCAAATGGATGATGCTAGCACAAATAGTGACACCAATGACGAAAATGATGACGATGACGACGATGATGACGACGCTGTTGGAAGAACCTTATATTTTGATGCTGAAGATGGCAATGAGGATGAACGTCGTTCTTGGTATATCGCCATCAACAACAAAATTACCATGTTATACTATACCAACTTGTGCTCTGGTTCCATTAACGATCAAGTGATTGAATTTTTCAACTCTACTCAAAAACAAAAGAAATTTGTATGCAAGCTCAAACAAGTGGAGGACTTGATGGCCATTAAGGAACCTTTGAAATATCACGAATTTTTACAAACACTCATTTTGAAGAATAATCCAAATGTGTTGAATCTCTCCATCTTGTGTGAAGCTTTGACAATCAACAAATCCATCACCAAATTGGACATTTCTGGGTGTGCCATTAACAATTTAGAACCTCTTGCTCAAGTCCTACAAAGTAACAAAACTCTCTCCTCTATCAATCTTTCACATAACAAGATTGATGATGCCCAATTAATTGCTCTCTGTGAAGCTCTACCATCGAGTGGAAACTTGAGATTATTTGAATTGGATTTATCGAACAATTTAATTAGCAATGAAGGTGGAGCCGCCTATGTTCAAACTTTGGCCAAACTTCATTCTGTAATTTACATTGAAACATTGCACTTGTCCAATAACAAGCTTTCAGATGAAGGTGCTCGTGCTATTGCACAAACTCTACCAAAATTGAGTCCACAATTTAAACGTCTCGAGTTGGGAGGAAATAGTATTGGAAATGAAGGAGCTGCAGCGTTGAGTGACGCCATTCTGAACATGAATTCTAAAAGCATGACCATCACATCCATCAATTTGGAAAATAATTTGATTGGTTTCGAAGGAACAAGTTTATTGAGTAAGATTTTAGAAAAAGAATTGTTAGAGGAATTAATATTTGGTGGAAATCGTTTAGGTATCAATGGTTTGCAATGCTTGGCAAAAACAGGAAAACAAGATTTCCCCGAATTGGAAATTATTTCCAAGTGATCGTGAAATGCATTAATAATATTGACAACAATAAAATATTTAAGAACGAACAACAAGAAAACTATCTCTCACATTTGACAACTTAGTATTATTTTGGAACATCCTTGTACAGAGTTTGCTACCATCTATCGGTCTGAAATTTGAATAAGTTACAGAGGTTACACTTAGATTTGACTTTGAGAAAGAAGATCATTTCTAAAAGCATACGCATCATTCCATCCCTTAATTTCAAGAGTTTCTGGCGTGATTTTACGTGTCTTGTCCTTTCCCCAGAAAACAGTATAACCATTTTGATTTAACATTCTGATCACATCTTTTGGATCATCTCCTGCTTCAGAAATATGATGAATTAGCTCAATTTGCCACAACTTGACACGTCTCTGTTCCAATAATTTCGTGGCCCCTTTTAAGGCCTTCACTTCAAATCCCTCAATATCCAACTTGACATAATCAAATTCCACACCTCTTGGAATGAAACCTTCTTTTTCATACTTTTCCACCACCATGTCAATGGTCATTTTAGGGACCTTCATGTGACCCTCTGTTTCGGATGCTCCTACTGCTGTGGACGATCCTGGATTGTTAGCATGAAACTTCATGTGGACATAACCAATTCCATCGGAAGCCAACGCTACCTTCTCTACTCTCACTTTATCTTGCAACTTGTTTGCAAAAAGATTGAACTCGATGGCGCTTCCAAAGAGAGCTTCCACAGCAATACCTTTTCCACGAGTCGTCATGTGTCAGTAATATTATTTGTTGGTTGTTGTTGGTGTTTGTTATATATTTGATGAATAGTAGTGTTTTTAAAACATGATGATGATATGCATACCTTTCCAATTCCCCTTCGATGCAAGCAAAAGAGAGAATAGACCAAGATTGGAACCAAAATCCAAAAAGTATCGATACTCTTGATCAAGGGGTCGTGTAAAGAGATTTGAGAGGAAATACTCTTCGGAATCAAACACTTCCCAACGACCACTTTGTTGCAAACCCTTACAAATGATAATGTCCTCTGCGAAGCAAGCCACGGATAACGATGGAACAGTTTTGGTTGGAACGGGATAGACTATTCGTTGAGGTAAGGAGTTGAGAAGATCAAGAGAGATGAGAGGCTTTTGTGGTTCCTTCTCCACAAGAAATGGGTGCTTGTTGTTCATTTGGATCTTTCCATGACTGAAGAGGTATAAGGTAAAAACAAACACGAGTACCACAGCAAAGGAAAGGAGCCACATCCGTTGAGGAATATTGGCCATCCATGTGATAACTCGATGTTTCAGTTCCATTCTGACGATTCTTGCTGTTGTTGTTAGGGAAATACGAGCGGCTAGTTTTTCTATTTTTGCTTTTTTTACAGCTTGGACATCAAAGAGTTTCATAATCCACTAATTTTGGAGAGATTTGGAATATTTCACTAAAATTCCAAAAAAATTTAAATGAATACTCGGAAAGCAATTAAAGCCAAATTATTTTAATGGTGTCAGATTGGATATGATCTTTGGAGTTGAACTGGTTGGAGAACTAAACTCTTTGTTTTATCCATGCCCACTGAAATAGATGTCAACATGATGAAAGCATTTTCTTGAGTATCGGTTCATCATCTGGATTGATGACACCAATCAATCAATCTAAAAAAAAGAGAAAAATGAATTCTTCTTCTCTTCGACGAGCGTCCCCTCTTGTTCAGAACGAAGACACGTCGAAAGTCTTCGTAGAATGAACAATTTGTCCTCCTTCATCAATGATTATGATCACCAAGGATGGACATTATTAACTGACTCGTGCTTGTAAGAATGGTCATCATGAAATTGTGAAATTGTTGTTGAGTGTGGAAGGAATTGACGTGAACAAACACTCACAGGTAAGTGAAGGAGTGTCCAATTTAGAATTCAAAGACTTTCCGAACAATCAAATATTCACAAAAGTCAACACTAAAGTCTCCTCTTGAACTTTCATGTAACAAGAAAGATCTTGACAGTGTGAAACTGTTGCTTCAACATCCAAATATTCAAATAGGTTTCAGACATAGGATTGCAGCCTCCTCTAATGGAATTGGTGATTTGACGGAACTGCAACAAGAATTTAAAAGATCAGAAAAAATTTCAACTTGGAATTCACCTTTTGGATGAAGAATTCTCTTTTCCTTCTACTTCGACATGAACCCTTTTTCAATCACCCGTTCTAGTTCAGATACACCTTTACATTGGAAAGACAACCAATCCATAAGACGTATGGAAATGAAAAAACACGACCATGATCAATTGTTTGGAACATCCTTAATTGCTTTCAAACTACTTTTATCCAAACTCGTTCCAACATTTTACAGCCAAATTTTAACCAATCAGAAATTCATCGAGTCGTTGTTCTGATGCAATCCATCATTGATTTTTTAATTTATGGAAGTCCACAAGTGAAATGTGATACAATGGAGGATTGTTTAGTGGTTTTGTTTGTGTTGAATCAAGCAAGTAGTGATTTCATTTCTTTAAAAGGCAAATGTGTGGAATATATTTTAGGAAATGTAAATATGAAGAATGCTTTAAACACGATTGACTCTCTTACTATCTTGTTACAGAGAGAGTGATTGTTTTTAGGACAATTCAAAAAAAGATGACACTATGAAAATTTCCATTTTGAAGAGCTCAAAGAATATTGTTTGGATTTCATCGCGGCTCATTCACATGAAGATGAATTTGAAATGTTTATCATGAACGACCACAAGGGTCGGCTATTCTTTCGATTTGCTCAACTCCATTGTAGAAGAAAAAGTGTGAGACAAGTGACAATTCAAGAGACATCAAACAAAATTTCTCGAACACCCTTAGCTGATATTTTTCGAGAGCAGCTCAACACAGACACAGAATTACATCTCACCAATGGCAAGCGTGTAAAATGTCACAAAACCGTTCTCAGTTCCAAAGTTCCCTTTTTTAAAGCATATTTTTCAGGAACTTGGAATTCTCATGATATTTTTGGAGAAGAATTGGAATTCATCATTCATTATTGCTATGGATTTGTTGAGAATGTTCCCAATCACTTGATGATTCCTCTCATTAAGAAATCTCATGAATATGAATTGAAGGACTTGTTGAAAACTTCTCTCTCCGCATTGTCTTTTTCAATTTCCAATTTCTTTGAACATGCACAACATTTAGAAGATTATTTAGATGAGCCATTGTTTGAGGATGTGAAAAGAAAATTGATAACATTTGGCATGGAGAATAAGAATGGTCTGTTCACCAAAAAGAATTTGGAAATGTTAAGAAAGATTCCAAAATTGAATGCTGAAATAATGGTCGAATGGGCCAAACAATAGAAACAAGGAATTTGATGCAGTTCATGAAAATATGCTTGATGTGGCATTTGTTTTTATTTATTATTATTATTATTATATTTTGGATAATAATATCCTTAATCTTCAATTCAGTCACGAATTTTCAAGAATGGATTGAATTTCAATTTTAAATTCAGAATTAAAATTATTACAAAAAAATGATCGTTTCTCCTTCATCGGCCTCATCGTTGGTGAAAAGAATTTATGAAATTTCGGCTCGGGCCAAACAATTGAAAACATTATTGCCGGTTTCTACGAAAATTGTGGATTATGAATTGAATGGATTGATGGTAAGTGAAGTCATTCTTGGAGAGAAACGGAGTGAATGAAAGGAAGGATGAGGATGCTGTTGTATTTATCTTGTTTTGAATGGGATGATCCTCGGATCATGTTGGAATGATGGTTTCATCCTACTTTATCATACATCATTATTGACAATTTTATAATCGGAATATCATTGTTCAACAGTATCAAATTCGAATCGCTATTGGAGGATATTTAAAAACCAGCAATTTGGAAAAGGAAATTGAAAAAGAACAAGAGGCTGAAGAAAAACATGTGCCAATACCCAAACAAGAAGAAGCACCGCTCACACAAGATCCATTCCGACCAACAGATAGAACTCTCGAAGTGACATCCGTTGAACCCTATCATACCATTTTGTTGAACAAGTTTATGGTAATTCCAGAACACTTACTAATAATTACCAATGAATTCATGCCTCAAACTGAACATTTGAGTATGCATGATTTTAAATCGATTGTCAAAACTTTTAATCAGCTTCATGAAGGTAATCCAGATGCTGATGATTACATTTGCTTTTACAATAGGGGACTCTATTCTGGAGCTTCTCAACCTCACAAACATATTCAAATCATTCCAAGACGTGAAAGAAATGAAGCCACATTAGAATGGACCACCATCGAGAATTTTCCATTGCCCAAACAATTTGACATTCATGTTTCCAAATATCCATCAACAGTGACAAATTTCAAAGATTTTACATTTCTACATCAAATTAGATGTGTGAAACATTGCTTTGATTCCAACAAGGATGAAGCTGCAATTGTCGAATCTCTCTATGAAGTTTATGAGTCCATGTTGAAAGATTTGGAAATTCATGAAGACAGAAAAGTCAACGACAGTGAGGAAAGAGTTTTAAAGGTACAGTGTTTGGCAGGAGAAATTTATGACATTAGTCTTTGCCCAAAACGATACCCCAGCTACAACTTGCTCTTCTCCAAAAAGTGGATGCTTCTTGTGCCGAGAAGAAACGAAAATTATATGGGAATTTCCTGTAATTCGTTGGCATTCCTACATGGCTTCTTTTGCAAGACAGACGCGCATTGGGAACACTTAAAATCAGAGATCAAAATTCCCAAGCTTTTGGAATATGTGACTTTCCCATCACATCATGATCATGCAACAAGCAAATAAAATAGAGTACGAATAATTATGATCGTGTGTTGAATACGAAAAAGAGGTTACATTCACGTTTCTTTGTGAAGGGTGAAGGATGGTAAATGTAAAGTCACATCTCCTACAAATTTTTTCGCATAGCTCTAAGATCTTTGAGCATTCTCTCAAATGTTGTCATAAATTCATCCACATCCACAATCGTATAGTCACCCTTACTATCTTTCCAATGGTTCTTTGGATTGGAATTTTTCCAAATTTCGTACAAGTTTCCTTTCCAAAGTGTGATTTGTTCAAAACATTGCCAATTTTGAACTTCCTTGAGAGACCACAATTCAAGAACAGCTGATCGTGAAGGTGGCAGCCAAAATGCGTGAGTAAGGCCGGCACCATGCATTCCTATCAAAAAGTCTGAATGATAGGTTTTTTGAATTTGTTCCTTGAAACTGAGTTGAGCGAAATCAACTCTCTCAACTACAATAGTCTTGTGATCGAGTTCGTACTTTTTGAGAGCCTTCAATAGATCATCTTCATTTGCAATTTGTCGTCCCATATAACTATGTTCGACTCCATTCTTGTTGTAGGGTCTTCTACTCACGAGAAGAACTCGAATGATTTCACTACTGGGTTGGCTTGAACGTGTTGGAATGTTAAATCCTTCAATAATTCTCTCAGTATAAGCTGTAAGTGTTTTCAACCGTTGAGAACATTGATTGGGATTGCCCTTTGAAAAATCAGTCAAATGAGACAATAAGGGAGAAGCATATCCAGCAGGCTGAAAGATGGCTTTTTCAAACTTGACAATCTTTCCAGAAAACTCCTTTGCTCGCTTCATTGGTCTTCTAAATGAGAATGTATTATTCCAAATCATGTCGTAAGGTCCTGGGAAGTGATCGTCAAGAAGAACTACTTGGACTTGATCATTATCTTGAATTTGGAAAAATTCATACATTAAATAGGTGTTGAAAAAATCAGTAGATGCATGAAACATGTTCACATGCTCATCAATTTCTCTCGATACAAAAATTGTCGTTCCATCAATAAATAATTCTTCTTTTTTAGGTGCATCTCTGAGCATTTTGAAAGAAGAAAAAATGTCCTTTCCAAAATCATTTGGAAACTTGTCAAGTGTAAATCGTGATTTGCTAATTTCACAATCGGCCACCAGAGCACCTTCCAAATAATTGAAATATGTATTTCTTCGACACAAATATCCAGGTCTATACTTTAAACATTGAGCAGGAATTAATTTTGAAAAATCAATTATTAAATTATTCGATTGACAAATGGTGTGAGGTCGAGTAGCTGCTGGTACATGCTCATTGGTGGTCATGTAGCATGTGAGAGAGGACCCTTCATCCTTGGTTGGAAGACACATTTCAATCCTATTGTCTCTCCATCGTTTCAATAATCCACAATCGTAATCATTATAACAAACTCGAGATTGAAAATTCGGAATATCTGGTTGAGAGCTGGTCATGGCTTTGGAACAAACAAGAGGAGGCATTGATTTTTGTTTCGTCCTTCTTTGATCATTCTTATTAGGAATATCTTCATTTACATGATCAAGTTGATTCGGTATTGGTTGATTAGCCTGTGGTTGCTCTTGCGAATTTATCTTGTCCAATATCTTGTTCACGAGCCAGTGTTGTTTTTTCAGTAAATTTCCTCCGGTAGTTGTAATTTTTCGGAGTATACTTTCCTCATTGCCAGACTCCTCATGAACACGTCCGAGCTGTCCATGGAATGTAATGATGATAAATATTGAAAATAAACAGAGAAAGAAGTAAATTCGAACCAACCATTGCATGGAAGGATGAATGGTCGGTGAAGTCATTTTTTTTTGTTTTGATTCAGTTTTGATCAACCACACACAACTATTGTTGTTGAAACTAGATCAATCATGAAATCACTATGGAATGAAATCGATATCTTGTGTGGTGATGATGATCAACCACTGATACCGCTGTGTGGTGTTTTTTTTTTCATTGAGGAAGTTTTTCATCATCTTTTGCAATAGGGTCTCTCTCTTCATTGTTCTCCCTTAAATTTGAAAAGACTCTTGTGGCACAAGATTGAAAGTGCTGAGAGGTGTATAAAAGGATTAACAATGTTTTTATGGAAGAACAAACAATTTTCCCTCCCAAATGATTAATTTTCTATACCTACTCAGATCGCTGTTGTTGAGTAAGATGTGGTAGGTTAAAAAGGGCTCTAGAGAATGTGATGGATACAGCAATATGCATCAAATCTCAAAAAGATATAATAAACAAATGGTGGTTGTGGAAAGTATAGACCAGTTTCAGATACAACATCCAACATGGAATTAGTACCCTCAAACAAAAGTCACTCAACTACCAAGTAAGGTTGATGAGATACAAATCCTTTCATGTGCTTTGTGTATTCAAGATGGTGGAAGTGGTAGAGGTGATATTGTTAAAAAGTACAAAAGACTATTGCATGACCTTAATAAGACGAAAGGCAAAGATTACACAATAAGAAATCACATTTCAACAAAGAACAAAGCTGAAGATTTTAAAGAAATTCTCTCTTACAGATATCCCTTCCATATACACGACGGAGGAACAATGGAAAGAGAATGCTTTTAGTTATTTGACAGCAAAACTCGACAGCATTGAAGATCTGTTGTAAAGAAAAGTAAAAAAAACCATGAAAAAGTATAGTATATAGATGTTAAGTAAGGATCCGCAACTTTTACATCTAGGAGTTCAATTCTCTTTTCAATAAATAGCTCTCGTTTATGAGCCATAAGAAGCTTTCAAATTGGATCCAAAACACTGATTACTTTGAAATCAATCTCTCTTCATTCTCCAAATACCACCAAATCGTGACATGTAAATTCCCGTCAATTGTAAGGAAATCAAATTAATAACCAGGGTCGTTTGTTTGTTCTTCCCTATTCAAACATAGGTTGCACAATTCCATCATGTACTTGGTAGGAAGATCATCCGGATATTTGTTTGAGTATTCTTGAAATTCTGTCAAAGCTAATTCAAAGTTGTTCGAAAAATAATCTCTCACGGCCTCGTTATACTCCTTCCATCGTTCATTCCTTTGTTTATGATCAAGCTCATAAAACCACTCATCTTGATTCACTTGCAAAGAGGCACCAATTTCATAGAGTTCATGAGCAACTGATTGATCCTCTTCAAGAACGTCCACATATCCAATGAATCTTGTATGAAATAGCCTCGATGCATTCTTATAGACACTATGATCACAAACGACATTCACTTGCTGTCTGCAACAAAATTCAGTCATCCTTTCGAGATGATCATGAATGGATCCCATGATCTTGAAAGATCTTACTTCTAAAGTTCCAACATTTCCACAGAAACATGATTTACAAAGAACGGCAAATCTGAAAACAATGCCAGATGCTGCTTTAGCGAAACAGGGGGATTGTTGCGGATTCGTTTTCCATTTTGTATTCTTCACTTCATCTAGCTTCTTTTTTAAATCCACACACAATTTGAGAGAACGATCTTCGTGATTGGGTTGATCTTTGGAGGCGTTAAAGGCCACTGTGATACATTCGTCTTGAGTGTGTTCCATCAAACTACTTGTCGATCGAGTCGACTGTTGAATCTTCTCAAAGATATCTTGCAACAATAGAACAATGTCACTTGGTAGCGACTCATTCATAATCAGACTCAATCCTTGTATTCGTACTTGAACCATTGATATTATCTTTTTCTCCAAATACAAGGAAAACTTGGACGCAAGGTCGTGTTTGCTTTTGCTTCTACTCGTCATGAACATGTGAGAACCCCTTAGGGAGTCCATTGATTTTCGACTTTGTTTTGAATTTCGAACAGATTCTTTCGCTATTGAGTCAAAAACAAATGGTCGTACCTCTTCAGGTTGTCCTTCCCTGCCCTCGATTTGAAGCAGCACATGAGGAGGAATGAAACTCTTGTACAAGTCTTGAAGATGTTGAAGCTCAACGATTTTTTGGTAGGGTGAAGCAATGGATCTCGCAAATATGATTGACGTGAAAACTGAAAAACAAATTGCAATGACAGAGCTTATTATATATGCCATCATGACACCAACAGAATGATGAAAGAGTTGAGATGAATATTGTTGGGATATTGATGAGATATAAAGTTCCACAAGTCTCATATTGTTAATATGCTGGGTCATGTTTCCAAACCAAATACTCCCAGCATATTTTGTAAGATTTCGGCTGAAAGCATTGGCAACAAGATAATCCTCAATTTCTAAACAAATTAAGTACGCTTGAGAGCGTAACACAGTCCTAGTAAAAGTATCCCAAATCGAAGAAACGTCTTTCACTTGCAAGATATGTTGAAAATGAGAGATTTTTGCTTGATTTTGAACAAATAATTTAAAGTTTTCAGTAGGCATTGAACGAGATGTTAATGCTGCACTTCCCAATGCTCGTTTTTGACCTTTTTCGTGTCATGATCACAGATGTGTGCAAAAAAACATTTTGATTATTACGTAATAACATTAAAATTACATACCAGTGAACTCTTTCATCGATGTTAATGTATTGTACGAAGATTGAATGGTGAAAAAGGTTGAATCTGAGCTCAAACTCGCAATAAGCATTATACTGTCAATCATGTAAGAATTCCAATCTGTGAAAAAATTGAAAGCTAACAGTGGCGTTTGAACGAGTTGTAGCGAACTAATTCGCTCTCTCCAAACAGGAAGATCTTCAATATACTCGTCTACCACCTCCAAAGCCTCCATGATTTGAGAGAAGGCCAAAGAATTTGCTTGCATGGACCTTAAAATTTGATCTCTTTTGGACAAGAATTCCTTTAATGCTGAATTTGTGTCGGATCGTTTTTCCATCATGATGTCATAATGTTGAGTTCCGTTTGCTCCTAAATATAATTGAGACGATCCTCTCTCACTCTGGCTACAATGTATTACTGAATTTAGGAGGTTGGTCATGATGGAAATATTCGAAATGAGGATGGATGCTTGCAAATCTGAGGCTGAATTGTACACTAAAATACAAGCAAAGATGACAAGGGATAAGAAGGTAAATATCACAATAAGAAGTAACTTCAAGGCGATGGGAAGCCTTTCTAATCGTTCTGAGAGAGTGATGATATTCGTTTGTTCATCGACGTTCTCTTCTTTCGACGGTTCTTCAGACTTTGGTTGTTGTAAGGGTGTGTTGTTCGGGGAAGTGTTTTTGTGTTCACTAGTGAGGTATGCAGCATGATTTTCTTTTTCGGGAACCACTCTGGTCATGTTCGTATTCTCAATGCTCGGGTTCTGTGTTTTTGGGTTACCCAAAGGATTACAACAATGATGATGATGAAGAATTAATTCTCTCTAATGAGGAACAACAACGAGAGTCTGTAGTTTTTTTTGAATGTGCCCAAACGAAGTGCGAAATCGCCGCATTAGGTACGAGGCACGCTGATTTTCCTCGTTTCACAGAGCGATTCAAACTCTCTTCGCGTGGCTCTTCAGATATTCGTTTGAATCACTCTGTGAATTCGCACTCACAAAAAGGACAGCATCTTAAGGATCAGGTGATGAGTTCATAAAGGCACCTTTGCAAATCCTCACATGGTGACCAACCAGTTAGTGTCCGCTGATTTCTTGACCTATCTCCACGCTGAACCCCAACAGACACAAGATCTTCAAAAAAAAATAGCCGTAATCTTTGATCCACGCGCGCCTTTGAGCAAGAACGTACGACGTCGTTGTTGCATAAATATTTCATATTGGTCATCTGATCTGAGAATCTGGTTTACCTCCTCATCATCAAACTAGTATCTCAAATTAAACTTAAACTCATGAAAAGTACCATTCGGAATTCAAAACCAGTCCCACCTTTTTGCATTCGGGTGAAACTGGGAGCAAAACAGGCCAATGTGATCCTTGATCCTTCCCATGAGAGCTTTTCGAGTTTTCATTTGCATTACACATTAAATTTCACTCCTGAACAACGTCTATTTGTTAAGGTAAGCTTGTGTTGTGCTGTTCGATACCGTGCGGTTTCATTCTGGTCACAAGATTATTGCATTGGAAGATGAAGAAACCAAAGTGCGGATCAATTTCCACAATGACAAGGACATTCCGATGGGAACTATTCTCACCAAGGAGCAAATGATTCATGATTTACGTCCCAATAAGAATTATCTTGTCATCATTCAGGACACTAGGACTGTCACTGAGAAGGATCTCACACAGGATGAGCTTAAAGAAATTCGAAGAGTATTCGACGAAATGGATAAGGATAAGAGTGGAAGTATCTCATTTCAGGAGGGTAGGTTTCTTCATCGAACGATTAGTTCTGACGTGTATGTTTTCTTTCTGTAATTTACACAGTCAAACAATTCTACAAGCAAGAAATGGAATTGAGCATGAGGATTGCAAGGAAGGTTTGCGATCAAAAGATTCAAAAGCAAGCCCTTCGAAAGGAAATTTTCGAAAAGGAATATGTAAGAGAGTGTCAATTCTTTGAGACAATTATGAATTCGAATATTTCTCAATTCATGCAACAAGATACAGACAACAATCAGGTGGTGACTTGGGAAGAGTTTTTAAGGCATCAAGCCAAGGTAAAAGTTTCCCAGAGAAAATTAGTCAATGTGTAAATTCTGAAATTGGAAATCATCATAGTTTTCACTACAATTAACTATTCAAATATTTGTATTATCAAATTGTAAATTGAATTATATTTCTTCGTAACCAGTAGCAGGTCGAGATCTTGACATGGGTGCATCCTCAGAGGTGGCTGCTGTTGTTGGCGCCTTCTTCTTTTTAGTTTTCTTCTTTGTTTCTGTTGTTTCACCAGAGGCTGCTGATGATTTCTTTTTCGTTGTTGTCGTTTTTTTCTTCTTTGGCTTTTCTGTAACCACAGGAGAGGCATCTTCATCCTCGTCATAGAATCGTTCTGAAGAGAATAAGGGCTTACTCACAGAGACTGATTCAGAATTAATAGGCTGTGGAGATGAAATGGTGGCTGTAGCGACTGACTTTTCCTCAGTGGGAGGTTTTGTCTCTTTTGTTTCCTCATCTTCATCGTCGTAGAATGAATCCAAATTGTCCTCTTTCTTGGTAGCATAGCCCTTTGCCTCTGTGGACGTGACTGGTGTCGATGGTTTTGCTGTGGAGGAAGAAGTGGCAGTGATTTTTTTAGGTGCCTCTTCATCTTCTTCTTCATCATTATAGAAAGAGTCCAAATTGTCTTCCTTATGCACAGATGCAGCCTTATTTGAGTCTTCATTGTCGTCACTGTAGAAGCCAGCATCATCGTCAGCAATCTCTTCCTTCGAGAGAACAGGAATTTCCTTTTTAACCGTTTCTGGTTGTTTTTGAGGTTGTTGAGCAACAGGAGATGCTTGTTTGGTGGTCGGAACGGCAGAGGTTGTAGTAGGTTTTCTAAATGATTGCTTTGCCACAGGAACATATAATTCTTCCATAGATTCATTGACACTTTGATCCATCATTGGTCTGTCATTATCTTCGTCTTCATCTTCCTCTTCCTCATCCACGTCTTCTTCATCTTCACTCTCAACCTTTTTAGATGCTTTAGCTTTCTTTTTTGAGCCTTTCTTTTTTACAGCCTTCTTTGGAGGCTGAGTAATTGATTCTTCATCATCGTCGAGAGAACGATTAGTTGTCACGTTGGTGCTAGCATTATTTTCTCCTTCGTCTGAGTAGAATGCTTCTTCTGCGTCTCCTGCATAAAAGGTATTAAGATCGACTTTTTCTTGTGAAGGAGTTGATTGAGGAATAACAATTTTTTCTGCTTTGGATTGGGGCTGTTCCTTTTGTGAACTAGTGCCTCCACCAAAATATGACAGGGCAGCAGAGAAGAAGCCACCAGATTTAGGTTTTTCTTGATGCATCGTAGTTGTAGGTGGAGATACCTGGGCAGTTCTTGAAGGTTGAGTGTTTTGTGGAGTAACGGAACTTGGTGGTTTTGTTTGTGGCTGAGTTTGTTGTTGTGGTGGTGGTGGAGGACTTTGGGGTTGATTTTGAATCATAGTACCCTGATGAGGAGTTTGTTGCTGAGAAATGGTTGTGCCTTGTGGCGAATTGGCAGGTACTGATTTTCTTACAGCTGTCTTTCTATTTACCAGCTCTTCAGTGAAGCCAATAGTCGTCTTTTTCTTGGTTTCTTTTAGCATTTGGAGATAATCATTGTAATTGGAAGCTTTCAAAGTTAACTCAACTTCTTCCTTTCCAAAGTCTAACTCTTCCTCTAAAAGTTGTAATTGTTGCTTCGTTATGTTAATTTTCATTTTCAAGAATGGAATATTGAGCCATGTGTAAAGGTTTTTCAGTCCATAACAATTCAAACTGCTGCATTCAATAACATTGACTCCACGTTTTGAGCAAAACTCTTGGACTTCGTTTTGTGTGACCACTCGTTTGCTCTCCAAGTCCTTGCAATTTGCTAATACAGCAATTTCCACACCAGGTGGAACCTTTGGAAATTCATTCTTCACATATTCCCATGTCCATGGCTTGGTAATGTCAAAAACAAGTAAAACAGCATTGCAATGCTTATAGACATCCACAATATGAGCATCAATAACTGTCAATTGATGGTCTCCAAATATTGGTGATCCAGAGCCTCCTGAAGGAGAATTAGCTACACCCTGTTTATGTTTCATCATGTCAAATTCATGAGATTTTGCTAATGCTTGTGCTTTCAATTGAAGCTGTTCGGAAGTAGGAGTATTGTCCTCATCCTCGATAACAGCATCTTCGTAATGAGTGGTTCCACTTAATTTTCCCTTGTCTACTACGTCCCACACTTCTACAACAACATTATCATCGCTCACTTTATAATTCCAATGAATATGAGCCGTGGATATGGCCGTTGAAGGAATATAGGCTTCGCTAAATGGTAGACCCTGAAGGCGTTTGAACAGCATGGATTTACCACAATTTCGTTCACCCTTTAAAATCACTTTCACTGTGTTTGTTCAATATGGTATAGTAACATGTTCAGATCGTGATGACGATCAGTAAATATTTCATGATGATCAGTGAAAAATCATTGTTGCAGTGAAATAAATCGATAAAAATCCAATAAAAAGTATTTCATTCCGATAATGATATCAAGCAATAAAAATCATCCATCACAAAATAAATTTATAAAAAATCCAGAGCGGTATAAATTCAATTATCACCATTAAGTGATTTCATATGTGTTGATAATTCATTCAAATAACAATATACAAATTTCAAAAGTTCGTTAACACAAAATCTTTCCCAACATCAATGAATTACATACTGTTATATCGGGTTCCTTTTTGCATCTTTCTTCTCAGCTCCAAATCCACCTTTTGAATTTGCCGATTCTTGATTTCTTCGGCCGAGAGGCGAGGAACATCATTACCCATTTTTTTCTTGCGATGGAACTGACTAAATGCCCTCGTCATTCCACGTGTTTCTTGGCATTACCAATAAATAACTTTGAAATTGGAACCACTATCTTCACAACATTCAACAACAAAACAATTGCTGATTCATCTTTTGGCTGTCTTTCAAATTTTATTCACCAAGTAAAATAATCAAGTGGATTTTTGAAGAAGAAAAAAAATGTCGGATTCTGAAGGAGAAGACCAACCCACCTATCTCGATGAAGAATTATTGGAAGTTGGTGGCGGAGAGGAGGAAGAGCCTACCATCACATCGAATAATACAATGGAAGATGAAAATGGTGGGCATTTAACATCGGGAGCTGAATCTAAAAAACAAAAGAAGAAAAAGAAGCAAGGAAAGGAAGAAAACGGAGAAGAGGCTGAAGAAGCAGAAACCACAACAACCGCCCTCAAGCAAGACCACTCTGGAATTACCGCAAATGTAGAGATTCATATGGGACCGGATACATCAGTATCTACCTATATTTTCCACAAGGAGAGTCATACCATGGGTAATGCTCTCCGATACATTCTCATGAAGAACAAGAGGGTCAGCTTTTGTGGCTACACTGTTCCTCATCCTCTAGAAGCTAAAATGAATTTACGGTTGCAAACTGTAGATGAAAAGTATCCAGCAAAGGAAACTCTCGAAGAAGGTTTGATTAATTTGCAGAAAATTACAGAGACTGTTATGAGCAAGTTTGATACCGCTCTTGCTTCATATAGGGATTAAGCATTTTGATGCAATTGCTTTTATTCATTCACTTGGAGGAGGAGTATGATGATACCTCAATTTGTGATTGACCTTTTTGTTCTCTCTGGAAAAATTCTTGCTTTATGAGGATTTTAATTTATTGACCACCAGCAACATCTTCAACCAATACACGCAACAGTGATGCAACTTCTTCATCCAATACACCTACCACTGCAACTTCTTCCACTACTCGTCGTGGTTCAGATACATCAAACACCATCTCGCAGCCTCCGCCCTCCTCAAATCGAACCCCCAACAACATGCAACAAAACAACAACCTCTTCAAAACAAAAAAAGTTTATTCTCCTCCTTTGAAAGATAAACCTACTTTTGAATCAACCTTTCTGATCCACCAATCACAAATAAAACAGCTTTCTGCTGTCATTTGTCAAAACTTGTTCTCACCAAAGCAACAATAGAAAAAATATGTCTTCACTCTCAGATGATGTGACACAGCTGTGCGTGAACATTCACATCAACGAGTTAGAAACTTTTCGGCTTGACGCCGTCCGATCTGATGAAACATTTAGTCAAATCATGGATCAATTCATTCTCGAACGATGTATGCCCAAACTCTCCAAACTTCACAAATTTGCTCTTCTTCCATCCGATATTGAAAAATCCGTTCTCTCCAAACAAAAGGATCCCAAAAAGAAACGAAAAGAACTCTTGAAAGAATTGATTCATGTCCACATGCAAGACAGCATTGGACAGTCCACCTATCGAATGTTCATCAGTCGAGACAATGTCATTCATTTGCAATTGTCTCCAACCATTCCTCCCAGTGAGAGTAAGTGTGTGCTGTTGTTGTGTTGTGTTGTAACACCACTTGTTGTTGTTGTTGGAATTTCCCATGATGGTGCTGATGATCAAACAAAATGATACTATTGGATTTGCTTTTGCATCATCATCATGAATGACTCTTCTTCTCTCCTTCCCAACGAACGAAACGAATTTTCATCATCATACAAAACGAATAATATGGTTATGTCGTACGACCTTAAAAAATACCATCATCATCATGAACGTGTTGGTGTCATTGTTTCAATCATCATTATCATCATTACCCTCATCATAAATCATCATCAATGGATCATCATCATGGTGATTCCAATCCAATTGAATTTTATGGTGTTTCTGTTTATGTTGTTGTTGTTGAATTCGGAAAATCAAACGTTAAACCACAGTGAACAAAATATTCGGAAAGCCTCTCGGATTTCTCTTTGCCAAGGAACACAAGAGCTCCCATGAAGTTCCAGAATTCTTTGATATTCTTTGCTCGTTTATTGCAACCCATGGTGCTCGTATTCAAGGCGTATTTCGAGTGAGTGGATCTGTACGACAAACGGAGGCTCTCAAACAACAATTTGAAGAAGCTCCAGGTATCTCCTATAAGGCTCCAATGCCCAACACGGATCCAAATGCAATTGCTAGCTTGTTGAAAATGTATTTGAGAGAATTACCTCAACCTCTCATTGAATCAAGATTGTATAGAAAGTTGTGTAACTTGTTTGATGTCAGCAAGAATGAGTCGAGTGAATTATCAGAGATTCAATTAAGAGAACGTGTGATTGAATTGAGAGGTCTGATTCGTTCCATGTCTGAGAGAAATGTCACAGTATTGGAGAGATTAATGGCATTATGCGCCTATATCGTAAAGTTGAAAGATATCAACATGATGACCGACGAGAATGTTTCTCTAGTGTTGGGACCCAATTTAATGTGGCCAGAGAAAGACGAGGAAAGTGAAGATGAGGAGTCGCCTTCGTCTATTGCCATGAATTCTCTCAAAGACACTCCAACTATTTGTAACATTGTTTCTACATTAATATTGAACTATTCTCAGATTTTTGAAAACGATTCACCTTATGACTCCGAATTGCTGGGTACTAAGAATTTACCAAAGGATCAATTGTGGGTCAAGAAAGCACAACAACCATCATCACTTGTGGCTTCACGCGCTGGTAGCATTGCAAGTGTGTTAAATAAGAACTCACCAGCAATACCTACTAAGAAAGTTGGACCTACATTTCCAGTACCCAGTCAGAAAACACAAGGAGGAACTCAGGGATACGGTAGCAGCGGATCTGATGTTGAATCCAAGAAAAATCAAACACGAAACTTTAGAGGTCACATGCCAAGAGGTATCGTGGAAAAACTGTCGGTCGGTAGTGACATGATTTATCCATTGAGACTGGTCAGATTAACTGGTGAATCTTTGGTTTTAATGACTCTTCGTGATGCAACAGCAAACACTGAGGCAAGATTCCTTATTGATCGTGAAATTCCATTTGATCATATCAAGAAATTGGAAACCATGAACCAAATTAAATCAGCAACTGCCAAGACTGACGAAGATAATGACGATGAAGATTCGCAACCTCAAGCTCCCTCGTCGAGTACTTTGTCCCCAAGTGGAAACAGTAACAGCGATGCTGTGAATGGTGTCAAAGTCACCTATCAACAAAAAGGAGGATTTAACACCACTGTAATTATTACAAAGGATCTTAAAGGAACAGATCATGATCCTTCTCTCTATCACTACGTTGATACAGAAATGACTCTCAAAGAGTGGCATGCACACTTCTCTACCGTTCTGAAGAGATATGAGGTGTTTGTGAATTTGGCTAAATCAGATCCTGATAAGTTTGGAGCTGTGCTCACAAAGAAGGAATTCAAAAACGCTAAACAAGCCAAATTGCAACAACAGAAAAAGCTTGAGGAAGAGAGAAGGGTTGCACTGGATCATCCCGTCGATGAATTGCTTACATCAGAAGGTAAAGTGCAAAATAATATAATTAGTATCAACAAACTATCATATCAGCAAATGATCAATACGATTACACAAATGAAGGAGAAGTTGAGCAATGAAGAAAAAACCAGGAAAATACTTGAATATAGACTACAAGATATTGAATCACAAAATAAGGAATATATCCAAGAAGTGAGAAATCTCAAAACGAAATCCATTCGAATGTCTGATATACATAAGGGATTGACACGAAAGTCAGCACGTTTTATTTCTACTCCTGAAAAGAATAATTATATTGATGAAGAGGATGATTATTACGACGATGATGACTATGATATGGACAGCGATGATAGCATTGAATTTCGTTCAAACTAAGGTTGATGATTATTGTAGTTTGTATAAAGTTGTTGAGAGTAGTTCATGAATCAAGTTGTTGTGCTGTGTTTGGATATCTTGATCTCTTTTTCTATTTTCACATGATTGGCAATCTCATCTGATGTAATGGATGGAATGATGGTTGGACACAATTCAATTATTTCACACTAAAAAATTCAGGAATGAGTTTATTGAATAATAAACGGGTTATGTGTGCTCAATTAACCGACTAAAGAATGTCTTTGGGTATTTCACACTAAAAAATGAATCGAAGACCACCTGGCATTTTGATCATTCCAGTTTTGGCTGGTGTTCTCACCTCGTATTATGCTTGGAAACCATACATTGAAGAGAAGCAAGCAGAGACAGCGAAAAAAGCATTTGATCCACTCAATGAACATGGCAATATGAATATTACATCATCGGAGGCACCTAAACGAACGAAGAGAACTACGATTCCTAGCACTCGAGCAGCAAATGCATCTTCTGTAGAGTCGACTTCAAACAAGGAGGAATCTTCGTAGTGTTGGACTTGCTATTAACATTATATACAATTATTCAATTCCACCTATATGACATTATTCCTAAGCTACCTTTTCAATGATTTATGGACTATTTCAAAATGGAATGAAAATAATTGTTTCCAATCTTGTGATGATGATCGTGTAGAGTGTGTGAAAGATCCTATTTTTGAGATAAATAAATTTTTTATGTACAAATTTGAAAGATGGAATTCACAATCTCTGCAAACATGAATCATCATCCTAATATTATATGAAGAAAAAGAAAAACAGGTATAATTCCGTCAAATTAATTTTGGTGGGATAGTGGACCAAAATTTCGTAATCGGCTCGTCGGAGTGAAAGAAAAATCATACGATGATCAGGATAGTAGCAGTATAAAAATCTATAAATCCCTAACAATTCTAATTAATATTCTTCCTCCTCTTCCTCGTCTACAGCTTCTTCAACAATCGTGAAGGGTCTCGATAAAAAGTCTCTCATCACTTGGGCCTTCTTATTCAACGATCCGAAAGGAACTTCCTTCTCTGCACAAACACACAACACCACATTTCTACTCACTCCCAAAATTGCTAATCGTCCATATTCACAATCCACTAGAAGTGTTTTCAGTTTTTGTGTACCACCCGATTCTTCCTCTAAATTTTCATCGTCCTCTTGTCCAATCATATTTCCATTTTCATCGTACTCGACGGGAGAGAAAGCCGTTCGTCCTGCTTTCTGATATGAATGCCACATATTGGCCGCAATGGCTGCAATTAATTTATCCATGTGTTTGATTTGGGAAGGAAGTAAACGTTGTTGGTAGGTGATTTGTTGTTCGGAGAAGGTGATATTATTGGAAGTTTGTTGAGCTGATGATGGTGATGGAATTTGTTTTGCCGATGTGGACAAACTCGAGCTGATCAAGGATCCATTGACATTGCACAGAATGGTCGTCTTGATTCCATCCGTGTTGATTTGTTCCAGTACTTTGGGCAAGAGACGAGGTTGCAGCATTTTTTTGTTGTTCTTGGTATTGAATTAATATTTAATAAATATTCAATATTGAGATGATTACGAAATTGGAATTTATTCTGGATAGAAAGATATATACAGGGTGAAGAACACACACTAGCAAAATGACACCTAGATGAATATGACTTATGATTATTTGGAGGCTGTTTTTGGTTTTGCTTTTCCTCTGTTCTTCTCTGCAATGGCAGGTGGAGCAGATCTCTTGACACGTGAAACTCGAGGCTCATCTTTTGGCTGTGGAGGTTCGACAGCTTTCACTCGGCTGATGGTCTCTTTTCTGGGTGTTGGAGGAGGTGCCTTCTTTCTCAATAAGGGCTGAACTTGATTTTCGTCCTTTTTCTCAAAGTATTCTGCAAGCCCAATGTTCAAATGGTCGTCTTTTCTCGAGTGTCTATTCTTACGCTTCCAAAAGACTGTCTCTCCGTCGGCCACTACGGATTCACTCATAGTAATTGAAGAAGTGTGAAGTGATCGAGATTTTGCTTTTTTGCCCTGAGGTAATTGGGGTTCCACACTCCGTACGGGTCCCTCTGATGGCTCTTGCTGAGGGTTGGCTTGTGTTGGATGAGCTATTTCGGAGGAAACAACAACTGAAGAAGATTCTGGCTGAGAAGGTTTGTGATGATTCCCTGTGCTCACTTGCGATGAGGGACGGGTTTGAATGTGGTCCTGTTGCTTGACCAATGGGTTGGATGGAGAAAAACGATGCAAGGCCCTTTCACCGGCAACTCCATGACTGGTGTGAGGTCGATGCTCTTCCAATTTGATAACCTCTCCCATGCAGCTCATTCTTGAAGAAAAGGAAGGCTTTGGACGAACCGATTCCAATGAAGTATCCATATGACTCTGATTCGTGAAGTGTTGATGCGGATCAGTGAGTTTTGGTGTCGGAGGGGCATATTTGGGGTTTGGTTTTTCTCTCTGGGGTGGATCTGGATACGCGAACACTATATTCGTGGTTCTTAGTGGTCCTGGCATATTTCAATATTTCAGCGTTATAAAGTTAGGTACTTCTTGTTCTATTTGATGATGTATACTGATATTGCAATTAATCATTCAACACGATCACAAAAACCGTTAAAAGCTGGCTCAAAACAATAATAAGGAACGGAGCAGCGAAAATCGTCTCGGCAATTAAGGCTAATTTTTTTTTAAAGAATTTTTCTTCCATTAACGGTTTATGGCGCAATTTTCACACCATCTACTAAATTCCCAAACTAGTAAAACAGGAGCCTGGAGTGCTTATTGCGAAAAGAGATGAGTTTGATAGGGATTGTGAATAAATATTATTCGCAACTTACCAAATGAACGACAGACTGGGACATTTACTTGAAATATCAAGACTTCTGTCCGGTTGAGTGCAGGAAGGAAGTCGACCAAGTTGAAAGCATTGTGCAAAGCAGTCTATCAAAATAATAAATATTATTACATGAATATTATTTGAATAATTGTTGATACATGATTTGGCCGTCACTCGAAAACCATGGCTTACGATTCAATAATTCGTCTTGTTCTTGCATTTTCATCCAATCTTCGTCTTCATCGTAGGGCTCTTGGTTGGGATATAATTCCTCTGAGAACATGCGAGACATTTTCTGTTTCATTTCTTGTTCGGATTTTTGTTCTTGAATTTGCTTCTTATATCTTAATTGTCGCTCAATCATTGAAACATTATATTGAAATTCTTCATCTTTCTTCTTTTGAAAATTGTCCAATGTGTTGGGATCGATCGAAGATTGATAGGAAGCAAATAAAACCTTGGCTTTCTCTAAATTCTCGAAACCTCTTTCATAGTCATCGAGGAAATTGTAAGACTTTCCAAGTAAATAGAAAACATGGTGATTGTTAGGATCCAGAGACAGTATATTTTGACATGTTTCAATGCATGACCTGTGATCTTTCATGACCGAATTACTTCTTGCAATATTGAGCAATAATTTAACTTTTTCTTCAGTGACAAGTTTCTTTTGAGCGCGGAAAAGTTCTTGATTATCAGAGTCGTCGAATTTAACGGTTGAGAGACTGATGAGAGCTGATTTGTAAGTTTTCAACGCCTTTTTGAATTGACAATCTTTGTATTCCAAATTGCCTGCAACTCGTTTCTTGATCACTTCATTTAGTCCTTCTTCAAAATTTGTCACATTGACAATTTCTTTTCGTTCAAGATGAGTCATTTCATAATATTGTACATAGACATAGTCGTGACACTGTCCAGGGGATAAATGGTCACTATCTCCAGTTTGGAAAAGAGTAATTTCCAAATTCTTGTCCACACCTTTACCAATGCTGAAAATTGCCTTCTCTTTATGTTTCATGGTGTAGAGGCATTCCAACTGTACAGGATACACCTTATTTGGTCGTAATCGAATTTCTTGCAACAAGTTGTTGGAAGCAGTGAAACACTTCCACTCTACATCTTGCTCTGTCATTTTGTAAAATAATTTGGCACATCCAAAAACTAATGTCCTTGACCAACAATCATCCATCAATGGAGTATAATCAATTGTTAAAAACATCCATCATAGTATTAAAACAAATACACCACTTCACACAAAAACCAAATCCCTAATAACTACTCACATCGAATGACAGAGCCTGGTGTTGCTGTCAAGCCTTCACCTTCATGTAACACTCTCTTTTTGACCAGTGGAGAAAATGGAACACTCTCCTCACAAGTCAGCAAACTCAAATCATTGGGAATAATTTCTGAAACGACATCTCTCTTCGGAGGCTTTTCCTTCTTTTCTAATTTCTCGGAAGAGATTGGAATAAATTCTGGAGTGAGTGATGATGATCCGATCGAGTTCTGAACCTGCTTGCTTGAAGAAGAAGTCATTCCTCCTTCTTGTTGTTCTTCTGCAAGTACTGGATCAGTGTCCACGATCATTGCATCTTGTTCTTCGTCGGAACGAGAGGAATGAACCACTTGTTGCGGACGACTATGCAAAAACATTTTTTTTGTGTTGTTGAGAATTCCCAAAGGCTTCAAAGGCTTGTTTGGAGTGAGTGGAGGTTGGAAGAGAAAATTCTTTTGATTACGCTGTGGGCACAGTATACATCGAGTGGAAAAGATCGATCATTTCCTAAATTTACGAGATCGTAAGAAAATAATCATTGAATTAGAGTTAACTTGTTAACATTGTAATATAATTATTTAATTATTTATAAAAAATGAACAAACGTGAGGAAACGTTATGGTCTTTGGGCTCCGAAGATCAAATGATGATGATTGATTCTCTGAATCGTAATGAAGAAAAATATAATAATGAGAATATTGAGAAATATCAATCTGAATCTCCATGCGGTTTAACCTCTTCTTTGGCAGCAGAATATTCATCATTAAGTCATCAAGAGGGATTATTAGTCTCAATATTTGAATATTTGGATTTGGAAACGATCGGATTGAGTATTAGTTTAGTTTGTAAACATTGGAATTCTGTGGTGAAGAACACGCAAACGTTATGGAGATCAATTTGTGTGAATGAGTTGCAATGGCCACTTCACGTCTCTACCGATGAATTATTATTCCAGGCTCAACTTCAAGAAAAAATTGAGAGTGGAGAAATGGATGCCTTATCTTCTCCACTTCCCTCATCTACAAAAGATAAGGTGGCAAAATCCAATGGAAGACGAGCGATTACTATTTGTGGAAAGAGTTTTGCATGGAAAGATTTTTGTTATCTTTTGAAATTACCAGCAACTTTGTACTTTTTTGCCAACTCAAATACATCCAAGAAGGAACTCAATGAATATTATGAAGAACTTACCAATAACAGTGCCTCAGAAAGACCCATCGATGCCGAACACCCTGACATGAAGTATATTGTGTGGCGAGATGTACCTTTGATTGATTGCATTCACACAGAACTGAAAGTATTACAAAAACAAAAAGTACTCACTCAAATTTCATGCGACAAGCTTTATGATTTATTGATTCCAATAATCGACAAATTAATGCCGGAACCGCTCGTACCTTACGAAAATAATTATGTCGCACGATTTCGAGAACTGGTTCTTGGAAAAAACAAATTTTCTTTCCTATTTACAAAGAGTAATTTTCAAACTCTTTCAAAGCAAGTACGTGAACATGTCACTAATCACAACTATTCTTCGTTTGGAGTTTATTTATTGAATGACGACCATCATGACATGGGAGTAGTGACCAAACAATTACGACTTGCTTTCAAAAATAATCTTGATTTTGAATATTCCGATTCTCTCATGTTTAAGGCACATCTTAATGATGAATGTTTACTCTTTGAGTCATCAAATTTAGATATATGCATGGAAACTGTTAAGGTTCTCACAGAAATCGATCTTCATGTTATTCTAGCATTGTCAGAATTTGATGCTCTACAAACAATAAGAAGAAGATTTGCTGTGAATAGGTATGTTGTAATATGGTCGTATAATTTCCATGAAACAATGATCATGAATACCTCGTATTATTTTTGTTATTATAATGACGACAAAATATTGTTTTTCAATGACTCTTGATGAATAATAATAATAACCAACAATCATGATGACTAAATTCCAATATTCAACAGTGAAACTTTAGAAGTTTATTACGAATTCATGCCTGAAAAGATGACTGTCAACTTTGAAAAAGCTCTCAAGAAAAGTACTGGAGAGAAAGAAAAGTTTGTGGTGGCTCTCTACCGTTCACACGTTTCACCTCAATCTCTCATACAATCTCTTCGATCCGTATTTCCACAATTCAATGAAGTGGATTGTATTGGAATTTATTTCACATTGAATACTTATGGAATGTGTTATGTTGCATCAGGGACCTTTGAACAATGCAAAACAGTTGCGGAACGATTGAATAATCTCTTTTTGAATGTCATGGTGAAAACGGAGCAAGAAGCAATGGAAGAAAGTGAGTTGGCAGATGAGGAAGAAAGAGAGCAAGCTCAAGATGTTCAGGAAGGTGGTCAAATGGATGATCACGATGATGATGAGGTTTTCTAAGAAAGTAAATATGCTGACATTGATGTGTTTACATTATTGATTATTTATTTGCCACATTATGTCCAACATGTATGTACAGTGTTGATTCCTCGAGTAAAATTACATCACCATATATCAAATGAGAATCTCTAACAAATAATACAGCCATCGCCAGATTTTCTTTTTGCTTCCTTAGACTTTTTTGCATAGCCCTTAGGATCTGCTTCTTTCATTTGCTGCTCTCGCTTCATTCGTTCAGTATTTAAATCTCGAAGTTGGTTCGCTTGATTGGCATACTTGTTGTTCGATCCATACTTGGCATTTGGATTTGTTGAATGTTTCTTTTCTCGAATGGTTGACACGTTTGCATAGGGAATGGATGGGTCGCGATCATAGGGATTGTTTGATGATGTACCGCCAGTACTACTGCTTTGTGACACCATTCCAGGTGAAGCTGTTGGATCGACAACTCGTTGTTGTATTCGAGGACTTTGTTGTACGGCTTGTTGTTGCATTCGAGGACTTTGTTGAGCCAATTCTTGCTGATAGGCCCGTTCCTCTTCTTGTTGAAGTTGTAGAGCCAATTGTAAATCAGATTCTTCATGAGATGATGGTAATTGTTGTGTCACCAATTCCGACTGATTTTGTTGATTTCTATGATATTCATAGTTTTGGGAATGAGTTTCAAGCATTTGGAAAGGAGTGAAATCACCCAAATAGTAATGTTGATTTTCTCCATTGATGGAAGATAAATTTTCCCACACAATATTCGTTTCATTGAGTAAAGTCTCATCTGTACAGAGTGTGAGTAAAGCATCTTGAATCTTACAAATCACACTGAAATGATTATTTCTGAAGAGCACTGCTAACTTGTGTTCTCCTAAATTTTGATTGATCATTTTAAGACCATATTCTGTCAATTGTGTGGATGAATTTTCGAGGAATTGTTTTATCAGCAACCCCTCGTTGATGATTTGATGTTTCTGTTGGGGACTCATTTTGAGAGCCATTTCTTCGGGTGTTGAAAATTCTGTGAGTGGTTTTGCAGAGTGGTCATTGGTGTCATGCATCATATGATCAACATTGATACCATTCACTCCTTCACCAGTGAGTTTGTTCGTTGAGGTGTCACTTTCCAATTTTTTTCTCAATTTTTCCTCAGCAGCCGTTAATTCTTCCATGAGGACAATCTTTTCAACTGCTTGATTGTATGACAATTCTTTGAGAGCTTTAAATGTTTCGACATCAAATTCTGGATCAATCAGCCATCCATGCATTAATTTCATATTGAAGAATTGAAATACTGATAATTCTGATTTCTCTGTTTTGAATCCACTAACGCCTTCCGTAAATTGCACATTGACATCCAAGCCATGTTTTAATATCGGTAAGTGATCGAGAGCAGTTTGAAACAAAATCTCTTGTCCGTTTTCATTCGTTTGTTGTTTCTTGGAAATGGCATTGAACTTTTTGAGCATATATTCAGCCAAGATGCACACCAAATTATTATTTGTAATAAAACCATTTTCAATATAATCCTCCATTCCGATATTTTCTCCTCTCAAAGACATTAAATTACAAATTGCAATCAAAGGACAAGGTCCATTTAAATTTTGCAAAATGATCGGAGTTCTTCTCTCTCCGATCAAGACTCGTTTGACTTTATATCTCTCAATATTGCCTTCATCCGAGGGTGGTTGCATGGTTTTATTGGAGAGTGGTTTTGTTGTTGTTTCTTGGTGGTGATGATGATGATCCGATGAGGAATGAACTTGATCTGATTGTTGTTGATGTTGTGATGATGATTGCGCAAAAGATGACGACGACATGTTTTCATTTAATTTTTTTTTGTAAATTTTTTAAAAATACTTTTGAAATTGGAACGAAAAGCAAACAAACCGAATCATGAAGAAGGAAAAGGGAGATTAGAAAGTGGAACTGATTCGAATGCATGGAATGGGAAACCACATCAGCGTGAAGCATCCTGCATGCGGACCTAGATACGATTATTTCAAGTCAATGAATTATTAAATCATCTCGCTTTTCCATTCCTTATCGGATCAAGTGATCAATTAATTGAACAGATTTGAACAATGCTCCAAATTCCGATTTGATCTTATTAATATCATCATTGTATGCCGTTAATATTAATTCTACAAATGGAGAACGTTATTTTCCATCTCAAGAATTCTTCTTAACGACAAATTCCTTTTCATCATCATTTTCCTTCCCGAAATAATTTCTCAATAAAACAATACTCCTCATCATCACCACTTCAAAGATAACTTTTCCTTTCCTGCATCATGATCGGCGTCCCGAAACGATGATCATCCTCCTCCTCTTGTCATCTTCATGTTGAATGAGACTTCAAAAGACTTGAAAAACACTCTCGTAGTGAGAACGACAAAATCCAAACGAAAAAAAGCCTTAAAAATGTTCCGATCAGCAGCAACAATGATTTCTACCACACGGAGATCATGGCCATCACCATCATCATCATCATCAAGGATGTCCTACGTCCTGACGACCCTACTACTCGTGTGTATGGTGCTGATTCATTGTACAAATGCCATTCAAACAGAATTACATGCAGGTAAATCTGTTTGCTTTTCCGAAGATTTACCAGCCAACACTCCCGTAACGATCACTTATAGTCCTCCTCCAACGGTGGCTCTGAGTACACTCATTGTGAGAGATCCGTTTGGAAGCATCTTGTTGGAAGAACGAGATTTTACATCGCATCAACCTCACCGAACTTTCTTGACCACAAAGGGAGATGTTTCGGGTCAATATGAAATTTGTATCTTGCCAACTCAATTCTCCAAGGATCATATCTACAAGCAACCAGTATTTGCACAGATTACCATTGATGCAGACAGGTTTCATTACGAAAAAGATCAACCAACAACTAAGGATGAAGTTGAAAAGTTAGATACTTTGTTGCAAGATGTGAGACATAAGATTGATTCGATTAGTTTGGAACAGTATTATTTCAAAGAAAGAGAGGAAAGATTTAGACATACGACGGATTCCACTCATGAAAGATGTTGGTGGTTGGGAGTGTGTAAATTCTCATTACTCGTGGGAGTCACCCTTTGGCAAATGACAAACCTTAGATCATTCTTTAAGAAGAAAAAGTTGATTTAAAGATCCCAAAGAAACATCCCTCCCACATGCAACAATCTCATGTGATATTTTGACGTAGTGATGTTTAATGTTGATCAATGGTGACGCTTTGCAAACCTAGCCTAACAATTTGAGAGAAAATTAATTTTCAACCATTAACAAGTTTAATTTATTTTTGAAAGAACCAAATGACACACCAACCCGACTGAATTCCTTTCTCCTGAATTCCTTTCGCCATTATCCAATGATTTGCTGAAAATAAACACTGCAGCACATTTGGAAAGGAACCTTTTTACAAGACCAGTGCATGTCTATTTTTGCAGCAACGTGTTGTGACACACCAACGAATCATCAAAACGAGAATTCCCTTTTTCTCAATATAACATCCACAAAAAATTGCAACCGTTAGAGTGAAAGAGATGCTTCCCATAACCGCCAACGCCACCACCACCATAACATCGACGACACCTCTCAACGTTATTATTTCGAATCATCATGTTGCATTAAGATCGGAATCTCGAGAAGTGCCTCCGAATCATCGTCGTCGCCATCAACATCATCGAAATGACTCTTCCAAACATTCCGAATCATCGTCGTCGTCCTTCCGAGGAGGAGTGCATGATGCCACAAATTCAAATGTACATCCAAACATACGCAAACATCGAAAACAGCATTCATTGCATACTCCAAAAACGAGTTCATCTCAAAAGAAAAACACAACGAGTGATTCCACTCGTGTACTGGATGATTATTCTGAACATTTTTCTCTAATTTCAAAAACGTGCAATCAAGTTGTTCCAATCAGAGAAATGATTCGACTCCATTCGAATGCTTCTTTCATGACATTATCAAAGGATTCGAATTTGACTCTATATTCCAAAGAGATTTCGAAAATTTATACTCTCTCAGATTTACCAGGTGAACTTGTCATTCAAATTCTCATGTTTTTAACCTCACATGAATCGGCAAGCATTCTATTGACCTGTTCGTCAATTTGTGAAAATTTACTGAAAGAGAATGGATTTTACAAATTATTGTACATTCAATGGATTTCGCGAGATCTTTTACAATGCAAAAATCATCTCGAACAACGACAGGTCTATAATCACACAAAATGTAAATACGACTGTCGACAAACATATTTTAATGCATTGGGCGTTTCACAATGGAAACAAGTCATTCAGAAAAAAGAAATGGAATTAAGGAAACACCTTAATCGAAAAGGTTCATCGATTCATTGGAAGAAAATATTTCATGGATATTATCTACGATCACAATATGAGAAAATTCGATTCAAACTTGCCTCTATTTCCAAACTCTGTTACAATAATCCAAATGCTTTGGTACTTGTTTCCAAATTATTTCAATATCTCAAAACAACATTACAAAATTTACCTTCAGACACTGAACGAGATTATGTCATTAAGAGAAATTATGGAAAACAAATTAAGAGAAATCACACTCTCGTTCATCAATGCTTTTACTTGCTGGGGAATTTTTCTGATCTGAAAACTCGAAAAGAGGAACTCGATCGATTCATTCCCTTTCTGAACTATTTTCTGTATTCGAGTCGAAATGTGGTTGAGAATCCTCTCACTGTGAAAAATTCATGGAATTTGACAGCGTTCCACTACGCCATTCGAGTGGGAAGTAATTATTTACTTCGAGAATTAAGCACTACCTTTTTTGGAAATTTAAAGGCTTGTACCTTATTAAGGTTAACAGAAGAACCACAAAAAGCTCCAATTTTATATCATCTCGTGAAGTATAATATTTACCCAATAGTGTTCCAAGAATGGATTCGAATTAATTTATGTAAACCAGAATTATTTCTTTCAAAAGCAAGAGAAGGCTCGAAAAGTATTCTTCACTACATGATGCTTCATGGGATGACACATCCCAGAACAGTCATTGGATATCTGTCACTTATCAAAGAAGTCTTTTCTCCTTCACAAATCACACAATTACTGAATGAAAAAGATCAAAATGGAGAAACACCTTTTGGATATGCCATTGCAACCATAAGTGAGAAATTTTCAACACAATCCAATTTCGAATTCGATTTTGGAAAAATTTTTGGAATTCTCAATTATCTCACCGTTGACCTTCATTATTCACCTTCACAACAAGAACTCGATCGATGGAATCAATGTTTGGATTTTTATCGAATGACGCATGTGCATAGTAGGGCTTCTCAAGTTTTATCCAAATATAGAATTGATCGGGATTCCATTCAATTAAGAAGATTAATGCAAAAGAACGATTGAGAGTTAGTTCATTATTAATGAGAATAATGTTGTGTGTTTGTGAATAATATCGGAAAGAAAACACACACATGAGGATACTATCGAGATGGTTGCAACGTCCATGTATGATAGAATTGACGCAGAAAAAAGATGAATTGCCTGATTTCACTCACCAACAGGGTGATGATGGTTGGGTTGTTAATAACAAGCATGTTCTCCACAAAACGTATAGAATCAATGGACACTGGATGCTCATCAAGGGCTTGGTGGTGATTCTATTGTGTTTGGGTTGCATGAGTTTGTCGTATTTTGAAATATTTCGAAAGGTATCGTTGTCGCCGAGTGACAACATGAACCAATTGAAATCACTGCATCTTTCCTTAGATAAGAGTCATGAATATAATGTCATGTTCCTCAATAAGACCCAAAATTTTGGAGACACCTCCTCTCAGAATTCAGATTCTCCTCAAGAGAATACCAAACTTTGCTCGAAAATTGCTACCTATGAATTAGATCAATGTCAATTTGCAAAGGAAAACTGCATGTCACCACTTGGTGGCATGTTAAATTTTATTTTTATTCGTTATTGCACCTTCCAGAAGTTAGAACCATTGTTCTATGTTTTGGCCTTTCTGTGGATGGTCTTTTTATTTTACATGCTTTCGAGTAGGTGTCTCAATTTTCATGTTTCTTTCCTTTTAATGCGAATGATCACAAATCCAACAACAGCCACTGCTGAAGATTATTTTTTGCCCGAGTCTTGCAGAAATTTCTCGAATTTTAAGATTGAGTCCTGATATTGCTGGTGTAACTTTTCTCTCATTTGGAAATGGGGCTCCAGATATTTTCAGTACTATCGCAGGCATTTTCTCTGGAAGCACTGGATTTGGGCTAGGTGAGCCAATTGGATCTGGACTTTTTATTTGTAGTGTATTGCTTGCATGCGTCACTTTGGTTGTGAAAGAAGCAAAAGTGTCAGCCTTTCCTTTTCTGAGAGACGTCATTACCTATCTCATAAGTGTTACATTTGTGTTTGTGATCATCTTGGTCGATGGTTCAATCAATTTATGGCAAAGTATTTCATTTCTGGCCATTTATGTTGCATATGTGGTGTTTGTCATTGGAAGTAAGCTTGCCATGAATAGGATACAAAACAGAAAGCAAAAAATTCAAGAAAAAAGAAGGTGCCTTATCAACAACGAGGATCCATGTGTAGTTTGTGACTCTACCGATAATGAAAAACAAAGTCTCAATATTATACGAAATATGACGAGCTCCTCTCTGAGGACAGTTCCTTCGATGAAGCAGATTCTTCATCATCGGGCTGGAAGGAAGGCAAGCAACCCACGCTTCGATTCTCCAAAGTTGAGGATATTCCTGACAAGGTGATTGAAATTTTACGAAAGAAGCAACACCATTATGGAGCTCAATATAACCCAAAGTTTGGAATCTTTTTCTATGAGACGCCATCTTTGGACAATTTGAGCAGTCAAAAGTTGAAATCGATTGACATTGGCTCTGTTATCATTGAAAATCATTTTGATCATAAAAACACAGGAGAAGATGTGTGTGAAGCATGTCATGAGGCTGGAGGAAACAGAACTTGGCTCGAAAAAGTGAAATGCAAAGCTTGTCATGTGTGGGCTGAGTTTTTGGATCAGTGCGAATGGGAAGAAAAATCGAGAGGAGAAAAGTTATTCTTTTTATTGGTAGCACCAAGCATTTTGATTCGAAATTTGACCATTCCCAAGATTTATACCATTGCCAATGAATTGGTGGATGTGCTCAATTCATTTGGAATCATGTGGAACATTAGTGATTCCATTCTTTCCATTGCCCTTTCTGCTGGCAATAGTTTGAGTGATATGGCTGCTGATGTTGCGGTGGCCAGACAGGGTTTCGTTGAGATGGCTGTTGCTGCTGCGTATAGTGCACCTGGATTGAGTTTACTTTGTAAGTAGTTTGAAAATTTAAGTTCAGGAAATTGTTGAAAACTTTGTGTGAAATATGAACTAACAACACATGCCAATTTTGGGAACATTTTAAAGTTGGTCTTGGCATTTCCATGACAGCCAATTATATCATGACATCAAAACCATTCCCTATTGAATTTTCTCCAACCTTATGGTCACTTTTGTTTTCCTCATTGCCGTTTTGATCAGTTCCATTATTGTCGTGCCAGTCGCAAATTTTCATTCTCCCAAAATCTTTGCTTGGTTTCTTATTGCCATGTATTTGGTCTACTTATGTATGTTTGAATAATTTTCATCTTTTCATTGAAGGAGTGAACAAAGTTGAAAGTTCCAAGTTCATGTGAAATCCCGCGGAAAAGAATATTCAAAGAATTTGAATTTTCTGATTTTTTGATTCGTTCCTTGTTGTTGGTTACTAAGTCATGTTTTGAACAAATCATGACAAGAAGAAGGTTGTGTGTAGAATTCGATTGAAAGAAATTTGTGAAAGGATGAATGCATTCAGAACCTCATTCACGACTTCTTGTGTACCTGGAATTTAGATTCGAGTGCTGGTGGTGGTGGGGATATCGTGCAATCAATCAAAAAATTATAATCACTCCAAATTAATAACCATAAAAAACACTCCAACCATCATCTTTAAAAAAAACACATCCCCAACAACAACAACAACAAATGAAATTCCTCATCCTTTCCTTGTTGTTCGCCACTCTTCTCTTTTCCAGCACTCTCGTGTTGGCAAGTGACAGCGAACGTGATCTCACTGCTTCCGAATTGAGAGAAATCATGACAGGTCTCTCTGAATCCAAAGCTCGCGAATATGTTGGACCTTTAAATGAAGCCATGAGAAGTGCTGGAATTAACACTCCAGCTCGTCAAGCTGCTTTTTTGGCTCAATTAGGACATGAATCTGGAAATTTGAGATGGTTCAGAGAATTTGCTAGTGGAAAAGCCTATGAAGGAAGAAGAGGTAAGTAAGAGAATGAATTTTAAAGAGAATTTTGATGATGAATGTTGTTGAATGTGGTGCGTGATGATGAATCTTGTGAAAAATTGTTATTTTGACATTTGACATGTGAATGTTTTTACTGATTGCAACAGATCTTGGAAACACTCAACCAGGTGATGATGTGAGATATAAGGGAAGAGGTCCAATTCAAATTACTGGACGTGCAAACTATCGTGCTGCTGGTAAAGCTTTGGGCGTTGATTTGTAAGTTTTTCAAAATTTCATTAATTCAAATGTGAATTCAAAATTTCATTCAAAAATTTCATTCAAAAAAACAATGAATCATTGATCAAACATTCAAGAGAGAACAATCCACAACTTGCTGAGGATCCACGTATTGGTTTCCGAACTGCTGCTTGGTTTTGGAATTCTCGTAATTTGAATCAATATGCTGACAGACAATCTCAAGATGCATTTGATGTCATTACTCGAAGAATTAACGGAGGTTACAATGGAAAGGCTGACAGAGATGCTAAATACAGAGCTGCTCAACGTATTTTGGGAAGAAATGGACTAAATGATACTCCTTCTCAACAACCAACGACTCCAGTTGAAAGACCATCAACAAGACCAGTTGAAAGACCAACCAGACCAACTCGTCCATCGAGACCTATTAGACCAACCAGACCAACTCGTCCTTATCGACCAACAAGACCAACAAGACCCTACAGACCTACTCGTCCTTATCGACCTAATAGACCAACAAGACCTACTCGTCCAACAAGACCCTACAGACCAACAAGACCATACAGACCATCGAGACCAACTCGTCCTTACAGACCTTACAGACCTTCTAGACCATACAGACCAACTCGCCCTTCAAGACCATACAGACCATCTTATTCAAGACCATCTTACAGACCATCGTATAGACCATCTTATAGACCATCAAGATCAAGCTACTCTAGACCATCTTATTCAAGACCATCTTACAGACCATCCTACAGAGGAAGAAGATAAACGCGAGTTTAGTAATGATCGAAAGATCCTCAAAGAGCTTTCAACAATAAATTTATAATGATGATCTTTTTGAGTCGACAAATTACGAATTGCAATATTTCTATTTTCAAATTGTTTTACTTAGTTAAATGTATGATCATTCTTGTGCATACACATTTCAAAATTAACAAAAACTTCATCGCTACAATCACTCTCTTCAAAGATATCCTTATCATAACCTTCATAGTGGAAACATTGGAGCAAAGGAAAATGTTTTCGAAATGAGTGTCCACAATAATTCATTCCAAGATCTAGCTTGGTCAAATTGAACGCCCATTCTGGGTCCAGAAATTGAAATACTTGATACAACATGTCATCAGCAAATAATCCTTCATTTTCTGTTTAGACTAAAAACTGCCGATCCATCCTCATCATGACCATTCACACAATCGTCATCGTGCATTTTTCTTTCTCCGTTCATTACCGCATCCTGAAATTCACTTTGCTGAGATATCAATATTTTGGTGATCAAAATAAAGAAGCTCTAAGATAACATCATGATGATCATTGTTGTCGGGTGCCTTCCTCTTCTAATCAGAGTCACTTGAGGAGTACTCCTCATCTACAAATATATATTTCCAATTTGGGCTTTCGTTGTCACACAAATAGGACCACCACATTTCGTCACTGTAGTAACTTTTAAGAGTTATTTCTGGCTTACAGAGCTGAACCGGAGTTGTAACTAAATATCCATATGGTATGTGAAAATCATGATACATGTATTCAAGTCTAGCTCGTTTCAGAGCATTCAAGGATGATCTGTCAATGTTGTGAAGAATGGTCTGACTTTGAAGGTTGCCACTATTTTGAACTGCTCGAGCATAAATCTCTTGGTCATTCTGCAGTTGTTCATCGATATATTCAAATGGATTTCCATTTTGTTGTAAAGCAGAAAGGGCCATGTTCTTGTCGCTTCTCAATCTAGAAGAGGCATTATGGATTGCCAGTCCATGTGTTTTTACTGCTTCTTTAACAATCTCTTCATTGTCCTGAAATTCACTAGCAGCAAACGCTAAAGAAGCACCATTTTGACGAACAGCTGTTAAAACAATTTCAAAATTGTTTCGTAAATCCGCCGAAACTATTTCTAAAGCCCTACCATTTTGCTTGACTGCATTAAAGACAAGTTCAATATTGTTTCTGAAACAGGGGTCAACATGAAGTAATGCGAATCCATCTTGTTTGACTGCTGTTAAGCAAATCTCGAAATTTTTCTTGAGAGACGGCGATGCATGTGCTAATGAACATCCAAATGTGGATACTGCTTTTTTAACAATGTCAAAATTATCTTGAAGTGAAGCAGATGCATATTTCAAGGCATCAGAATCAGTTTGTACGGCTGTCAATACTATTTCATAATTATTCTGATAAGCTCGAGCCCACAACAAAGCCGAGCCATTTTGTTTCACTGCCTCCAACACAATATCATAATCGTTCTGTAGGTCTATTGATGCGAACGCTAACGCAGATCCATTATTTTTGATTGCAACAGATAATAAATCAAATCATGTTTAAATTGCATCAACATTGATTTTGTTGCAAAATTGAACACATTGACAACATTGAAAGCAATGGCTCTCATGATGACAGCTTTACAATGTTTCCATTGACTCTCCATTTCGCATTCTGCAACACATTCGAGAATCCATGATGGAAAATAGTTTTTTGGATAATATTCAAATTCAATCAAAGATGAAATGTTTTCCAAAATACAAAGCACCACCTCTTGGCAATCAAGAAACTCAATCGGAATCCATTTTAAGGGATGTAAACAACGTGAAATATCATTCTTGAATGCCTCTTTTGCAAGGAACCATTTGGAAAATCCTTTCATCTGATTTTGAAATTTCATCTTGAGTTTCATTTGTAGCTCTTTCAATCGTTCATTGTTTGTTTCATCTATTGGAATATTATTATTACTGAAATTATGTAATAATATTTTCGTACATGATGTGTTTTCATCGTCCATAGTCCTTCTCTTTTCCGAAGCATGATTTACTGATGAAGAACTTAATTTTACAAGTTTCCGACTGGGTGAATGTTCCAAAGTATGGATGGAAACTGAATTAATTTCCTCCTCTTGTTTTCGCTTCATTTTTTGGTTGTGAACTTAACGACAGCTCAATGTCCAAAGAAGAAGAGAATGAGATCTAAAGTCAACGCAAGCAAATTTACGCTCGAGTCATTGAAATAGTGTCTGTCACTCTTAATTTTGTAAAGAGATACAAGAAATTCTGAAGAATTTTGAAGGATGGATGAACGAAGCATTAGAAGATTTTGGTGGACCAATATATCATCAATCACAATACGATTAAGGCAGTCACGACTTTGCATTTAATAAGTTCTTTCCTATATTTATTGTTACTATTAATTTTGCATCCTCAAGTGTTCAATAATTCGGCACAATTTCACTCGAATTCCAACTTTGTGAATGCCCATGTCTAGAAGTGCTTGATTATGAAGTCCTAGTAATGCTACTCCATCAACATCGTGTTCCGCAAAAAGATCTCCAATCTTATTACTGAAAAATGCAGTATCAATTGATTCAATCCATTGTGAAACTGCGTGAGATGGCCAACTCTCAACTTGAGCCCTTGAAAGATTGCTCAACTGTTCCCTGAGAGACTCCTTTTCGATTGGCACGAAACGAGAGAGAGAAGTTGTGTTGAAATTTTCATTGTTTGATTGCAACTGCTCGGGCGACATGCCACTAATGGTGCGATTGTAATTGCTAGTATTCATTTGAGCAAACGATGGTATACCATTTGAGTTGTTGCTATTCGTGTTGATACTGTTAATTTCAGAATAATTCATCATTGACGGATTCGAACTGTAAGATCCTGAATACATTCCACTGTTGCTTAATGAAGAGGCTGAAGAAGCAGCTCTTTCCCTAGAATATGTCGATGGATATACTTGAGGATTGCTGTACATGTTATTAGTTTGTTGGTGATTTTGTGGAGGTTGAACACTTGGGTATGGTTCAGATCGGTATTTCTGGAAATAACTGGGTGATCTTGTTACAGAAGATTGAGAGGAATAAGGCAGTGGCAACATATCAGGATCACTTGAAGCATTTCTTTGGGTTGATGCTACAGTGTTGTTGAATGAAGATGATGGAACATTTTGCTGAGTTGGAATTTGTTGTTGCTTGTTCGTATTTGTTGGGTATTGTATGTTGTTGTTGACAACCCCAGCAGGGTTATTGATGTAAGGCTGAGAGGAATTCGCCATGGGAGAATTACAATAACTGCTATTACTTGCTGTAGGATAAGGTGAAAGATCCATCATGTTGTTATTGCCAGCAGGCTGTGACAAATTTTGTGTTGGTTGATATTGAGATTGAGAATTTTGTGGTTGTTGTGGAGGCGATGTTGGTTGTGAAGAGGAGAAATTTTGCTCGGTTCCAATCTCTCCATCCTTCTTTTTTCGTCCTTTTTGTTTTGGTTCATAGAATTGACATTCCATCGAACGACGAATACATTCCGAACATTGAGGTAATCGACGATCGCATTTCTGAAAATATGTGTGTAATCAGCATCACATTAAAGGAAATTTTAAAAACCTACCTTGTGTCGCTTACGGCATGGAATGCAAGCTATGGGATGGAAATCTCCTCCTGTCATGTTTATGTCCTGTTGTTGTTGGGGTGACATGGTCACTTGGTTCTTTCGTTGTCCATTCACAGTGTAATCATGAAATACAGCCTGTTGAGGAGCTGTCTGAAATGATGAGGTCATTGCGCTTTGATTTTGCGCATGGTGCGACGCGGGCTGTTGTTGCGGAGGTGGTGAAGTGGATTGTCTCGTGTTTACTACAACATGTTGGGAGTGTTGAGATGGCGATGAAGGGGTGGATGTGTTGCTTGATATCGATGCTCCGTGCTGATGATGAGGATGATGAGAAGTTAATTTTGAGTCGGCCATTGCATTCATGATAGAGGGGAATGTTGGTGGAACCACAGATGTGTGATGGTGCTTTGGGTAAGGTGAATTCGATCTGAGTGGTGGCTGGTGGAATTGTTCTTGTTGTTGATTCATGAAATTTGGCGTGTGTGAGGATGCTGTTGTTGAAGCAGCGGAGGGGGATGATTCGGCCAAAACATGTTTGGTTGTTTGATGTTGGAACATGTGTGGAGAATTATCCGTACTGTTACTACCTTGATGAGTCATTATTTGGGTAGGCCCGGGCAAAGATGGTTGCTGCAATTGCAAAGCCATTGATGGTAATGGTGCATGTTGCGATTGAGGTTGTGGAAGTTGCTGTAGTGCGTGTTGGTTGTGGTGAGGACTGCTCACATACGCCGAAGTATTTTGATAATATGGAGAATGATGAGATGGATGCTGCTGCGGAGAAGAAGCCGGAGAAGGTGATGAATAGCTTGGGGAACTATTCATTGTGGCTGATGAAGAGGTAGGGACATGAACGGAGAGTGGTTGTTGTTTGTGTTGCTGTTGTGATAAAGTCTGCAGCGTAGGCGGTTGAGATGAATAGCTATTGCTGCTGTTGTTGTTATTATTATTAGTAGAAGCAACACCACTATTCATGTGTTGGAGCATGGATGTTGTTGCTGTAGGCGTGGTTGTGGTACTACTTTGTGCGTGATGGTGCACCATGGACTCTTCTTCCTTAACCACTGATGTTTGGGAGGAGGAACATAATGGAAAGCCTTGAAACGGTGGTGCTGTTGATGGCGATGAGCCGCTGGGTTCTTCTTTCATTGTACCCGAATTAATGTTTGTTTTGTGCTTCAAAATATTGAATTCAAATAGGCCAAAGAGTCTTGTTTGTCGTTCGGACAACACACAAACGAAATGTTGATGATGAAATAAGAGCTATTGAAGAGGCGAGCTGAAATTTTTCTTGGTTTTCCTCGTTTGTAGTTGAGCCAAACGAAACACACGAGTTGAGCGATCAAAAATTCTCTCGCTTCTTCTTCTTCTTGTTGTTCTTGAATAATGCAGCAACAAAAGGGTATTAATTGTGGTGGATTCCTTTTGCAGCGTCCGCGCTTTTTCTGTTTCGAAAAGCCTCTCTGATGGTGGTGGAGAATGAACTTTGAGGGTTTTCACTTTTGTATGCTTCGATCGTTCGTAGTGAATTATTCTGTATCTAGTTCTTACAACTCAATATTTGTGAGCTGAAGGAGTGCAAGTTCTTGAATCGGATGAAGTGTGTGTGCACCAAATGATGAAAAGATCTTTTGAGAGAACGGACTCTTTCTGCTTGAACCTTTTGCTTTTAGAAAGAGACGTTCAATGTTGAGTCTCCCGAGAGTTTAAGAGAGATGTGTCGCCGAGAGAGAGGATGACGAACGAGACAACAGAGAGAGGTTTTTTTTGCTCGGTACAGTTGAGTGTGCGACACACCTCGCTCGGGATGTACGCCAATCCCAAAATGTGCTGTTGCGAACGCTTGCTCCGAAAATTGCCCTGCGGGGTAATCATGTGCTCCAATTAAACTCAGAGGAATTTCGGAATGGCAAAATTCATGCATGATTAATAAAGAGACCACAACATTTCAGTTTTTCAGAAGCGTTTTTTTGTATTCATTTGGTAGGATTTACTGCCTTGGTCCGAGCCAATACTCGGATGGGATCACGCCAATGTTATAATTGCTTCAACGAGGTGATTCGTCCCTTGTGGAAAAAACTACAACAACTTTCGGAGCTTCTCGTCGGACTCCCTTGCGTGATGGAAACTTGTTCCCAACAGAGCTTTCAAAAGAGACAATATTAGTACTATCGATTGACATCTAAATCTCCCAAGAGAATCCTTTTCCATTCATAAATGGTAAAACTTGGATATTGATGTGAAACAATCTTTGTATACATGGCTTTAAGATGTAAATTGAAGAATTTGAATTTGGTGTTGGTGATGGCATCGAGTTGAGTTAACAGGTTCCATGTTGTTGTTGTGTAATTTGTACCACTACTAGTTCCCAGAGACCAATGAGGTTGATTCAGAATAAGGTAAATTTCCTCCGTTTTTCGTTTCGACTGTTTCACCACTCTGAAAAGTTTCTCTAAATGTTCTCGAGTGGTTTGGGTGTCATTGTAAAATTCCAAATAATTATGAACAAAACTGTGAGCTGTTTTTGCTTTCATGAAAGTGTTGTTGGCCTTTTCTTGAATCTTTTCGAGCATCATGGAAATAATGGTATTATTATTCACATCCATCGATCCATTCACAAGAATAAGATTATTCTCACAGAGTCGTTTCACCCAATGCCATTCAATATCACCCTTTTTTGAAAGCATGAGATGCGTCAAGAAGTGATTCACAGGAACCATACTGGGTTTCATTTTCAGACTGAGGGAAATGGCAGTCGTGTATCGAGAAATGGCGTCCAAGTCTTCGACATCTTTTCGAGTTGGAAGCTCTGCATATGAATTGTTGCTGAGGAGTGTCCATCTTGAAGGGTTTTCCTTAAATTGATAATCATAGACATGATTCGATGTGATGCGCATCATGTTGGTCACACGAATGGTGGTTGATGTGCCATTCATGTCATCTGAAATTGAACTCGAGCTGAATATATTCTTTTTTGTCGTCCAATTACAGAAAATTAATTCAAAATTTAGAGAAAATTCGACTCGACTAGAAATATGGTACAGTAATTTTTCCAAATCTGCTCTCACTTGAGAGAGAAGAATATCCGAAACATTCATTCTAAAAAACGGCACACTAATATGTAATCGTGTCACTTTTTCACATGCATCTAATTTACGCCAAGGAGACAATGCCTGAATGGACATTTCCTCTTCTCCAATAAATGGCTCACTATTCACATCTAAAAAGTATAAATTTTTCAAAAAACACGAATATCGATTCATGACATTATCTTTTCGTTCCGGTTGCACCATCATTAATCGATCGAATTTGTACAATCGAAAATCATGCTCCTCTAAATCAAAAATATCATTCATTTCCAATTCATTACCATCTCGAATCCTCTTCCAAATGGTCTCTGCTTGCTTGTGTTTAACGCTCGTGTAGAAATCTTTACACACTTCCATCAAAGGAACTCGATAAATGAATGGAATAAATTCCAATATTAAATCTTTGAAAATCTCTTTCGGAACAAATTCAAAGAATCGGCCTTGAAGATGATGATGAAGAGAAGAAGAAAAACGTTTAGATTGATGATTGGACATTTTTTGAATGAGGTGTGAAAAATTGTATTCTTCAACTTCAGAAGTGAAAGTGGTGAAATCTTTCGTTGTGCAACCAAAAGAACCCGCGCATGAAGGGGGAATACACAAATCGATGGCACCCAACCAATTAGAAGAATAAAACAACAACACAAAAAAACGCATTCTGAATTCTCAATTCTCGTTTGTGATTAAAATTAAACCGATTATATAATACTAGTAAATGATTAATTTGAAATTGAATTAATTTCCTAAAGTCCTTATTGGTTAGAACCTCTCCATCTCAAATGATAGAACTCTTTCTGAATGAAATGCAATTTCCAAAAAAGAGATAAAGTTAAAAAAAATGTTTTTCGTTCCAATTTGGAAATGGCCATTTCTTCAACCATCCGATCCAATAGATCGTAGCAATGAGAGTAAGACTTCTGAAACACAATCCTCATTACATCATGATAACTGTAATGAAAGTGTTTGGATATCAAACGGAAGCTGAATTTTAGCGAGAGTAAAAAGATGGGAGGATCAGCCTTTCTGGAAGGATTTAAAGAATTTAAAGGATTTGTAATTGTGGTTGAATGGAATCAAGTCTAATGGACTGAAGAAATTAACCGCAAGCAAAGTCATGCAAAATGTAACCAAGTTAGATTTGAATTCTAACTCGATCAATGAAGAGGGAGCAGCAATTTCATCAAGCTCATATATGGATCAATTAAGAGAGTTCAATTTAGGAAGAAATCCTATGGGAAATGCAGGCATTTCAGCAATTGCTACAAGTCAATATAAGAGTCATCTGAAAGCGCTTTCGACAAGTGAAACTTTGAAAATTTTGAAACAATTACATTTAGGCCACGATAATATTGACAATAGAAACCCAGAACAGGTACCTCTACAGCATTAGATAAGGGAGGACTTGATTCATTTGCAGTAATTTAGCGGATCAATTGGTCTGTTGACAAAAATTGTCCCACTTAATGGTAACGGAGCGGCCTTATTCTTTGTCTCAAAGTTGGTTCACACTTTGGTTGTTGTAACCTCTGTCGAGACAGAGCTTGATTGTATAACGAGCTGACTGCAGTCCATTCATTCAAAATCAAATGGGAACCCACAACTAGTGTTACAAACCTATTGTATTGTGAGACGAAGATTGTCGCAGTAAAACCTTCAATTTCAGTAAATCAGTGTGTCCAAGTTGGTGTTCTTCTTTCCTAACTGAATGAAGGTGTCAAAATATGAATACAGTAAAAACAACAGCGTTGGTCTAACATCGTCTCACATCATCTGATGGTATCAACCCATGTCAAATGTCATTTGTTTTTTAGGCATCGATATTCCACATTTTCAATTTCGAAATCAACGATTGAATTTTAACAGAAAGAAGCCCCCAAATTCATTGGTGAGCATATTATTGTTAGCGAATTGATCCTTTTGTTCGTTAACACAAAGACCCATGATTATTATTTCAAAAAAAACTGTCACCCTTGTTTTCAGCATCACACTCGTTTTCAGATCTCTTCCTCGTTTCATCCAAACACAACAAAATCTTGTGGTTGTTGTTGCTTGAGACTTTAAATTGTAAGTGTCCACAAATCATTTGAATGTGAAAAATCTTCTGAAACACTTTGATTTTCTGTGGCCACCCAAAAATCTAATATCCTCTTTTTCATAAAACCCCTCATCAACACTAAATATTGTGGGCCCACCGTCAACACACTTTGTGATTTCAATTTGGACTGCTCAGAATGATTTCAAAAAATTGTTGATCTTTTAAAAAGTCAATTACAACAGTGTGTGTGTGAAAACTCAAAAAACAAGACCAACAAGAACCACTCGAACGCTCATTGATTCCTCTCTCTCCGTTACTCCCCAAAAGAACTCGGAAAGAATCAAAGATGACGGAACAACAACAGCAACACCCAGTCGAGTCCACTTCGACAGCTCCTGTCCAAGTGGTAGTGATTACTGACAGCGAAGTTCCTTCTTCTCATTCACAACAACAACAACAACCTCCACAACCACAACCAAACGATCATGACCATGAACAACACATCGATCATCATCATCACTACCAACAACAACAACAACAAGAGAACATCATGTCTCCACTTGCTGACCTTCTTTCCCAACTCTACATTTACAATTGGAGTGAATTTTCAAAAACTTTTTCTAGATTTACTCGTTCGACATCTTCTTCTAGGCATAACAGCACCTTAACGAGCAGTTCGATTTATTCTTCAACTCATCAACAACAAGCACATCAACAACAACAAGAAACACAGGGTCATCATGGCAACAGTGGTGGTGTTGATTCTCCTCAAGTTCCACAAATAGCAATCCTTACCACATCGAGAAGTCAAAATGGCAGCTGCCACATTACAATTTCGCCATCCTCAATGTCGGTCTCTTCTCCTCATGCTCAACAACACCAACCACATTCTCATCATTATTTGCCAACAACCACTCCTCCTCCACTTCCTCCTCCTTCTCATAATCATCATCAGAACACCAACAACACCAACAACGGAATTCAATCTTCTCCTTCTTCCGTTCCGGCCGCCGACGCTTCATCCGATGGAATGACTTCAAAGATTAACCACACCACCACCAACATGATGAATCTCTCCCTACTCTCTCAACACTACACTCTACTATTGGTCATTCGTCGCTACGTTCGTCACGGAGGTTGTGGCTTTTGTAACCGGAGAACAGTAGAATTATCCGAGTGGTATAAGGGTCTCTTACAACTTCACATCATTCCTGTCATCTTGCATGCCGAAAGTGAGGAAGAAGGCAATGAATTCTTTGCACATTTCAAGTCACCCATCGTTGCAAACATTCCACGAGTGTCAGATCCACGTTACAAACGAGTCGTGAAATTGTTGGAAATGGCTGGACCGGATGTGGCCACTCCGTTGCGATTCGAAGAACTCTCGTTTCGAAAGAAACTGAAAACCATTCGACCCTATTTGAGTGCCACCAAACAAGGATTTACTTTTGTGGAGAATCCGAATCAAGTGGAATACTCGGAAGGATCCAATTTGTTGGTTCCAAAAATGGTATTGATTCGAGATTGTGAAATCAAATATGTGTGGGATCAAGAAATTTATGACCATGCACCAGATATTCTGAGTACAGTCGTGTTGAAATTGCCATGGTTGGCCATGACGAGTGCAGACTTGTCATCGGTGAATGGTGGCGGAGATGCTTCATCAACCTTTCGTGCAAGTTTTTCCACAACAGTTTCTGGTCATCATCCAACCATGGATCAACTTTATGAAATGAAAACTAATCAAACCAATCGAATGCATTCTCGAGGACAAACCAATGCCATTTCTCCACAACATTTGCAAGTGCATACCATGTCACAGAACCAACAACACCAGGTTCAACAAATATCTCATGAAAATTCTCGAAAGATTTCAAGTGCTTCCAATAGTGGAGGAGGAATTGAAGTGGACCTGAATCATGGTCATACACTTTCTTCATCGTATCAACATACGAGAAATTTGTCAGAGTCCTTTACTGCCATTTCCTCATCGCATCAAAATCAATCACAATTTTTGAAACAACAATCACAGCAACCACAACATTCACGAAACGGCTCATTGGATCCAAATACAGCCCTTCATGCTTCTGGTTCTGGACAGCATCAACCACCATTGGATGCGTTTGATTTAACACGAAGAAAAATTTCGAATGGACAAAATGCACTTTCTCAGTCGACTGGAAGTTTTAATAATAATTATTTAAGCATTCAAGATATGAACACTACTGTCCACACACAACTACCATCATCATCGGCCACATCGAGAAAACAATCTTCGACCAGTGGAGGAAAAATCTCTCCAAGACAACGCCACGATTTACAATTCTACCTCGATCAAATGTCATCTTCCAAAGTCATTGCAGCTCAAGATCGAACAGGAAGTGGAAATAATTCAAAATCTTCAACACCTCGTGGTGGAGTTCATTCACGACAACATTCTCAAGTGTCAGGAGGTGTCTTGGCAGAACTCGATGCATTTACCATCACAGTCGGTGACGCCACTGTTGACGAGATGAATGCCTTTGGAGTCGTTCAAGAAAATGACAAAACGAAATTAATTCCTCCTGTGGATTCCAATAAGAATGTTCATGATCAAGAAGAATTGCTCATTGAAGGAATTGAACCACAATTGTATATTCCTCCAATGTCAGCAGTAGGAATTCACAATGATTTACCTCAACCTCAACCTCAACAACAACAACCACCACATCATCTTGAGAATTTGTTGAATCGACGACACTCCCCTCGACAACAACCTTCACACACTCCCTCTCAAAGTGAAGAGAATTATCAGATTCGATCCTCACAACATGTCGATCCATTACAAAATTTCACACTCATTCGAAGTGTACCCATTTATAGAAAAGTTGAAGGAGTTCTTGATTTTGAGCTCGTTTCAAAGGAACAATTAGCACAAGAACAACGTCAAGCTGCTCTTCAAGCCAAACAACGCATGAAAAAACAAACCTTCATCATCCCTTGCATGCATGTAGAGGAAAGTGAAGAAGATACAGAAAGTGAACTCTCAACTGTGAAAGTTGGATTACAAGCCATTCTCAATGACGATCACAAGAGACAATACTTTAAGATTTTTGCCTTAAAAGAATTCAATGCAGAGAATATCATGTTTTGGGAAGATGTCGTTTCGTTTAAAAAATTGTTTATTGAATTGAAGGAATTTAGTGATGAAGTGACACAACCTGATGACAATCGAAATAGAGTTTCAAAATTAGCTGGTGTCATTGCTGACAAGTATCTCTTCGATGATTACAGTATTTACAATATCAACACATCCAATACTTTGAAACAAAAAGTCTCCACCATGATTTTAAATCCTAATTATTTCTATAGTGACGACTGCAAATTCCTCTTTGATGACATTATTTTGGAAATTATGACAACTGTATTGCCTGACATGTATCATCGATTCTTGGTTTCGAATGAATACAAAGAAATGCTCAAATCCTCAAAGTACTTTCATCGAGGAAAGAAGAAATAACAGGTTCAGAATGAATATGTGTATCTATTTGTGTGTGTGTGTGCGTGCGTGTATATAAATTTGATGACCATGACTGCTCTATTACAACAACAACAATTGAATGTATATAACAAATGATTGTGTTTTTCTATTTCATTTAAATGTTCTTTTATGTTTGTCCAATTTTTTACACAAAAAAACCATTGAATGAATATACTCAATATGATCCATTTCGTAATTGTTTGATATCTTTCATCATGTAATACTCTTCGGAATATTGTTAAATTTAATAATATTTAACAATAATATTCAACAATTAAAAAAAACAAAAAAAATGGCCAAAGAACTTTAAGCCGAGAACATGATCATTCGAGGAAACGTTCAGAGTCTTCAGGAACATTGGCCCTATGTATCCTCTTCTCTCAACGATTATTATAATGGTCATACATTTTTATATGTTGCTTGTATGTGTGGACGTTTGGAAGTTGTGAAATTTTTAGTTTCGCAAAAGGGAATTGATGTCAACAAAGGAGCACAAGTAGAAGGGAATGAATGAATGGGAGAGAAGTTTACAATGTGATCACATTGAATCGGAAATTATAGTTTGGAGTAAGTAGTGGTCGTATATACGGATGATGTTTTAAGAGATGTGAAATTATTATTTGTTTAATAATTATTATTTAATTTAATTATTATTATTGTATTTATGTTATATATTAATTTTATATTTATTTAATCATTTATGTACTTGCATCACAAAGGGATCTTCACTACAAGCACATGGAAACTGTGAAGTTGTTGTTGCAACAACCAACGATTGAAATTGATGAAACATCAAAACAGTTTGCTAAACGCCAAAGAATTGGAGATTTGGAAGAACTTCAACAACAATTATTATTTTCTGCATGCATGAATGTTACCATCAATAATGTGACCTATTTATATTGGAAACAAAACGACCGCATTTCTCTCAACAAAGATTTGAGCCACAAACATGACCAAACAATATTTGGAACTTGCATCATTGCATTTCAACCTCTTCTTTCAAAATTGGTTCCATCTTTTCACAAACAAGTGATTCAAAATCAGAAATTTATCGAATCCTTGCATCATGAAAAGGAGATGGCAGTATTGCAGTCAATGATTGATTTTGTATTGTATGGAGCTCATGAAGTGGAAGTGAAAAATACAGAATCTGCTCTGATCATTCTTGCATTACTCAATCGGGTAGAAGGAGAGTTTATTGATCTAAAAAAAGAAGTGTGTTGACTATGTGATGAACTCCATTTACTTGGAGAATGTGTTGGATCTTATGGATACAATTCAATCATTTCTACAAAGAGAGGAAAAATTGTTTGAAAACGAAAAGGATGCTTCGATCCTTCATCAACTCAAAGACTATTGTTTGGATTATATTGGAATGAATTCTGAGAAGGAAGAATTTGAAACATTGATCAAGAAAGACAGCAATGGTCGGTGCACTTGTGAATTGTTGGACTCTGTGGTGAAAAGAAAAAGTGTTAAAAAGGTGAAGATTGATGAAATTCCCAGCGCGTCATCACCAACTCCCTTGTTTGAATTATTTCAAGAGAAGGTGGGAACGGATGTAGAGTTGAAACTCTCAAGTGGAAAAATTGTGAAATGCCACAAAACAATATTGAGCTCCAAAATTCCATATTTTGATGCATTATTTTCTGGAAATTGGAATTCCCAAGAACAAGTTTATGGTGATGAAATGGAATTTATCATTGAATATTGTTATGGGTTTGTCGAACAAGTTCCCAATCCCTTGATCATTCCTCTCATGAAGAAATCACATGAATTTCAATTGGAAGAATTATTGAAAATATTACAACTAGCATTGACCATTTCAATGGGCAACTTTATTGAAACTGCACAACAATTAGAAGAATATTGGAATGAACTATCGTTTAAGGTAGCGAAGAGAAAATTGATTGATTTTGGAATAATAATTCAATGGTCATTGGACGTTCGAGAACGATTGTTGTTGAGTTCAAAAGTGACAAATGTTTGTAAAAATAACATTTGACGTTTTGTCACTTTCCTTTTCAATCATAATCTCGCGGGATCGTTCATTTTAAATAAATGTCTTTGAAGCAAGCGTTTGAATTCATTCGGAATGAAGATGTTGAGAATCTTCGTAACATCTCCAATTTATCTTCCTTCATCAATGATGATGATGGTGATGGATACACATTATTATTTTATGCTTGTTCTATCGGAAGAATTGATGTAATGAAATTTTTATTGACAGTGAAAGGAATTGATGTCAACAAAAAATACAGAGTAAGTAGTAGTAGTAGTATTAAAAAGTTTAAATCATCATCCTATGCCTTTCTCTCTTTGAAAAAAACACAATCCTTAAAAATTTAACGAAAAGATTGTATGTGTTTTACAAAGTTGTGATGTCAAGAGCGATTTCGAAACTTTTGATGAAACACAGTTGGGAGTAAGTTGGTGGAGTATTGTTTAAATATTATAAAATGTGCTATTTATAAAACAACACAAAAATTCTTGTGCAATGGTTCAACACCAATGAAATTGTTCTTGATGGTGGGATCATGATGAAAACAACGTTTCAATCTTCTCATTAGTGGTCTCCACTTAGTGTTGCATGTCTCAAAAAACACATTGAAATTGTGAAATTATTGTTGCAACATCCAAACATTCAAATTGATAACACGGCAAAACAAAATGCTAAAGACAATGGCGTTGTAGATTTGGAGCAACTCCAAAATGAATTTTTGAAACAACACAATTCTTTATTTCCATCAACTTCATCTTCTCCATTTTCACACTCAAGAGTTCCAATGCAACAAATCATCGATTCTAATTATTCGTATTGGCAACAAAATCAATTTCATCTTTTGAAGAAATTTCACGACAATGATCAATTATTTGAGAGTTCTATCATTGCATTTAAACCTCTTCTCTCAAAATTGGTTCCATCTTTTCACAATCAAGTGTTGGAAAATAAGAAATTTATTGAACTATTGAATGAAAAGGAATTGAGTGTGTTGCAATCTCTCGTTGATTATTTGATTTATGGAGGTGAAGAGTTGAAATGTGACGGTTTTGGGAAATGTTTGATTGTACTATTCTTGTTGAATCGAGCTGAAGGTGATTTGATTTCTTTAAAATCAAAATGTGTTGAAAGAATCATTCAACAAGTGAAATTTGAGAATATTTTGGATACTTTAGATATAATTAATGCAATGTTGAAGAAAGAGAGTGAAACTTTCAAAGATTCCTCAAACAAGAAGATGAGCATTCTTGAAACCATGAAAGAATATTGTTTGGATTTTCTTGGAACAAATTCTGATCAACCAGGATTTGAACAATTCGTTGAGAATGATGAAAGAATCAATGATTATTTAAGAGTCATCATCAAACGCAAACAAATCAAAGATGTGAACATGAATGAAGCTCCAAACACCAACATTTCACAAAGACCTTTGTTTGACTTGTTGAAAGAAAGTGTAAACACTGATATTGAAATCAAACTAAACAATGGAAAGATTGTGAAATGTCACAAAACAATTCTGAGTTCCAAAATTGAATTCTTCGAAATCATGTTCAATTGAAGATGGAATACCCATGAAGTATATGAATATGAAGAGGAAATGGAATATATCATTCAATACTGTTATGGATTTATGGAAAAGGTTCCTTCTCACTTGATCATTCCTCTCATGAAGAAGTCACATGAATTTCAATTGGAAGAGTTGTTAAAATTTGTTCAATCACTATTGACAATCACCATTGAGAATTTCTTTCAAGTGGCTCAAAGTTTAAAGGCACACCTTGAAGAAGACATTATTGAAGAGGACAGGTTTAAAGAAGTGAGAAGAAAATTGGTTGAATTTGGTGTCCAGAATAGAAAAACACTTTTCCAAAGCAAGAACCGAGAACTAATTACTTCTGTTCCTACAGAATTGAAAGATGAAATCCTCATGGCTCTTGCCAATAAATAACATTGTTCTCGTTCCTCTCATGACCATTCTTCACATCTATTGCTATTGCTAAACACTTTCAAATGATGCTTTTGAATGACCTTAATATCAAAACACGATGAAATTCAATGATCTTAACTTGATGTCTCTCCCTCAACTCTGCATCAAATTCTACTTGATGACCTCCATTATGTGATGTTTCAAATCAACGAGGGTGATTGGCTTATACATGGCATCATCAAAACCTTGTGACAACAGTTGCTCCTTGGTTTCCCACGTGTTGGCAGTAATTGCAACTATGGGAATTCTTTCTTTTCCATCATTGTCTCTCTGCTTTTCAAAATTTCGAATCATCTCACAAGCTTCACCTCCACTAAGAGCATGTTATTGAATCGTTTTGTAAAGTGAAATGATGATTATTATCAATAATACGTACGTCATGATAGGCATGAAACAATCCAATAATACCAAAGAGTACTCCTTTGATTTGAATTTGTTGAAACATTCCAATCCATCATTGGCCGTGTCAATATCTTTAAATCCAATAATTTTTAACATATTCACCAATATTTTTCGATTCAATGCATTATCATCAGCTAGTAAAACTGACTTGAGAGAAAAATCAGGTAATGAATTTCTTCTCTCTGATAGAATGTTGTTCTGTTCGGCCACTGACGTCGTTTCATCTAAAATTTCTATCAAGTTGCCAAATTGAATGGGTTTGGAAAGATACATGTTATCGGTGAATATTCTTGTGGTTCCTCTGACGATGGTTGCAACCATTTTCACCTTATTTCGATGCTCCTTAAGCCTTTCACTGATGATCTCATAGTCACTTTCTCGGCAAAATAATAGTGTCGTGTCACCTTGGATCAGCGAATGAGTCTGATTGAGAAAATTTTCACACGAATCAAATTCTGAAATATTTCGAACTCTCTTAAATAAACTCAAGTATGATTTTAAACTATCTCTAAAACATTGGTTTTCATCAATAATGATGACATTCAATAAGACCGATGGAGCGTCTTCATTGAGCACTTTGGAAATATGCGCCTCATTCAACCATTCATCATGTATCTTCTTCTCTGTTTCCTTCACCGTGTCAAGAGGCAATATCACGGTCACTGTTGTTCCTTTCGATTCAGCACTATCAATAGAAATTTTGCCGTTCATTTTTTCAACAAGCATTTTGGTAATTTTCAAGCCCAACCCATTTCTATTGGTATTAATGAGACTACTTGCTTCGTGAGTGGCACTTGCTCGTCGAGAGGAGGTCTTGTAATAGTGATCAAAGGAATGAGTGACATCAGCATCTGGATCTATCCAATGATAGGGGTGAAATAATTTTTCAAGTTCTTCTTTCGAAATTCCACGCCCAGTATCAATGCACTCGAGTTTAACATATGTTTTCTCTTTGTTAATTTCCATGAAATTTTCTGTTAATTCTTTGGGCGTCGCAATGGTGCAATTTACTCGCACTAGACCTTGTGATGTGTACTTAATTGCATTCGAAATGATATTCATCATAATTTGACTCAATCGAACTGAATCACCCTTCAAGTATAATGGAACCTTGGCTGCATTGAAAAACGAATTTAAGGATAAATTTTTGCGTTGAGCTTCTAACGAAAATACTCCAGCCATAGATTCAAATAAAGAGAGAGTGTTGAATTCTTCATTCTTCAATTTGATAATTCCCATTTCAAGAGAGCTCATTTGAAGTGATGATGACAATACATGCAATAGAATGGATGCGCTCGATTGAACATCTCCAATCAATTCACTAATGGAGCTATCCTTTTTGAAACAGTGTTCACAACTGTTGTGGCAAACTCCTCCATGAACTTTGTGTTTTAAAACCTCTACAGTTGCCATAATTCCCTGCAATGAATTTCTTGCTTCATGGCTCAAATTTGCAATGAATTGCGTCTTTTCAGAGTTGATTGATTTTTCTCTACTGATTTCAATTTGTGTTTCGTGTTTTTCTTCATATTTCTTTTTAAAAAACTGACAGAATAAAAAAGAGGCCACAACAATCGTGTACTGTGTGGTGAAAATTTCAATAAGTTTGTAATAAAAATTTGTTTCCTCAAGAGATGTCAGTAAATGTCGTTCCTTTTGAAATGCCAAATACATTCCTCCCAACGTTGATCCAACAATTCCAAATGTCATTACAAAAAACAATCGATTATTATGAAAACATGATGCCGATGTAAATAAAATCCTGAATATTGAGAATATATGAAATGGAAGAAAAGGTCCATAAAAATAAAACATTAACACTTGAACCAGCATCGTGATAGGAAGTCTACAAAGAGTGATCATTTCGAAACATCGTAATGTGGTTACCTTTTTCATTAACGGAAATCCCAAAATTACTTGCAATATGAATTCAACTAGTGTGATGGTGATATATGTTTTTAGTCCTCTTTCCCAACAAAAGATAACTCCGAACACGATCATGACGAGAAATAAATTGGCACCTAGAGCTCCATAATCCTTTTGATGATTCAATAATAGTTTCAATAATTGATCATCGGTCAATACAGAGGTAGACGATTTGTTAGAAGAATCCGTAGTCGTCATCATTGGTGGTGTTGAATCATCATTAGGTTGATCCTTATTATTATTATTTACAGAAAGGGAGTGAGAATGAAGCTCAGTTGGCATCGGGTTCAAGTGTTCCGAGGATGACACAACACCCTCATCATCATCATCATCATGATCCTGATATTTGTTTGTCATTAGTTCCTTCTCCTTGTCCGTCCCCATTGTATCGTGTATAAATGGAGAGCTCTTTGTTAGTACCAAATTATGAGTGATGTCCTCGTCGTCTTCTTCGTCGTCGTATAATATATTGGTATATTGGTTGACACAACGAGAGGTTTCGTTCAACGAAGAGAGAGAACGCAAGAATGAATATTCGAATATTTTTTTTGAGACGATTGCTTTCGCACAATGGACGAATATGGAAATTTTTCCAACCACCTTTTTGGAGTTCTCTTTCAAACATTTGAAAAAAGAGTATATACTCTCATCTCAATAGGATCTCCAAAACGTTTCAAATTCAGACGTGAAATTGATGACACCCATTTACCTAATAGAAATTCTCAGAGTTGAATTTTTTCCAACAACAGTGTATCAATAAACTGTTAAATTAAATTCAATCAACAATTAACAAAAACATTTTGTTAAGGTTGTCTGTCCTCAAAGTGAGAATCATATTATTCGACGAATAGGATTTCAAGGATTATATCGTTGAACAACTCAATGATTGCAATCATAACACAAAACAATGCTATTGCTAAACATGAACTCCAGATCTTGGTTGAGAGGAATCTTCAAGTTCATTTCACGACTGCAATTTTCAAAATGATGAAACAAAAAAGTTTTAAATCTAATTCGAAAGATCTTATTCGGTTCCTTTGAACAAGAAAAAAATGGTCACCAACAAGTACTCGGTTCAATTGGGTCGTGTGGACGATCAATGTTCATCCTTGGTCCTGTCACTTGCCAATCTTACACCACACTTTGATCAACACAAATCCAAGTCCCTCATCATTTGTTTAGACAATTCCGGATCCATGTCAGGCTCTGGCATTTCACAAGCAAAACAAGCCATTCAATCTCTTCTCCAACAAGTTCAGGGATTTAATGAACAAATTATTCTCATCACTTTCAACAGTCATGCCACTGTTTTAGACTTATCTGGACAATCAATTTCAAAACAAATGGAATGTGTGGAAAGAATTCAAGCTTGTGGTGGAACAAGTTTTTCAAGTGCCTTTCAAGCCATGACAAATTTAAGAACCTCTTCTTCTTTGACAACAACGTCTTCTCAACCACTTGGTGAAGAAGTGGCGATTGTTTTTTTCACAGATGGACAAGATGGAGAAAGTGAAGAGAAGAGACAAGTAGACATTCGACAATTGACAGATCGTTTGAATGAAGTGTCCAAATCATTTGAATTTCACACCATTGGATTCACGAGAGAGCATGATGTGCAATTGTTGACAAGTATTACACAGTTAGGTTCTTCTCAGGGCACTTTTCAGTATGCAGAATCTTCATCGAGTATTGCCACGTGTGTGGAGAATTTGATTGGTTTGGTAAGAACTCACTCCCTGTCAGGTGTCATTAAGGTGGTTCGAGTGGAAAATGACAGTTCAGAAGAAACTATTTTTCATAGTGATAAGGTATCCTTGGAAGAGACTGAAGATGGAATCAAGATTACATGTTTCTTAAAGAATGGTTTGTTATTCCATTCTCAATCAATGTTGAAATTTTATTTAGAAATTTCTGGACTCGCAGAAAGAATTGAAACTCAAGTTCCTTCCTCACATTCTGATCTTTCACAAAGTGAACACATCACCTTACAGATCAAGTATATTGAAAAAAGACTTTTGGATTATGCTGTGGAAATATCTGCCAAGAATTTTGACAAGAGTCAGCTGTCAGTCATTCATCAAGAAGGTCAACGTCTCGAAGAACGATTAATTGAAATCACCAAAGAAATTCAAAGCATTAAGGAGAGAATTCTAAGAAAGAAGCTCTTCACCATTCGTGAATCCACTCACAATTCTCTCAGTAATTTCAATCAAGTGTTGGCAGATGCCATGATTGGAAATCTGTCAAATGACAAAATTGCTACTTTAAATTCTCTCGCTTATCGTTCCATTACAAAACGTGGTTTTCAAAAGAAATTGGATCAGAGAGCTCAAGCCAATGTTTCACTTTTTGAAAAATCCGAACAAATTGTTAACGAATATGTCAACTCTCTCAACTTCACACAGCTTCGACAAGAATTTGAATCAGAAGCAGATCAATTTGGAAATTGTTTCATCACTTGTTCAAATTGGATTGATTTATTAGAACAACAAGATTGTCTTTGTTTGACCTTAAATGTGGCACGTACACAAGCATGTGTCATGGATCCTTCTCGAGTTCAAATTTTGTCAATTGGAACTTCCTTAATGTCTGCAGAATCCTATTTAGATTCAGTGTTGTATTCATTAGGAAATTCGGAAAATCATGCTCAAGTCCATGGTGGAATTAAGGATGTGGAATTAAAGAAGCAAAATCAAGATGGACAAGTGACAGCAAGTATTGTTTCTGGAACTGCAAGAGAAGCAATAACAGGCGTGTTGCCATTGTATATCAATGAGATACATTGGAAGGTTGCCAAGGAAAAGATGAAGTCAATCATGGGGTTTGTGGCAACTTTGGATGTCATGGGATATTCTTTCGAACAAATCAAAACAGTTCCATTTTTGGTATTGACAAAATTATTGCAAGCTCAAAAGGAGGAACGTCAATCTGAATTTTACAAGTTCAAATTTAAGCTTGTTTTGGATACTTGTTTGAAAATTTATGAAGAATACTCGGAGGATGGCGAAGAATCAGTCGTTAAGATGTGTGATGAAGTTGTGTCACTTGTCAAGAATTATAATGCAAACCCATTGACACGAACACTCGATGTCATTCCAAGTAATGTGGTTCTTCTTTCACAGCTCTATTGTGCCATCCAAAAGGGATATTTCGACATGAATAGCATTGACCACGAATTGTTCTTTAAAAATATTGCTGAAGAAACTTTAAGAAGATTTGGAATTCCAGCGATAGATTCTATTTCAGATCATCAATTGTTGCAATTACTGAACGTCAATGTTGAAAAGGTCGTACATGGTCATGTAAACGAATATAAGAATTATCTGTCTCTGATAGCGTAAACACCGAAGAACGAAATCCCAGCTCAAGAACTCACTCCGACCTCGAACTCTTGTACGAAAATGGGGAATTCAATATTTTGACAGAAAGTCAAAGTTTTTCTCCACTTGCCGAAGAATGGCTTCAACTATTGAACCAGGCCATGAGAAAACGAGCTCGTTATACTTTGTGTTTAAAGAAACGCTTGTATGAAGTGTCATCCTTGAGTGATGCATGTTCTCTATTGAAGGATTTAAATTCGTTGCAATTAAGTCCTGAAGGAACATTATGTTTATTGATTCAAACAATTCGACATGGAAAGAATTCTGAGAGAAGAGAGGCTATTGAGAAGCAAGATTATGTTTCACCCTTCTCCACTTTGGAATGTAAGGAAAAGATCAAAACATGGATACTGTCAACAGTCAAGTCTGTGAGAGAAGCATTGATTTCACAATACTATTTGGAGTTGCAACAAGGAAGTGCCAGCAAGTTAGGTTTGCTTTTTTATGAAACTGAAGACATTTACGAAGCAGCAGGAATTGCTTTGGCACAATACCGAGGAAGAATTGAATTTGCCAAATTCATTCAAGCACTTCAAAAGCCAAATTGTCCGCTCGTGAAGGAAAAGTTGAAATTATTAATGGATGGTCACTTTAGAGGAATTTCGTTATTCAAAGATGTCAACATGGCCATTCACCCTCAATGGACACCAAGTCCGAAAAATAAGGCAAAAATTTGGAGAGCCAATTTTGGAGTATTAGGAATTGAAGATGGTGTGGAATTATTTGGTGAAAGTGGAAGAAGTCATTTTGAAAAGTTGCAAGTCTCGTTGAGATTGGAACGAGAACGAGGTATTAATGTCATTCATTAACTGAAGTGATGATCATTTCTTCGTTATTCACAGATGAGAACGTTTCTTCACAATCTCAACACCGAATCAATTTTCTTCTCCCTTCTTTAAACATGACCTGTTCAAATAAATATTTAATTGTGTTTGTTAATTGCGATTGAAGAAAACTGAACAATAGAAATTCAAGTGGTGGGATTTTCTGCATATTTTGTCAATTGACTTTATTCAGCAGAGTTCCCTTTATTAAGGTGTTTGGCGAGAACACAAATCCATTTGTTCCTTAAAATTAACCAAACGATTCTTTTGTTTACGTCTTCGAAACATTCACATTTCAACTCTTGAACATAAATCAAATAATCAAAGAGAGATTGCAACACACTCAATTCCTTTTCTTCAAAATCTAGTCTCATTGTTTTCCATAAATGTGTAACTTGCAGAACAAAAGAGGAGTTGTTTTCGGTTTGACCATGCACTAATAACCTTTGTCATTAAATGTGCCACATTCATCAACACCCTCTCTCAATATAGAATGAATTGGTTTTTGTGAACTCGAGTCACGAATCCAATGAGCTCCTTTATTTGTTGAAATGCGCAGGTGCTCCTTTTCTTTGTTGTTTAACCAGGTCAATCGTCAACCATCAAATTTGTCAAAAACATCATCATTTCAAAAAAAAGAAACAAATTTGAACACTCATAACGAGTAACAACAACAGTATGAAATACCCAACCATTCTCTTGTTGCTGGCATCTCTTGTGATTGCTAGTTTTATTCTCTCCGTTTCCGTAGAGGCTGGTCGTGGTGGAAGTCGTGGTGGTGGAGGCTCACGAAGATCTTCATCATCCTCGGGTGCCAGAAGAAGCAGTTCTGCCGCTCGTCGTTCATCCTCCGCTCCTCGAAGCAGACCAACTGGAGGATCAAGACCTTCATCTGGCCGAAGAAGTGGAGGTGTCAAGAGAGCCTCTACGAACCAAAGAAGAAGAGGAGGTGTTGTAGGAAGACCCTCTCCAAAACGCCAAGTACAACAACAACAACGAGGAGGAAAGAGAAGAGCTGCTGTTGGCAATAAGAGAGGAGGAAAGAGAGGAGCGGTCGGAAAGCCAAAGGGAAAGCAAGGCTTGGCTGCTGGAAAGAAGAATGGTTTGAAGGACAAGAAGGAAATGCCTCAAGAGGCTGGTGGAGAACAACCACAACCAGAACAACAACCAGAGCAACAACCACAAGCCGAACAACCTTTTGGAGGTGAACAATCACCACAAGCAGAGCAACCACCACAACAACAACCTAGTATCGAGCAAACTCAACCACAAGGTGGAGAGCAACAACCACAAGCAACATCTCAACCACAACCAGCCAATGAAATTCAACAACAACAACAACAAGGAGGTGCTTCTGCTTATGAACCACAACAACAACAAACAACATATTCACAACAAAAGAGAAGAGTTGTTTCACAAAAGCGTTCTGGCTCTCCATCTGCTGGTGGCACCTATGTGAGATCCTACAGAAGAGGTGGAAGAAGAGGAATCTATTTGAAGGTGAATGTAAATGTTAACAAAGCTCAATAAACAATTCAACAGAAACTCTCAGTTTTAATGGAATTTATTAATAATAAATATTCATACAAAGAGCTGATTCAGCAAATCAGTGCTTGCTTACATATTTGTCTTTCAAATATATTGCAATAACAAACACGATTCGAAAAAAGCTTAACACGGTTGGGCTGAAAGAAAATGTAAAAAGAAGAAAAAAATGTCTGCTGAAGCACACGGTCATCACGGTCCATATAACCCTCGCATGTTCTCATGGAGAATGATTGCTATTGCTGCTGGATTTACTTTCTTACCATTGTTGTTCAGAAAGCCAGCCGCTCAGCCAGTAAAGGCTGCTGCGGTTGAAAAATCTGCACGTACGTACATGTGATGTCGCGGCATGAATTAATTGCTGGTGATGGTTGAATATTTTAAATAATTCTGATGATGATACAACAACAACAAACTTTAATATTCATCTAATAATCAAAATTACATTTTGAAATTTGTAATTTCTGGAACAATGATGATGAACACGGATGAATCATTTGAATTCTTTTTTATTTGTTATTATTATGATGAAAAACCCAATGTTACATTTTTCAAAAACATCCTCACAGAACAACAAGGTCATCACTAAATTGTTCTTTTTGTTTTCGATGATCAAAGCAAGGGATTTTCAAATAAATGATACTCCACCTTCACTTTTGATTCATCTTCAATTTGTGTGCTTTAGCAGAATTATATAAAAACCAACAACAAAAAATGTCAACAACAACAACACGCACCACATTGTCATCCTCCCTCGAACAATGGGTAAGTGATGAATTATACGAAATCATCAAGTACAGTAGTGGTGCGGTTAGTGCCTATGTGATTAATTTGGCCAAAAAGTACCGATCCAACCCGAGTCGGCTGGTCAATGAATTGGAAAAGGAATTACTCGGGGAGGACTCTTCAGGAATGAGCAACACTCATGAAATTCTTGATCGATTTGCAAGACAATTAATATTAAAATTGCCGGAAGCTCATGCACAGGGAGAAACAAACATCTCCTCATCTGCGACGAGTAAGAGCAGCAAGTCAGTTTCAAAATATTCATCATCGTCATCCTTTCTCGATGAAGAAAATGTTTCCAACCTTCTTGTTCTTTCCGATGAGGAAGAATATTCTGGCAGCAGCACGAAAAAGAGCAGCAAAAAACGAAAAAAGGCAAAGAATGTTCATTTGCGAACGAAAAACACTTCAGAGAATGCAGAACAAGAGGAAGGAAATGCAAATCTTAATTTCTTGGAAACTCCACCTAAAAAATCAAAATATGAAGACGAAAATTTGGAAAATCAGTCGGAGGGTATTACGGAAAACCTTGCTTCCGAGCAGCAACAACAAGAAGAAATAACACCACAAAATGAAGAGCAACCTTCAACAACATCAGCAGACGAGAAAACCTCTTCTCAAAAGAGACGACTCACACGAGAGGAGCTTGTCGAGCAACGATCCAAAGCATTAGGAGATCGAAAGAGGGTGTTAGAAGATTTGAGAAAGAAATCACGACATCACTATCTCACTGAAAGAGAACGTAAATTATTAAGGGAGCTAGAGAATCAATTGATTGAGGAAGAAATTGGGAAAAAGGATTATGAATTGGATGAAGCTGAAAGACTTGCTCGAGAGACTAAAAGACGAGTCTTGCAATATTCCAAATCAAAGAATAATACTCGAAAGATGGATTATTATCAATTGCCTGAAAATTATTATGATCCAGAAACAGGCGTGTCACGTAATAAGGAACGATTAGAACTCATCAAGAAGCGAGAGGACTACTCGTATCATGATCATCAGGGACATCGTATTTCAGAACAACGAAAGCTTGAGAATGATCTCATTGAGCAATCTACAATGAAGTTTGGAGCAGCAGATCGAGTGAAACAAGCAGAGCAAGAACAAAAAGTAGACCTTGTCGTTGAGGATGAAATTGAATTCATACAGGAAATTCTCGAAGGAAAACGAGAAATGCCAGAAGAGCTCAAGAAGGAACTAGGTCTCACTGATAGCAAGCAACTGAATAAGACAGCAGTCGATAAGGTCACATCCATGCAAGAATTTCGAAAAACTCTTCCCATATATTCCATGAGAGACAAGCTCATTCAAGCAGTCCATGAACACCAGGTCATTATCATTGTTGGTGAGACTGGTTCAGGAAAAACCACACAGCTGACTCAATATCTACATGAGGCTGGCTACACACAGAACGGCAAAAAGATTGGATGTACACAACCACGTAGAGTTGCTGCCATGTCTGTGGCAGCTCGTGTCGCCGATGAAATGAACACAAAGCTTGGTGAAAAGGTTGGTTACACCATTCGTTTCGAAGATTGTACCTCTGAAAATACCATTATCAAGTACATGACTGATGGTATGCTTCTGAGGGAGTTTTTGAAAGAGCCCGACTTGGCAAGTTATAGTGTCTTGATGATTGATGAAGCTCACGAACGATCTCTGCATACAGACATCTTGTTTGGGCTTGTAAAGGATATTGCTCGATACAGAAGTGACATTCGTTTAATCATTTCTAGTGCCACTGTGGAGGCAGAAAAATTCTCGAGGTATTTTGATGGTGCACCAATATTCAATGTTCCTGGAAGAAAGTTTCCTGTCGACATTTACTACACCAAAGCACCAGAGAATAACTATCTCGATGCAGCTGTGGTCACTGTTTTACAAATTCACCTCTCTCAACCTGACGGGGATATTTTGGTGTTTTTAACAGGTCAAGATGAAATTGAAAAATGTGAGGAGGCACTCAAAGAACGTATCAAAATGATTTCCTCTAAGGCTAAGGAATTAATTGTGGTACCAATTTACTCCACTCTTCCCTCAGACCAACAAGCCAAGATTTTCGAGCCAACACCTCCTGGAGCCAGAAAATGTGTACTAGCTACCAACATTGCAGAGACCTCACTCACCATCGATGGCATTGTCTATGTCATTGACTCTGGCTATTGCAAACAAAATAGTTACAACCCTCGGACTGGAATGTCATCCTTGGTGGTGACTCCAATATCAAAAGCGGCAGCTATTCAGAGAGCTGGTAGAGCTGGAAGAGTTGCTCCCGGTAAATGTTTCCGTCTCTACACCTCATACTCTTTTCATAATGAATTGGAGGAGAGTCCTGTACCAGAAATTCAACGAACCAACTTAGGAAATGTTGTTCTTTCGCTCAAGAGTTTGGGAATTAACGATTTGGTTCATTTTGATTTTATGGATCCTCCTCCTCATGAAACACTCATAGCCGCTCTCGAACAGCTTTATGCATTAGGAGCATTGAATGATGACGGAGATTTGACTTCCATGGGTCGAAGAATGGCTGAATTTCCACTCGACCCTCAACTCTCTCGAATGTTGATTGCCTCTGAAAAATATGCATGCTCTGAGGAAATTGTGACGATATGTGCCATGCTCTCTGTGAATAATGCAATCTTTTATAGACCCAAAGATCGTGAGTTACAGGCCGATAATGCTAAAAAATCATTTGAACATCCACATGGTGATCACTTGACACTACTCAATGTGTATAACGAATGGGCCGAGACAGGATACAGTGTCTCGTGGTGTCAACAACATTTCATTCAGGAACGATCCATGTTGAGAGCCAAAAAAATTCGAGAACAACTTGTCCAACTCATGGAACGAGTAGAAATGGAAATGCTATCCAATCCTCAAGACTCTGAAGCAATTCGAAAGGCAATTACATCTGGATTCTTTTATAATGTTGCGACACTTGAAGGTCACACAGGAAGCTATCGAACCATGCACAAAAAACAAACAGTTTACATTCATCCCTCATCATGCCTCTTTGTTGGAAATGATAAGGATAAGCTTGTCACAGTTGTTGGGGATCCAAAACTTGCTCCAAAGGATCAAAAGGAGTTGCCCAAATGGGTCGTCTTTTTTGAGCTAGGTTCTCACCACACAAGAATTCATGAGGCAAGTCATTGCGATTGAACCTGAATGGCTTCTCGAAATTGCTCCTCATCTCTACGATGGTAAAATTACCTTAAAACAGAAAAAGATGCCAAAAGGTACTGGCAAGGAGCCACTCAACAAGCGCTAATATTTGAACAATATTCACGCCGAACTTCTCCATAATCGTTTTGAAAGCTGTTCATGACAACAAAATTTTCGAAAAGAAGAACAAATCACATCGGGTGTGATCTATCGTATATTCTCCACCATCAAGCATCTGAGACCACAACATCATGTGGTGCAGCCTTTTCATCAATCATCATTGTGAATTAGCAAAACATTCCACACTAAAACTCTTGCTGTAAATTTCGGACATACCGAATAACATCAACAAGTTGTTTTAAAAGTGAATCCACAATAGATTAGAAAAAAACGAATCTAGATGCAATAATAACAACTACTCGTTGTATTGTGATTAAAAAGTGTCCCCACTGAAAACACTAATGAATTGGCCAACTCGAATGAACACACCAAGCTGTGACAATGTTCCCTCAAAAAAGCAAACTTTGATAAATAAATAAGAACATCCAAACCACTGAGTACCGACGAAGAACAAAAGCTGTACCATCTGCCGCCAATCAAACCAAAACGCAAAATACACCATTGTTGCACTTTTTCAATAATTGATCAAATGAAATGGAACATAAATAAATCATTTGTCCAACGATTACAATTTCTATTCCTGTAAAAATCTGCCATTCGCATTTCACATCTCCACTCGTCAAAAAAAAAAAGAAAAGAAAAAAAGAAGGATGGTTTCGAGAGAGTTTTTTGTTGGCTTTTTAACAACCTTGTTGTTACTTGGTGTAGTGATGGCTGTACTATCATTACCACTATTGCTGGAACTGGAGTTGCTGGCTTTGGACCCTATGACTCTCCAGCAACTACATCTAAATTAAGGTACGTACCTTTTTCAGAAAGAGTGTTTGAATTCACGAATTCATTGATAATTCGATGAATTCACACACATGCACTCCAATAGCTCGCCATACTTGGTGGTTCCTGATTCACAAGGCAATTTATACATTGCTGATAGAAACACTCATGCTATCACTAAAATCGATTCGAACGGGAAGCTCCAAGTTGTCGCAGGTACTCCAGGAACAGCTGGTTATTCAGGTACGTTCTTGTGCACAAGAAATTGTTTACGAATAATTGTAAATTATATTACGTTTTATAATTGTAATATTGTAATATTATTTTCTTTTAATAATGAATAGGAGATGGCGGTTCTCAATTATCTGCAAAACTGCGTTTCCCTGATTCGTTTACCATTGCAGCAAATGGTGATTTCTATTGGACAGAATATGGAAATTGCATTGTAAAAAAGGTTTCCAATAATGTCATCTCTACGGTTGCTGGAAGCTCTGGTTGTTCACACATAGGTATGTCTCTTTGTTATTGTTTTACTAAATTTCTATTGAAATGTGTATGTGAAATAAGGTGACGGAGGTCAAGCTACAAGCGCAAAGCTAAGTTCCCCATTTGGAGTTGCAGTCAACAGTTTGGGTGAACTCTATGTGAGTGAAAATACATCTCCTTATGTTAGAAAAGTCTCAACAAATGGTATCATTTCTACAGTGGTTGGTAATGGTGCATGTTCATACACTGGTGATGGAGGAGCTGCTACATCAGCCTCTGTTTGGTAAGTTGTCATTTTCACAACTCACACCTGATGAATATTTCATTTGTTTCACGTCATTAGTAATATGAGAGGTATTGCTTTTCAAAAATCAACTGATGATCTTTACATTGCTGATTTTAGTAACAATGTTATTAGAAAGGTTTCAGCTGCTTCTGGAATTATTACTACTGTTGCAGGTACCGGAACTGCTGGATATTCTGGTAAGTAAGGAAAATGGTCAACTCGTTTATTTACCAACTTTCTATTGCTTGGTTGACTGATAACTATTAGGAGATAATGGACCTGCAACCAGTGCAAAGATTACAGGCCCTTCATACATGCATGTCACAGATTCTGGTGACATCTACATTGCCGAAACTAAAAGTAATGTGATCAGATTTGTGAATGGCACAACTGGAATTATCACTACCATTGCAGGAAGTGGAAGAAGTGGAGACGCAGGCGAAGGAGGTCCAGCACTTAAAGCAGATTGTTTAAATTTACCTTTTGGTGTTTGGGTTTTGGATGATCGATCAGTTCTCATTGCTGATGCTGGTAATAACAAGATTAAGAAATTGACTCCTGTTTGTTATCCTGGCTCTGGATTGATATTGGACACAGCAACATTCACTTGTGTTTGTCCATCAGGTTATACCTTGAATGCAGCCAATGATGGTTGTGATGCTACCTGTTTTGGTGTTGCCAATACATCATCTACAGTGTGTGGTGGACATGGTTCATGCGTCGATGTTGATAACTGTGTTTGCTTTGATGGATGGGAAGGAGGAGCATCTGATTGTTCTGTCCATTCTTGTGAAGCAATGAATAATTGCAGTTCACACGGTGATTGTGTGGCCAATAATACTTGTACATGTATTGGTGGATGGCAAGGAAGTGCTGATTGTTCTGTTGCATCCTGTGATGGCTTAAATAACTGTAATGGAAATGGTATTTGTGGGTCCAATAATACTTGTAGTTGTGCAAGTGGATGGAGTACCAATGATTGCTCTGTTTTCAATTGTGACGCCATTAATAATTGTAGTGGTCATGGTACGTGTGTGAATAACAATACTTGTAGCTGCGATTCTGGTTGGAAAGGAGATTCTAATTGCACAACGTATTCCTGTGAGGTTCTGAATAACTGTAATGGTCATGGGTCATGTACTGGAGCTAATGTTTGTACTTGCCAATCGGGTTGGAAAGGAGATTCCGCTTGTTCAACTTATTCCTGTGAAAATGTGAATAATTGTAATGGTCATGGTTCTTGTTCAGGTGCTAACATGTTCCTGTCAATCTGGTTGGAGAGGTTCTGCTGATTGTTCTGTATTCTCTTGTGACTCCCTAAACAACTGTAATGGTCATGGCTCGTGTACTTTTTCCAATACTTGCACTTGTAATTCAGGTTGGAAAGGAGACTCTGCTTGCTCAACTTATTCCTGTGACGGTCTTAACAACTGCAATGGTCATGGATCATGCACTGGAGCTAATGTTTGTGTTTGCCAATCTGGTTGGAAAGGAGATTCCGCTTGTTCAACTTATTCCTGTGAAAATGTCAGTAATTGTAATGGCCATGGTTCATGCAGTGGTGTTAATATGTGTAACTGTACTTCAACTTACACTGGTTCACAATGTGAAATTCCGGTCTGTTATGGAAGAAACGCAACTGATGCAAAAGTTTGCAGTGGAAATGGTAACTGTTCATCACCTGACACTTGTGTTTGCAAAGGAAAGTGGGTTGGTTCAAATTGTCAAACTCCAACATGTTTTGGTGTTAGTGCTTTGGATCTGACTGTTTGTAGCTCTCGTGGTAATTGCTCTGCCATTGATACCTGTTCATGTTCGAGTGGATATTCTGGATCCAAATGTGAAACAAATAATAGAGCAGTAGTTAGTATGGCATCCACTAGGATTGGTCAACAATGGCTTGTATTATTATTAGCAACTTGCATTGTTGGTTTCGTTTCTGTTTTCCTCCTCTAAACTAGAATAAATAATTTCGAACAAATTATCCTATTTCTAAGTAAAAGATGTTTCTTCACACATCAATTAGTCACGCAAATTTCACATTAAATCAAAAGGTCAACATCAGAAGCTTGAACATCGACGACCAAAGTTGCTCAAGAATTCACTCCAATCTCCATTACCTTCAGCATCTTTGACAATGTCAGTCTTTTCTGGTATGAAAGCGGACCGCTTGATGTTTTCAGACTTTAAACTTTCCCATGCGGATTCAACTTCTGGTGCGATGGATACCATTTAATGTTTTTCAAACACATTATTCTCTAGATTTGATCTTGGATGTCTTACTGTTTGACAAGTTTGTTTGGTTTACAAGAAAATTCGACACCACTGCTTCAACATTTCAGCAGAAGGCCTTTCTTTAGGGTCTAAACTTATCATTCGTTTAACAAGCTCTTTAAATGGCTCTTGTAAATTAGCCTCTCTGAGAATTTCTGCAGAATCAGCAAAAAAAATTCGAAGCAGCAGATGGTGAAGTAAGATAAACCACTGTCTGGCCAAGAGAAAATATATCAACCTTCTCATCATAACATTTTTCTTGCCTCAATTCTGGTGCTCTGAACTCTCCTTTACCCACATCTTCATTGATATATAGACGAGTTAAAACATTTCGCAGTGCATGTGTTTCCCCAATAGTTTCCTTCTCATATTGTACAGACAGCCCAAAATCAATCAAAACAAATGTTCCAAAATTCTTTCTTAACATAATATTACTTGGTTTTACATCTCTTATGAAGAATGTTGAGGCGATGTAAAAACTTGAGAGCACAAGAAATATGTTTCACTAGCGTCATCAATGTTGTTTCATTCCATTCGATGGTCGATATAGACATAAGTTGCTCTATTTGAATGAAACCCTGCTTATCTTTTCTAGTGAAAAGGCGAGGTAAGTGAATACAATGTTCAACCTGCGAGTACAGGAGGTTATAAATGTAATCTTCTTCTTTTTCGACCTTCTTTGCGACACAACAATGTAATATTTGATAAATCTCTCTATCTTCTGTCTTTTCAATGACATCAGTAATCTTTTGATTACATATTTTCTGCGATTTTGATTTTTTCAAATCCTCCACAGATATCTTTTTCATTTTGAGAGGTTTGTGTTTTGCTGAATGATTTACCTTGAAAGTATCTTCTGTCAGGGGGTCATGTTTGACTACATGATTTTGGTAAAACCGAAGAAGATTCACAAGGAATACAACCACTCCATAAATGTTTGTTGATAAATCCACCATACTCAGAAAGTAATGAGGAGTGACGTTGTTTGAAGTGGTAGCTTGATCAAGTTCTGGATATTGTGCTTCCAAAACAAATAAATGGCATTTCAATCTGTTCGTAACAAATCCCATCACTTTGCTACAATCTTTTAGATTTTTGATAGTTTTCATTTTCTGAATATTTTCGCTAAAGTCGTCACTTGTACTTTAGATCTTTGTGGATTTGATGGGGCTTACCTTAAAACACTACGCATCATAAGTATCGTTTTAAATGAATCCGTTGCAGATTTCTCCCAATCTGACTCCTCATCTGTCTTATCTTCTCGTAAAAAGAATATGTCTTGTGCTTGTCCATAAAAATCTGGCTTAACCGTAAATTCTGCATGTTCGTTAAATGATATCATAAGCTCCTTGTTGCTAATGATCACTGTAAGGTGAGCCAGTTCAAATCATACATACCCATCAAACAAGACAGATAGTACAGAAAAAAGATTGATAATCATTGCATTGAAAACACCGCTAATAATCAGCTCTTTCTTTGGAAGTGAGATTGTAGTTAGTAGAGTTGAAATAGAGCTCATTAAATCAGTGAGTTGCTTTTCAGAGAAATTGAATGGTTGTAACAACGGTTGGACATCAGGCAACTCTTTCATGTACTCTTTAAAATGGCTGCTTGAGTATAATGAAAACAAGCCTAAAAGCTTCTCCTTCAATTCTTCGTCTCGTTTGTCGGAGAAGGGATATTTTCCGTTTGGATTAAATCAAGAATATTCAAAAAATTTTTGGTGGATTGGCGTCAGGATATTGAATGTTAGTGTACTAGTTTCTTCTACAGCTCAAACTTGGACAAATAATCCACTATCTTTTTTACTTTCTGTTTTTCCGATAAATAGCCTTCCTTTCTCACTTCGTCTATGAAATCCAATAGCAAAAAAATGTCATCATCATCATCGACTCCGAACGTTCGTTCCAGCTTTCTTTTCATTTTTTTTAATTAAGGAGTGGACTTCTCTTTCAACACTTTACGACAAAGTTGAGAATCAATTTAATTTAATATTTTAGGGCAGCTTCTTTGTCATTATAATGCATCAGATCAGATTTTCTTTCAATTCCACAAAAGATATTTTTGTTTAGCAATCCAACGAGTAAAATCGAAGAATTATGAGTTTATTCTACTACACGCGAGTAGAGTACACAACATCTAGCATCAATCTACCAACTCAAATCTTCCATCAGGCGCATTCTGGTGTTACACTAATAGAAGCCTAATGAATAAACTCATTCATGTTTAAAGTTTACAACAAAAAAATAATGAACACCCTGCATCATGATCTCTCACTCGATGTCTCGCAACTTCCGGAAGAGCTGCACAATCGAAAAACAAAATTCTTTGGAAAAAGTACTCGCATCAAGGCATTCATTTCTCATCATTGGAATACAATCATGGGAGTAGCCATGATCGGAGCATGTTTTTTAATGGCTCTCGGAGTTCTTCTCATCTTGATGGGATTTTTAGCAAATTCCGAAGGAGATTATTCAATTCAAGCATCGTGTAAATTAATGGAAGCTATTCACTGTAAGAAAACAATTACTACCTCCCATGATCCGAGTTTGGACAATATTGATTTTCAAAATCCATTTTTAGAATATGTGACTTCGGGGAATGCTAAACTATTTTGTAATTTTATTGTGATTGCAAATGATGAGAATCGAACACGAGAGAGTGTTGATCGAATTTTGTTTCAGGAGGAAGAAGTAACACAAGAAGGAAATGATGTTTCAAATGGGCTTAGAACCACATTCAGTTCAACTCCAGCTGGTCCTCCTGTTTACATCGCTTCGACACGACAACGACCTTTTTATTCTTCCTTGTTTGTGAGAAGGCAAACTACATTTGGTGCTATTAACTCGACGATGACTTGTTATTTAGCATCGAATGATGAAGAGCACGTGTCTTTTCACAAATCCATTTCGAATGGCAAGGTTGCATTGCGAGTATGTGGATTCATTCTCATGACTATTGGATTAATAGCTTTAGTGTTCTTCATTTTGGCTGTCACATCCATTCGAAAGCAATGTTTGGATTTTCTGGGAAGAATACTTCGAAAATATGGTTTTAGACAATCAAAACGATCCGAAGAAGCGGTCTCATTACGAAACAGTAGGGTCAATGCAACCAGTATTCACACGGGAGATGATGAAGAACGAGAATATTTTGATTATATAGACAAAAATGACAGAAACGATCGAAAGATTGTGAGAGGAGGCGATTTGGGTGAAGAGGAGGACGAAGATATTATGGTTGTGCAGTAGTGAACACGGTTTAAACATTTGCTTGCGAAGACAGCAAAACCCCTAACTTGAGTTTCACATCATCATTTGTTGGGAGTGTAGAGCACAACAATTCATTTTTGAAAGGATTGTGACTTCATCCAACATTGCTAAATATTCTCTTTTAATAGTGGCTCTGTAAGATGCTCAAACGTTGAGACGAGCCAAAAAATAGATTTCACTCTTCAGTTGATGGGCACAATAAAGGTTCATTAAGGAAATAAGTTGATCAAATATCTGTCGCAACTCTGTTGATAATAATAATTGATTGTGAGTAATATTAACAAGAATAAAATCCATATAAAAGGTAATGCCATTCAGCAATAAGGTGGAAAGAAAAAACATTAATTTCGAAATGGACAAAATTTGTTTCCTTATTAATAAACGACGCGAACAATGAATAAATAAATAAAAATTATTGAGCTACTCTCAATGCTCTTCTTCAATCTTTTTCAAAACTTGAATCATTTGAATGGCCAATGGTTTGGTACTTGTGGCTAGACATCGATGATTTTGCAAGAGAATTTCCTCAGGTTTTTCCAAATCACATGGATCACACACCACTCCTCCAGCTTCTTCCACAATAATTTTTCCTGCAGCCATGTCCCAAATTTGAATACCATTTTCAAAATAGGCATCAAGAGATCCATTTGCAACATAACACAAATTAATGACAGCACTTCCACTGCCTCTAATTCCGTGACATCCCATTCTCAAGAAAGCTCCATATTTCTTTTCAACCAATGACAATACATCCTCTGTTCTTCCATATGGAAAGTTACTCGATAATAATGAACCTGAAATTGAATCACATTGACTAATGACATTCTTTTCGAATTTTTGTTGAGTGAATGGAGTTTTTTGATAGGAACCTTTTCCTTTGATGGCATAAAACGTTTCATCAAGAATTGGATTATGAACGACACCTAGAACGACACTTCCACAATATGCCAATGCAATACTCGTACAGACATTTGGATTTCTATGAACAAAATTTGTAGTTCCATCAATTGGATCAATAATCCAACAATACCCATTCTTGGACAGGGTTGTATCCTTATTATTAAATTCCTCTCCAACAATTTGATGATCGGGATATGCTTTTAATAAATGTTGGCTCACAATCTCTTCCACACGTTTATCCGTTTGAGTGACCATATCAATAATGGTGGATTTGGTGAGAAAGGTTTTTTGTTGAGTGGCGAAATGTTCTCGAATTTCCAAAGCAGCCAATCGACATGCTTCCAATGCAACATTTAAAGCATCTTGAAGATTAATTTCTGGAACTCGGTGGTGGTCTGTCTCCGAACAAGATGATGACATGATGTTAGAGGGAATAAATGTTTTGAATTTTTTTTTTGAAAAATTGAAACGCTTTTGATTGCGCAGTTTTATCTAAATTTTTCCTCCAAATTCAAAAATGGAAAAAATAACGGGATTGAAAGAATGGAGAGTTCTGTGTTCAAAATTGTCATCATAGACTAAGGCTCGGATTGTTGTTTATTCATTTCGTATGTAATTGAGGGTTTGAACCTCTAGTTTTGAGAAAATTTGGATTGAAATTAATAATATAATTACAATAAAAATTTTCATCAAAAGGTTGAAAAAAATGAGAAAAGTAATTGTGGCCGGTCATTCTCAGCCTTTAGGCTCATCCGCTTCGTTTTTATTTTCCAAAATTCATCGTGAAGCACTGGTAGTACAACAAAGAAGAATTTTCTTCTCATCGCTCGCATCGACATCTTCGTCGTTATGGATGGAAAAAACGAAAATCCGAGGTGGCTTTTATTCGGACTCGACAAACAAGAATCTCTCCTCCTTGTTACATTCTAATTTCATGAACAACACAAGTAACAACAAGGGTATGAGAAGAAATTACTATACCTCTCGGAACCTTTGTGAGTCAAATCAACCTGAGGCACAAGCCACAAATACGGAGAGAACACAGGCTATGGATCTCCTACTTTCTGAGCAAGATCCAGGTGAGGAGAATGGGACTAATAATGCAGAAGAAAATGATATATCTGCAATTACTCTTGCCACATATATGCAACGAAACAGACATTATCGCAAGTTTACTGAAGATGAAGTGAAACAATTGAAACGTAATTATCCCAATTTAATGAATCCTCCAACATTGATTCCAGAATTTCCTTTCGAACTGGCAAGAAAATCATCTTCCACAACACAATCAGTATCATCATCAAACAAACCTATAGTTTCTCCAATCAATACGGAGGAATATTTTGCTGTACTTGACAAGATTTATGCAAGAGTGGAACAGAGAGGAATTTCAGTTTCAAAGGTTTGCGTTTGTGTGAGTGGAGGCGGAGATTCTATGGGAACTGCCATTCTGGTTTCCAAATGGCGTGACCACATGAAACAAAAGAGAGGAATCGATTTGGAGTTGGTTGCCATTGCTGTGGATCATCAAATTAGAACAGAATCAGAACACGAAATGCTCTATGTTCATGAAATACTCACCACCAAGCTTAAGTACAACAGTGTTACATGTGCCAAGGTTCTCTGGTCGAGTGAGCAAAAGAAGCAACAACGATTCTCTCGAATGAAACGTCAATTAATCATCAGCTCAGAATGTGTCTCGCAAAAATTTGACCTTGTCATTACTGGTCATCACAAACAAGATAACATTGAGACTATGATTCACAGAATAGCTTTTGCAAGTGGTATTTCTGGTATTAACGGTATTCCTCTCATTCATTCTTATCGCGTTGCTGAAGCCAACATTGTAATGTCAAGACCTGGCTTGGTATTTGACTCTCAAGAGTTGAAAGCTGTATGCATGCAAAACAAAATCAAATGGGTTGAAGATCCAAAGAATAGCGACAACAGTGAATTTAGAGCAATTATTAGATCGAGATTGGGTATCATGTACAACTCTGGAATTTCTCCAAACAATTTCTACAATTTATTGCTCACTGTTGGAGCGGTACGTCATATTATGGCTCGTGAAACACTCAACTTTTTCAATCGTTATGTCAGGTTTGATGATGAGTTTGGATTTGCAGGAATTTATTTCTACAGTTTAGAGAAGACAGCAGAATTTATTGCATTGAATGCTCTCAATACTCTCATTCAATATGTCACCAATAGGGACTTACCAGTTAAGCTTGATTCTTTGAAAAGTGTAGTCCGTTCATTACCAAGCACAAAACGGTCCCTGGGTGGTACTTTACTTGTTCCTGACAAGAAGGTTCTTTACGTTATTCGAGACACAGGTACTTTGAGAAGGAAAAAAAAGCATCTAACCGTTCGATTCCATGATAATGGAGTCATTTGGGACAATCGATTCTTTATTCAATTATTCCAATATAACAAGATGAACATTTCTGAGAAAAATATTACCTATTCCAAGAAACTCACATTAGAAAAACAGCCTGAATATGACAATGTATTTATTCCAAACTATGATGGAAAAGTTGATACTGATCCACATGCAGAGTTAAGAATTAGACCATTCACTGAGGCCGATCACAAATATTTCATGGAGCATTATCCACTCATGATGAGAGCTGCCAAACAATTCCCTGATTACCTTACTCGAAGCTTCCCTGTCATTGAGGATGATAAGGGAATTCTTGCAATTCCATTTTTGGGATGGAAGAGGTGTGTGAATATTTATTGGCTGATCAAGTTCCTGCCATCTCATAACAAATTTATCATGGGAGAGGTTGATAGTTTGTACGATTTTGTCAAGTTGTTCACTTCCAAACAAAAGTAGTTGAAAGAACTCGCGTGAAACAATAAAAATGTTATTATTGCAATGATTGAAAGTAATTTACAAAACGAGAGATGACATCTAGGATTTCTTCAAGAATCCATTTTACAATAATTTAAAATTCAAATAACACAACACACTTGTCAATGCAAATCCAATCAGCAACGAAATTTTCGAAATGGCTCCAGAAACTACGAGAGACAAGAGCATGATCAAGGCAATTCCTCCTGTCAACGCCATCATCACCATGGAGAAATCTTTTCTCACTTTCTCGTTCCAACGATTTGAAAGAAAATTTAGCACAATAAATGGAAATGTCAAAACTCCAATCAACCGAATAAACTCTTGTGAAACACGTTGACATTGAGTGGCATAATTGATGGAAGCCTCATCGGAGCCATCACTAAATATGAATGATCCAAAATTTAAGGTCAAAAACAAACTTAAAATTCCTGGAGTGACTATACACAACACACTCAACAAAGTCAGCAACAGTACACACACAAATCGAACATGTTCATGAGAAAGTCCTTTTTGTAAAATTGTTGAATGATTTTCCTTTACGTGTTTCACCAAGGAATTTACTTCACTTTTTGTATACTCAAATAAAGATTGTAATTCCGACAAGGAAAATGTTGAAAGAAAGAGAGAAATTAAATTTTGTGATGATGAAAATGATCGATCAGAGTAAGTTGTGGATTTGTTCGATGACGACATTTTTTTGGAAATTTATTTTAAATGATATTATCGATTTCCAAAGGTGGTGCCAAACTGTCAAACAAACATCATCAACAAACACTTGTCATGAGTGAATTGAGAGAACTCTTTTTCCAACAATGTTCTACACAGATCCAAATGGTATCGAACCATTTTCCAACCTTTTTGCAATATTCACATAACTACCATCATCTAAAGCTACCACTTTCTCCAAATATCCACCCAAAGACGAATCATTTTCATTGGACATGGCCAACAAGGAAGGTGACGGTAAATAATTTGCATTATTTTGACTTCCATTCGAAGTTGAATCGGAAGAATCTTCGAAAGAATCTTCTCCCATCGAAGAAGAAGCATTGAAATGATGATTCGATCGAGAAGCAAGTACTCTCTTTGACACATTTGCAATTTCTGAAGTTGATGGAAGTCGCAATGCATCGTCCAAAGCAGTGGTTTCGATGGAGAGAGAAGGCAATGGAACACAAATGGAATCTTTCCTTAATTCACACAATATGGAACAACCGTCAATGGGTTTTGCATATTGATCGAGCATGGGAACTGCTCTGTAACCTTCTCTCAAATGTTTCACGTACAAGTAATTTTCACATAAAAATACATCCGAGGATTTTTGTTTGTCAAAAATGGAAATTCTGACATAGGCCAATTCTGGACACAAAATGGTGAAATAAAAAACCTTATTGAAGGTTGGATTGAATCCATTTCCCATGACAATATCCGATCGATCCTCAAATAAATCTTGATAAATTCCTAACACTTGAACTCGAATGTAAGGATTTGAAACCTCTCCTCGAGTCGATGCTGAAGATTTTGGTAAATTCTGAGCACATATTGCAAATAGTGTGTAAAAACAAGGTTTGTGTGTACGCGCCGATGGATAGGGTAATCCATCCAATCTCAAAAAATCAGGTTTTAAAATATATCCACACTTTCCATTTTCCTCAAATTTCACTTCATTGAATCTCATATGTTCGTCATAGGTTTGATAATTGAGAGCGACCAATTGGCAGCCAGTGACCCATCCCATATTTGGACAATAATTACTGGAATCCACTCGAGTTCCTTTTGGATAAATTCTCAAGGATTGATTCTTATTATAATTGACAATTCCTTGAAGATCTTTTCGGACCATTTTTTTCAACTTGTCTTCTGAAAAGGAATGTTGATGCCAACACACAGCACTCAATTCTCCCTTAAATGAAATTCCACACCATGCAATAATATCAGAGAGACCTTTCGCTACTTTTCGTTTGTTTGTTGTTTTTTTGGAATTGTCACCACCACTACTACCAACGCTATTGGAACTTGCAGAAGGAGTTCCTGGTTTCTTTGGAGATTTTGCTGGAGATGCAATGCCTCCTACTCGATCCATGCTGATACTACTCGTATCGTCTTCTTCTTCCTCATCTGAATCGTTTATAAATTCTTCAGTTCCATTTTCAGTCATTTCTGAATGCTTTTTTCCTTTCAAAATGATTCTTCTCTTCAAAGCATTGGGACTTGGTAATTGTTTAATCTCTTGTCCATTCTCAAAGAAAGATTTCAATAAAGTATCTCCGAAAATGTCACACATGATTTTGGCCATCATTTCTTGTTGTGGCTCACTACAGTGAACTTCAAGTGAGAGAATTAATGGATATTCAGAGGCTACAAATGCATATTGATTAATCATGATAATCACGTCACGAAATAAAATTTTGCTTGTCAAGGTTCGTCCGTGATAAATAATGGGTTCATTAGGGCCATCCCAACAATCCAATTCCACACATCGACAACCTGTAAGAAGAACGTTCTTGTATTGTTCGACTGAACTTTCTCCTTTCCATTGTAGACCTGTTAAATAGGTATTGTGTGAAGATGAAATGTAGTAATGTGTCAATGGTTGATTCATATCTTGAGTGTTTGGTTTTTTGAATTCCAAATCTAGAATTGGATTGTCTTCTCCAGAAAGTAAAAAGCGAGCAAAGTCATGAGATCTCAATCCAATTTTGTCATTGAAATATATTGGATTATATTTCTTGATAATATTTTCAGCATATTCTTGAGTAATGATTTCATGTTTGCTCTGATTTTGAAGAAATTCATGAAAATCTTCTAAAAAGAGTAATTGCTGATTTTTTGCAAACTTTCGAAAGAGTAGAGTCTCAATTTCTTCCTTATAAATCAGAGAGTAGTAAAATTCTTCAAATTCATTGAATTCAATGTATCCTGTTCCATCCACATCGGCTTGTTTGTATTTTCTTAAAATTATGACAACAAAAATGTCACATTTGAAGAATCATTTGAACAAGATCAGCAGTAAAAAAGATTCGAGCACAAATGTCTTTTAAGTATGTCACACAAACTAAATACATACTGTTTAAGTAATTTCAAAGGAAAATCAATGTTAATTCGATTCAATAATTTTGATAATTCTTTCAAATCTAAATGTCCATCATGGTTCACTTGCGTACCAATCCAACATTTCAATATTTGCAAACTTGTTGGATCTCTTGCATTCTTCATATCTGCTTGACAGATCAAAAAGTTTAATATGGAAAGTAAAATGTAAAACTCTCGTTGATTACCAACAACAACGTCCATTCGTTCTTCGATCGTGATGGAAGATTTTTGTGCGAATTGTGTTTTGCCTGATGAGTAGATCATTGTGAGAGAGTATTCGTTTTCATTTGGTTTGGAGTCTATGGGTGGACCAATTTTTGGATGTTCAATTTGGTGAATGTCACGAATGAATACTGTTGTTTGTGTCAAAGATAACATGAATGTCAGTTGTCACACAAAAAATCAATTTCAATATTCGACAATACAAGTTGACAAATCATTACACAATAATCACAAATTGATTCAATCACGCAACAAAAATACATACTCAGTGCTTTCAACTTTTTCTTTTTTGAATCTTTAATCTCCAAATATGCTTCATTTTCATCCAAAACCCAACAATACTCTTTATACTTGTCTTGTTTTTTAAAAGGAAACGAAAATCGAGAATGTTCCGGTGTCAAACTTGATGTTGTTGATTGCGACGAAAACGTCGAAGTGGTCGTCGTTGATGATGACAAGGACGACGTTGAGTTGAATAAATTCCTTGTTGGTGATGATCCATTCGGCGATGATGGTATTTCCAATTTTCCTAACCGAATACATTTTAATTTCTTTCCGACTTTTAACTCTTGCATTGTTTTGTGAATGAGATTGGTATCGGTCAAGACATTTTGTAACGAAAATAATTGAAAGACATCTTGAGAAGCAATGTCAAGAGATCCATGGAGATGGATTTTAGGAGAGAGGCCGAGAGAGGAATGTCGTGAGGAGTGGGAGGAATTGAGTGGACTCAGAGGAATCCGAACGTGAAGACTTCGCTTGGACATTTTTTATTGGCATGTGGTAGTTGACAAGTGGTGGATCATTCGGTTGCTTTTCAATACCAAAAAGGAAATACAGTGAAAATGAGCAGCACCAAATATATATTTATCGTCATTATTTGTAATCATATTCTTCTCACAAATGGTTTCTCATCCAATTTTTTTCCTTCACTTGTGTGAATGTTCATAATGACGCATGTAAACATGGAATGACACTTTGAAGACTGCAATTTAATTCAATTTCAATGCTTGAACCAAACAATTAAGAGCTGCTTCGGATGGTAAATTGCTGAATGACGACTTGTAGAATGCATGCAATTGATAATCCACATTTTTCATCTTAATGACAATCGATTTTTGATAATAAACGGTCGCTTCGTTGGAATTCGATTGGACTGCAGAGGTGGAGCTGGCAACATTTGTCGAGTTGTTGTTTCCTTCAACAACAGAAGGAGTCTTTGATTTCAGTCGTACTGCAAATATGATACCATAGGCCTCTTCGAAGGTTTCTTGTGACACCGTCGAAAAGGTTGAAATGGCCTTTCTTCGTTCCTTAATAAAGTGAGGTTCAAACGGTATTTCACTTTCAGGTACTACCTCGCATTGTTCTCCGATCGTATAAGCGTTGAGTGCATCTTCATGTAGCGTACCAAGATCGAAGAGATTAGTCGGAAAAGGCTCCTTGATGACATCCACACTTTCAAATTCTGGAATATCCTTCAATTTCTCCAGAATAAAATGAATTCTCTCCAAGACAGACATGTTTGAAAGGAATGGCTGTAATTGAATATTATCGATACATGAAAGCTTGGAATTGCATTGAAATGGAGACACAAGTGTGACAATATTATCTTTTGAGAAAATTCTCCAACCTAGAGGAACTGCTCCACACCAAATCTTTGGACGGTCTAACTCTTTGGTATAAAAAGTCGGTTGCAAAGTAACTCTTTCCAACAATTTTTCCAAAATAGGTTTGTTATATCCTCCACAATTTGTCACATATTGAAACACATAAGTAATTCCAATATTTGACTGGATACAAATGACATCTTGAAGAAATACTTTCTTGTAGAGAGAATAGTAGCATGAAAACCTAAAGCCTTCCCATCTTTTAAGCATTCTAAACTTGTGTAGTGGTAACACCAGTTCAAAATTTGGTCGTTTTTCACAATTTTTCAACATATCCTCCATGACATTGACTGAATTTTGCTCATAGACATAATAAATATTGATACTATCGGTGAATATTTCTTCGTTTAAAAATTGAGTGGGCGAGATGAGAATTAACTTGTCTGGTTTTGGAATAATATGCCACTTTTTTGGTACGAACAGACAAAGCATCTTTAACACTTCACATTGATTCATAATTTTTTCATGAATTTTGTTTCGCATTTCAGGTGTGACTTGTTTCTTTCTGAAGAGTGGATCATCATCATCTTCATCATCACCTTCCATATTTTTGGAATCCTCTTGGTGTTGAATATGTGAAATAGCATCGTGCCAATTCGAAAAGCCATGAGCAGAATCGTCATCACCATTTCTTTTGTAGTACTTGTCGGTCCAATCCATTCTTACATCCAAATTCAAGATGGGACATGTTTCAGGTAAGGGTTCTCCTGGTGACAAAAGATCGGATTTCCCACTTGCCAACATCTCGCCAGGTTTTCTCATTTTCAATGAAACTTTTTCATCTTTGTTCAAGTATGCCAATTCCGATAGTTTTAATTCGGCTTGTGCAATGACAGTATCTTTTCTGTAACGATTTTGATTCATGACTTTAAAAGTTATAACTGATCCTCCATCAATGGATTGATTCAAAAATTCACCACTTTGTGCTGAATTGATCGCGTTTGAAAATAAACTTGAAGGAACATATTTTGACAAAAAGGGAAGTGAACTCTTTGAGTTTAACAAGGGAAACTCCATACATGTATTCCAAATGGGAAATATATCGTTTTGTACGACTTTTGTTTTTTGTTCAAACACAAATACATGTCCATCGTCCGATGTTGGTGAATTACTTGCATTGGTGCCGCTATTGTCGTTTCCATTGACAGATGAACCAGATGAGCTGGTCAAACTGCTAGTGTTCGAACCAATTTTTCCGTACTGAACTACAACATATGGATTATAACTTGCTAATTTTGATACTTTGTCCATGTAGTTGCTGCTTATGGGACTTGATGCACTTGATGAGACCGATGTAAATGCACTGAAAACATTCAGAGAGTAAGGCGAAGGAGAAGAGGTTGCATTATTGGAAGAAGATCCGTTATTCGTGTTATTATTCATGGGTGATGTTGACATTGTGGAATTTGATGAGCTACTTGGGTTGACTGGATAGGTGTTCAAATAATCAACTCGGGCAATTCTCAAATAAATTATTGGGCCATTGTAATGATGAAGAGACACGGCAGAAGGGATTGTGGCAGCACTGTTCGAATTTTGAGAGAAAGTGTCATTGACAGTGCCAACACTTCCAAATGAATGATGAGAATTTGAGTTGGTCGATGATGGCATTGAAGAGGTGGGCGACGTTGAAAAAGATGGAGACTTTCTTCGCAAGGTCACATTATCGACACCACTATTTTGTTTGATAATTGTAACCGAAGATGATCCCGTTGTGGACGTTGCATTAAATGTCGTCGACATTGCAAAGGGATTTTGTTCTGATGATGAATTGATGTTGGTTGTTGTTGTATGGCCAACAGATTTTCTCTTTTGGGCATGATGAGAAGTGTTATTGGTTATTGTTGTTGATGCTGATGATGAAGGCATGATCTGCTGAGAATTGATCTGATTGTTATTTTTGTTCTTCTCCTCATTGTTTGGAGTGGATGGCAACGGACGTGGAGGACGATGGTTGTTTTGCTGATGATTGGAATGTGTCATTTTGTTTGAGAGAGGTTGCATCAACAACACTTGGAAGAAGAGGAATGATGAAGAATGACTACCACTCTTGCTGTATTATTATTTTAATTTAAATTTGAGAGATTCCTTCTCCTCTCTATTTGACCAGAATAGAAATGTCTTTTACAAGGAGCAATGGGTTGATGACAATGAAAACCAACGGTGATGTTGAGCTTTTTTTATGGTGAGTGATGGGTACGACATTCCTTTCAAAGGCTTTGACAAATAAACAACAACACCTCGAGCGATCGATTGTCATTATAGCATTTGGTGAGTGGGTTAGTGATATTCGTATTCATTCCAGTTTTGATCGTGGGTTGTTCAAATCCATTTGGGGTTGAAGGGAATGGTGGTTGTTGAAGTTGAATACTCATCAACTTGTCATCTTCGGAGCAATCAACTGGTATTCATCCGTTCATTCACAAACACTAATTCCAAAAAATAGTCATGAGAAGCCAAACCAAGAGAAAGATTGGGAGCGAGAGTGCATCATCATCGACGTCGTCGTCGCTGTTGGAACTCAGTAAGGAATACTTTCGGAAGGTATTTTCGGGCGAGTGGTTGAAACCTGATACTTCTAAATTGGCTCTCTTAACTCCACAGGAACGAATTCAACAGAGAGAATTTCTGAGGAAGAGAATTAAATGGATGATTTGGGGTTTCATGGGAATGGTGGCTTTCGGAGTGCCGTTGTTTAATAGATGTAAGTCATCGGTGTGGTCCGCACGTGTGTGTTTATTGTGGTTGAATGATGAATGGATTTTCAAAACACTCTCGATATACTTTCAACAATTTAAAATATTTACTAATTATTTTCCCGTTAAATTTGAAATATTTAATAATATTAATAATAATTTTGATTATATTAATGATGATATTATTTGAACGAACGGACTGGTCAAATTTATTGTTATTTGTGATGAATGGCAATAATTGCTGTATTTCATCAACCACATTCAATTCACACTTGAAACAGATTTTGGATCGAATGAGAGTGTACGTATTGTTTCTTTATCATGAGCCGAAATTAGATTATAACATTTTCATAGAGACATAAATACCAAACAAATACAGTTCTCTACAAGGAAATGTGTGAGGTTGAACAGTTGAAGCAAGAGGTTGCTGGTTTAAAAAAGAAATTGAACAATACCAAGATACAAGATGTTGTTGTTGACGATGAGTACGAAGAGTAATGCAAATGATTTCCACATTTCATTCCGTATGTCGTTTTTGGTTTTTATTCGACATCACAATCCAAGATCGAATTAAGTTAGATGAATATGGTTGGTCGTTTGAATACTTTGTCAGACAACATCATGCTTGACTCTTTCGTAAATTGCAAAATAGATTCGTAGTTTGTTGCTCCCCCAATCATTTTTGGAATAATATTAGTAAATGCTTGCCATTCCCTAAGGATGCTTTGATGTTCCTAAATTATGAATGAATGAAACTGTGGACTACCAGGCACAACTGTGAGACTTATTGTATCATACCTTGAGTTAGTTGTTAAATTGACGACGAGAGAGTGAATAATCTTAATGTTTAAAGGTTTTTTCCATAAACACTTGTTCCATAAATGCATTGCATTCATTCATTAGCGTTGCACAGTCAATAAAACTTAGGGCATCAGTTTTAGTGTTATTCTGATAAGCATTACTACCGGATGCATCCAGTAAATTGATATTCAAGCATGATTCCATATGATCCGTGCAATAGACTGCTGAAACAGGAATAAACAATTCTTGCCACGGTTGAATGCATTGTTCTGAATTCTGTTTTTGAAAAAGGCAATCAATTAATGAGTCATATTCTTCTTCATAGAACGTTTGCATGAGTGTGGACAATCTAAATTATTCACATTTTGATGATCATTCCGCAGAATGGAATGGTTATGAAAACATAATTCAAACGTTAAATAATGCCAAAACAAATGTCTTACCTATTCTTATTCTTCCTTTTTGAAATTCTCTTATCGAATTTGAGTGTATGAAATCCAATACCTTCAAGTGAGTTGTCATCTTCGGTGCTGTCATCCTTAGATGTAATGGATGATGGAGATAATTCCTTAATTTTTTTCATTATGGCAAACTCTTTGGCAAACACAGTATACATGGAATCTTTCTTGTGCCATTCTTTGAATGCTTCTGAAAATCTTTTGAATTTCCGAATAGTTTCCCAATCCGTTCGAAAACAACCTAAAATCTTTGCATGAATTTGTTTAAATAATAATGGCGAAGGTTTTTGGCAATTCGATGCTGGAATTGCTGCCACAAGAACATTATGTACTTCCTCAGGTGATGGTAAGCAAGAGGCACTTTTTGGAGATGTCTCCATCATACTTGTCATGTTATCTTCAACTGTTCTTACAGAGCTCGATAATGCCATCTTGGAAATGATACTTTGGGTTTCCTCTGCATCTCGCTTACTTTTCAAATGTTCACCTCGTTCCATGTCTTGTTCATAAAATTCATGTACATTAAATAGTTCTGAAAGCTCGCAAGCCTTTCTCATGGCTAATAACACGTCATCAGGAACTTTGGATTGAGATATTAATGCTGAATTTAAATACTTGTTGTTGCATTGATACACCGATGAGAGATAGGAAATGAGAAGCCTTTTTGAAGAGTAATCTCTTTCCATCAGCGTCATAGTTCGAGAGCTATACAAGTTAGATTATGATTTTCTTTTTATGAGAAGAGCAGAAGAATTCAAGAAGAACAGTTTGGTAACTCGATGAATGAACAATTTGACAAACTCCGAAATTCGGAATCAACTATATATCAATAATGTTCAAAAATAATGTTTCAAATCAACACAGATCCTGCTAATTGTATTATTACTCCGAGTGAGTTTGGTTTGAAATGAATGACAGTAGCTTAAGGTGATGATAGTTACAAATCGAGGAGATGTGATGCTTTGTGTTCTCAAAATATTTTTTTTTTCGAACAAACCAATTTGATTGGATGGCGTGGTTATCGGATTTATATTGAGTTGTGATCAGGCGAATAGACACACATTTGTTGTTTCTTTTCCTCACGCAACATCACTTGTCATTTCTTGTTGCGTCATCACACACGCACATTAAAAATCAAACAACAAAAAATGTCATCATGCTTGCAAGACTCCATTCTCTCACAAACTCTTACACTCCAATCGATTACAGATTGGATCAATGAGACCAACAAATCAGAAGAGGTTTCTCTTGGAAGCGATTCCTCTTTCATTTCCTTTTTAAAAAGTTTGAAAGATGGCGTTGCTCTTTGTAAACTTGTGTCAAAATTGAAGGGTCGTTTCATTATGTTTAATAAGAATCCGAGAAATATGGAGTTTATGGAACAAGAAAATTTTGAAACATTTATCAAGGTTTGTATTTTGTATCAAATGGTGAGATACATTTCGAGACCAAAAATTGATCATAACGTGAAAATACTAATGATGATCGATCAAAATGGCGAAATTGATTGAGACATTTTAGGAAGCAGTAAGTATTTGTTACTTTGGGTGAAATTTGTTGAAATTCATACATTTGATTGTCCATTCTATTTTGCTCTATCTATCGATTCGATCATGACTTTACATTGAACTCCAACATTAGACTCAATTAATCACTCAAGCATCAATGAGTAATTCATCAGTGTCACAGCTGAATGGAAAGGAAACTCACAAATTGTGTGCTCAACCTGATTCGAATTGTGCTACCTCACCATTGGCATTATCATTGATGAGAGTTCTGATTCAGTTATCGGAAAGTGTTGCTGGAAAGGCATCGTATAGAGGGCCTGTGTTGATCATTGGTTCAGATTCTGTGACATTTGTTCGTGGCTCCACTTCAACATCTGTCACAACCACCTCCACACGAACAACAAGTCCAGAAGAATCAAAACAAGTGATCAATTCTCCCGAATCAAATGATGTCACTACTTTCAAATCAAACCTTGTTGGTGAAAAGAAGGTCTTCAAAGAAAATATCGAACCAGAAGTCGCCAAAAAATACGAATTATTAACAAAGGAAGATATTGACTCTGTTTTGAAAGTATACAGAAATGAACAAATGGAAGCCATCAAACAGCAATTGGAAAAATTCAGAAAAACAGAAGAAGAAAAAATCAATAGAGAGCTCAAACAAATGAGACAAAATATGATTAATCAATTACAACGTGAACAACGAGATTTTGAAATGGATATGAAACGACAAGCTCAAGAATTGCTCGAAAAAGAAAAAGCAAACATTTCTACTAAGCCACCACCAGTCTCAAAAACAGTGGTCACACGAGAAAAGCGTATTAGTATTGAATTGCCAAAGAATGAACCTGTCGAACCTAAAAAAGTCGTTGAAGAAGGATCTTCTGCAGCTATTCAGAAGAAATTAGAAGAAACCACCGAAAAATTAATCGCTACTGAAGTGAAATATGAAAAATTATTGGACGATCTTAAAGAACAATTATCAAAGAAAAAGAAAGAAGTCGAAAGATTGGAAGAAGAAAACATGCTTCTTGCCAAGAGACTGAAAAAGCTCAAAAATATCAAACTCAACGATGGATTGGAAGAGTTGGACAAAGAAGATGTCACCTCTAAAAGTATTCGATCACTTCATACCTTACTTGCCAATTCAGGTGATGACGACGATGACGTTCCTAATTTTTCACATCCCTCCAATTCTTCTTCCTCTACTAGGAGCGCCACTGAACCTTCTCACTCAGTTTTGAAAACAAGAGAAACTTTACCCTCTGTGAGATTTTTATCACCATCTTTGAAGAAATCAAATTCTTCGGATGTGCACGAGGACAATGCCCTCATTGATGAACATTCCATTCAAGTGGAAGAACCTTCTCTTCTTTCCATGTCTGATGACGAGGATGACCACCAGCTTCATCAAGAGGAAGATGAAGAACCCATTGTCTTTCAAACAGCAGTCCTTAAAAAAGTTCCCTCAAATGTCCATCGATTGGCACAACCAATTCGTAGTTCCTTTGACACTGATGAAGAATTGTTTGAATCGAGTTATAGTGATTTGAATAAGAGTGAAACAAAGAAGAAAAACAACAAACAATTGCCAGCAAAGAAGAGCATCTTTAATTCTGACATTCAATAAACGAATTGGGTTCAACATCTCAAGTGACGTCTGACTTTGGGGTTATTTATATAAATGAGGAAATTTGATCCTGGTTTGACCTATGTGAGAACAAGTCATTGTTCTGAGATCATGGTTACGATTCTGTTACGTGACCATGTCATATCTTCAAAACGTTAAACGTCAAAAGTCATTCTCTCTATATTTTCATCATCCGAAAAAAAACAAACTGTACCACCTTTTGTCGTCAGGCCTGATGCTCTTCCAACAACGGGGTTCTCTACAAAGAGGCTCTACCAACAGCGGTAGCTTCTTTGCTTGTTTGCTCTTGTTGGTGTTTTTGAATGTTGTCTTTTTGAACTCACCATTATGGTTGACACCTGACACCATCACATCCGTCCATGCCGCCCGAACTCAAGGATTTTTCTCTCGGATGGCTTCACGTGCTAAACAAAGCATCGATAGGGTTAGATCTTCTGTGAGAAGTATTGAGAGAAAAGCTTCCGACTCTGTAAAAAGAGCCGTTTCTAGCAATCCGATTGTTAGAAAAGTGAAAGAAACTGCCGAAAAGAAATTAGATCGAATTGTCAGCGGTGCTCGAAAAGAAATTGGATCAGTGAAACGACAAATCGACAAGGTCAAAGAAAATGTGAAAAAATTCAAGAAACAAGGATTTAAAAAAGGATTGAGAAGTGTCGGAGATAAATTGAGATCCAAAGTTAGAAAAGTGAAAACAGAATTCCAGTCGAAAGCAAGAAAAATCAAAGATAAGGTGAAGTCCAAAGTTAGAGATGTCAAAGACAACGTTAGAAAAGTGAAAAGTGAATTAAACTCAAAAGCTAGAAAATTCAAAGACAAGATCAAGACCAAAGTTACAAAAGTGAACTTTGAATTGAAATCAAAATCAAGAAAATTCAAAGATAAGCTGAAGACCAAAGTTAGAGGCATTAAAGACGAGATTAAGACCAAGGTCAAGAGTGTTAAGGAAAAAATCAAGAAAGCCAAGGCCAAGATTAAATCCAAAGTCAAGACTGTGAAAGCGTCTTTGAAAAAGAAGTTACAAGATCTCAAAACTAAGATTGGCAAAATTTCACCAAAGAAAGTTGTTCAAACTGTCAAGAAGACTTTAAATAAGGTTAAAGAATCGGTCAAGAATACCATCAAAACTTTAAAGACCAAAGATACCACTATTCAAACTAAGAAAGTTGGTTCTTTGAGATCCAAGAGATCCAACGACAAAGTAGTTGGTTCCATCACAGCAGGTGTTGTCAAGATGGCATCCATTGTGAGTGAAGATGCATATGACAAGAATTCTGACAAGAGAATCACTGAAAAAGGTTATCGATTGGTCTTGCAAAATGATCACAAAGACAAAATGATCGCGAATAAGGTTTATTACAATCCAAACGACAAAACATTGATTGTCGCATATCGTGGTACTGTAAATACTTCTGTGAAGGATTGGATCAATAACTTTGATATTCCTCTTACTAAGGCCTCATTTGATGGAAAGACAATTGGATCTGTCAATCGCGGATATTTGAAGCAATACAAGGAAGATAGAGATTCCATTCAAAAGATCATTCAAGAATATCAAAAACAAGGGCTTGTGAAAAATATCATCTTTACTGGACATAGTAAGGGAGCTGCATTAACTCAAATTGCAGCAGCTGATTACAAAATCAATAATCCAAATTCAAACGTCAAAGTTGAGCTTGTAACATTTGGTTCTCCTCGTGTTGGTGATACTACTTTTGCCAAGACTTTGAATGAACTCGTTCCAGATAATGCTCGTGTAGTGAATAAGTTTGGAAACAATGGTTCAGACATTTTTACCACTTTACCACCTAAATGGACAGGTTATTCACATGCAGGAAATGAAATTCAAGTGGCATGTAACGAGAGCAATGGTATTTCGTGTCACAAAATCAAGTATTATGAAGCAAATGTGGCTGCTCAGGAATAAAGCGATGAGAGAATTGGTGTCCTTTGTTTCAAGAATGGAATTTTTTTGAGAATTCAGAAGTCACCGATGCTTAAGGCAACATCTGCAAAGAGATCCTATCTTTTTGAACTTGGCTTGTTCAATTTCAATTCTGAGAGTGGATTGATGTTTTTACCAATCCTTCCTCTCCTGCCACCAGCCAAATTGCTACACGACCAACTAAAACATCTAACTGTTCGATATTTTGAAAACTACCTTGCCTTCAGATTAGGCGGATTATTTACTAGACTCATTTCCCAACATTTTCGTCAAATTTATTTGAAGTTTTATTCGAAAAGCATAATAACGTTCTGTTCGGAGAACCCTCCTCCATTTTTCGCTGGCCTACAACGACGTGTTATAATTGCTCTAATCATGGCTGACTACATGGGTGGAAACAATTATCATGCTTGAAAAGTTTTATAGGCTTATAAATGTGAATGGACTGTCCAACCATCAGCATAGATTTATTGTTACATTTGACCAGGAAATGATCTTCTCTCAAAACAATGAATTCTTGTGAGTCAAATAACACCATCGAGAAGTCTTCAAATATCCAATGAGTATCTTCAAGGCCTCTGGGCTGTCCAGTTTTTCCAAAGCTTCCAATGCAAAGCCAATCACATAACGATTGGTATCATTCTTCAAAGCCTTCTGTAGAGAGGCAATGACTGTTGCACAAGCAGCTGCTTTTCCAATCTTTGCTATCGAGAGAGCACTCCAAAATCGTACTTGAGGTTCTGGATCATTCTCCAAGTACTGGCAGAGAGTTTGAAGTGCAAGTTGAACCTTTGAATCGTCATCATCGTGTTGGTGTTGGTCCTTGTTGTGTTTTCCATAGTAGTTACAGAACATATTACCGAGAGCCTCTGCAGAATAGATTCGTGAAAACATGCTTGAGAAGCGAGACTTGTTCAAATACTGAAGCAATTCATTGAGTGTTTTCTCATCGAGACTCTCGACAACGAGAGGACCCCATTCTGAAAGGACAAACAGGGCAACATAGGTGAAGTGTTGGCTATTGATCGTATGGTTGCTCTTATTCATGAGTTTTGAAGTGAGAGCCTTTACAGCATTCGCATGACGACAGGCAATCATGCCATGGGCAGCATTATAAGCAAATTGTTCATTGACATGATCCATACGTTTCAAGAGAGTATTGTATTGACCAGACAAACCCAATCGATAGCAGAAATCAATTCGATTCAATTCATGAACATCTTCGAGTTCGTTTTCTGTGATGGTAGTGACTTTTTCTTCTACTTGGAAGGGAATGTTATGCATCCAATTCCAAATGGATTTGGCCACCATGTATTGAGGTTCGTTTTCCATGTTTTCTCGACCCTCAATTTTAACATCTTCAAATGACGTATTGATCACTTTGTTGAGTAAGGAATCGTCTCGTTGAGGGTCCACTACCCTTGAAAATTGAAATTTAAACATTTGACGATCTCTAGCTTCATTTGCACTTCCTCTGTGAATTAAATCATAGTGAATGAGTAATAGAGATCCAGCTTCACATTCCATGAAAACATCTGAATCCTTTCTCCAAGGTTTTTGACAAAATTCATTGGCTAAATTTCCTGAATAACGTTTTGGATCAATACACGTGTATTGTGTACCTTTTCGAAGAGCAGTAGGTCCCATTGGGATCGTTGTTTTTTGAGGATAGTACATGAGCATGACATGTCTCAATTGATGATGTCTTAGAGGTTTGTTATTTCCAAAGAAGGAATCTTTGTGCCATTGTTGATCTAATTGTCCTTCTTGTGTGTAATGCCAAAATCTGTGACTTTGCATAATGTAATTTTTTCCTAGAATTCTAGTCAAAACGTTTTTCACACGATCATCCTCGAAGATTTCATTCAATTGTGGAATTTTGGCAAGTATGTTATTTCCACTTTTTTTGAAACACCTTCGACCTAATAATCAATTCCAAACAAAGCAACTTACCAATTTCCTTCTTCATGAAAAATTTCAGATCCGTATTGACATAATTCCGAATGCCATTGTGGACTCAAAGCAAGTTCTTGTGGTTTTATCACAAGATATCCATCCAAGAGAAACTTCTTCAAATCTTCATCAGACAATTCCACATTTTGAACAATTCTATCGGAAGATGAGTTGTGATTGACGGGAGGAGAACGAAATTGCTTGTCCTTGTTTGGAAAGTATGAAGGTTTTGAGCGTTTTGAAGACGACGATGATGGTTTCTTGTTGGTTGGATGATTGCTGTTAGTGTTTGTCGGAATCATTTGTAGGATGTTGAGTTAGCTTTTTTTTTGTGACAGGAGAAGTGAACTTGTTTCTCCACTTAAACTTCAAGGAGTTTATTCATTTTCGAAAATGAACTTTATCATGTCATCATTGAAGCTTTCACAATTCTTTTATAAATGTGATCACCAAACAATATTCGGCAATTTATTCCCGCAAGGAAGATGCACCGTTCATTATTGGTTCTTCTTATAGCATTGATAGTCACAGAGCATGACCGTATTGTAATTTGCATTAAAGAGTGAAATTTTTTTTTATTCGGGCCTTGAAAACTCATACGAAGAAATACAAATACTTCTCACCTTAATGGTCGGAAAAGCTCACACAATCTACTATAACGATACTGTAAAAACTAAACAATAATTACCTAAAGGTTTTAGAAAAAAATACTTGACGTGATGAAAAACGCTTCTCGCCATTTGTTTCGTGGTAAACAAGCCTCATCAACAACACTCTCTTTCTCTCGGTTTTTCAGAGGTGTAGTTTTTGGTGCTGATAAACTTGGGTCAGACTCTAACCTCTCGCTCTGGAAATCTTTGTTCAATCATTATACAAGGAACACTTTTGTACCCTCTTTACATCTATCTTCCTTGTTGGCAAAAGATGAAGTAACAACAAAAAGTCCTTCTTCTTCCTCCGTATCGGGAGGAAACGGAAGTGGTGTTGAGCACAACCATGTACAACAACCAACTGCTTCTCATGATCCCAACCCAAAATCAAACAATGCACCACAACCAACCGCTAATAACGACAATTCTCAAACGTCTAAAATTGTAGCCCTCTCTTTCAACCAGTACAAGAAATGGACAAAGGAAGAAGTTGTTTCCATTTTGACTTTGGATGATGTCGCTGGTGGAGCCTCATTGTCCATTGATGATTTTAAACCTCTCTATGACACTGGTTTTGATGGGACTTCTCTTGATAACATTGTTCATTACATCAAAGAGGTCGGAAGGCTAGTTGCTATTTCTTTGTTACAAGACAAGTTCAAGGACAAGAATGGGATGATTGAACTTCGTCTTTCTGATACTTGTACAAGCGTGGTAAATTGGGTATACAATACTTTGATGCCCAATCTTCAAATTGAACCATTTCATTATTTCCCAAGAAGCGAAAGAGAACTCTTAACCAAAGCAGATGAAATTCTTGAAGGTAATATTGATTCTGATGCAAAACGTACAAACATACCACAGATGTATAAACAGTGGTACTTGTCATTCTGTCATTTAGTAATCAAGGGCCAAGCTCAAGGTAAAAGAACTCACTCTGGAAAAGAAAATTACTCTGTCGATTTACTGAAACTCTTTTCAAATGCAAGAGATATTATATTCAGCAACGTAAATACAGACAGTATATTGAACAAATCGAATTTTGAGACAATCATGAATAACATGGTGAATGATCTTTTAAAGAAAAAGGATCTTGAAAAGGAGTTTTTTATGAGGAATTTGCTTACTCCCTTTAACACACGCTGTTCATCCCAATTTGTCAGAGATGTCTCTACAATGATAACAAAAGATTTGTTTCCCTTCCTCCCAAAATTACAAGTCGATCTGTTTAATGAAAGTGAAAGAAAGACGTTGGACCAAAGAATTCGTGATGGATCAACAATTTACGTGATTGGACCCTCAGGTGTGGGTAAAACTGCTTTGGTAATTATTATTTTTATATTATTGTTTAATTTGTTAAACTTTAAACTAATACGTTTTTACAGCTTGCAAGAAGATTAGGAGTCAATCCAGGAATTATGATAACATGTACATCTCTGTCTGATCGGCAACATCTTTCGGAACGTGGAACTGACCAAGCTTCTGATAAGTTGAGAGAAGCATTTGTACTCACCATGACACAATCTGTTATCAAGCTCTACGCTACTGCTGCTCAACAAGTTCAATGTAATTTTATTGCAAGATTACTGTGCCTTCATACTGCACTAACCATCTGGGAACAAACGGATAACAAAACACCTTTTGAAACTCCTCTTCAAATGTTATCCTATTCTCAATGGAACGGCAATACAAAGACTGTAGCAAATATATTCAACACATTGTTGGAACGTCAATGGCTTTCTCTATCTATTGAAACTTTAAGAGATTTCACAATATTTTTGATCGAACAATTATATTCAAGGTTGAAGCTGGATAAGCAACCATTTATTATTGCTGTTGACGAGGCAAATCTTTTCTCTATTCTCCATACTCCAATTTTATCTGGGAAAGGTACACCCAGGGATTTATTGTCACTGATTGCATCCGAAATTTCTCAACTTAGAAAGAAGACTTATTTGAAAATTAGTGATATTTATTGTGGAACCATGTTTAAAACTGACATTGTTGATATTATTCAATCATCAATTGGAAAATTAGAAGATGTTTGCCATGTTTACTCCTGCGTTGGTTTAGATTCCATCACTTTTGAGCAAGCATTACAAATATTAGACAAAATGTATGATATTGAAGCAATTTTAAAATCATCCAAAACTGACCTTTATCACTCTATTCAACACATATTCCCAACAAGAAGAAGAGTAGTTGGGCTTGTTGCCTCTTATTTAGAAACAACAAAATCTCTCGATATTGAAGAAAGTTTCAGAAGAAAATGGAAAGAGTTTGTGGATCAGGTGGAAAAAAAAGTTTTAGATAGATTTGATTGTAAGAAGTCAACAGACCGTCTTGATCTTAATTTTTTGTTGGACGTAGTGATCACAAATGAATATGATGCCTTTTTAGGGAAATCAATTTCTTGCGACAGAGCATTAGCTTCTTCATTGATAGGAACTGGATTAGCAAAACCAAATTTTGACTTTTGTGATACAAACAGCGATATGTATCATTTTGATACCTCAGATCCAATTCTTAAACATGTTGCAAAAGGGGTTTTAGAAAAGAAATATCCAAACTCAATTACAAAAATCAGTAACCCAATCTCAGTGTTGAACTTGCTATTATCTTTCCCTCAACATGACCCTAAGAAATGGGAAATGGTATTTTCTCTTTTATTGCAACACCATAGTGGAAAGTGTATTAAGGACAACTTAATCCTTTCACCATTAATATTAGATGAGAATACAACAACCGAGTTAAATGACAAATCAAACACAGACACAACATCGGAGAAAAAGAAAAGACCATATACTCTATTACTTGACCACAAATTTGTGATCAAATCATTTATTCGAACTAACGATTTTTATCACAAACATCACACATCAAAATGGGCCCAAGAAGTCCTTACAAACACTGACAATATTGACAGCAATATGTTGGGAGATATTTTATACTTTCATTGTTTGTTGAACTATAACAAACATATAGAAGAGAGTTCTACTAACAATACCATTACATTTAAAGACCTTATTGATGGGGTATATTTTTATCCCTCTTTGAATTGTCATGCTGATGGTATTTGTTTAAACTTTTCAGAGCAACCTTACGGTATTATTGTGAGCAACAAATTACATAATTGCCAGAGAAAAACATTTTTAGACCAGATTAGAAACGGCGTCAAGTGTGTGAATGCGAATAATTTCTACAAAGCAAAATTTGGCCCAGAAGTAATTGGAAACTGTAGGACCTGGTGGACGACTGAGAAACAGGAGTTTCTAGCAACATTAACTAAGAATGAGAGACTAATACCTCTCGTGGCACATATACATGTAAAATATCAACAAATCACAACAAAGAAAGGTGAAGGTTTTACTAAAGATTATTCTGAAGAAGGAAAATATTTAATTCTGAATCCAGATTCAAATGATTTAATGTCACTCTGTCCTGATTTGTTTAAACTTTTACAGAAGAATCTATTTAATACTGCGATTATTGATAATTTGAATACAGAGGATCATGAATGAATCTGCACTCCATACAGGATCTCTTCTTTTTGACACAAGTGTATTAAATTAGGGTTGGTTATGAAGACATTTGAGGTTTTTCTATTAAAAACTGATATGTTCTGAACGAAGTGAAGGGCATGAATGTTTCGATTGTAAACATTAAAAGAGTTTGGTTGAGCAACGAAAAATATTTTCATGCTCAAAAAATTTTCTGCATATTCGTGCGTTTTGATTTGCTTAGTGACTTCTAGCTCTCCCTTAATATATCTCGCTTTCTCGCTCTCTCATTCCCACGCTCATCATGCCCAAAGCAAAACCTTTGACTCCTAAAAACTCTCAAGACAATGAGTCAGAATAGACTCAATCTCTTCTTGGAGTTATTATTAGTGATGATGGTTCTCTCTCAAGCTCACCTAAACCATCCACTCCAAAGAAGATGATATGTTCTGAACGTAGTGAAGGGCATGAATGTTTCGATTGTAAACAATTAAAGAGTTTGGTTGAGCTTGAAAAATTTTTTTTCCATGCTCAAAAAATTTTCTGCATATTAACGATTAGTCTCTCTTTGCGTTGCTTAGTGACTTGTATTGTGAACATTATTTCATCCGGAGCCTCTTTCGCTTTTTATATCATTTCAAAACTCTTCATCAACAACACTCTCTCAATATCGACTCTCTCAAACAACACCTTTATTGCCCAATTACTTCTATTCGTCTCTGTTAATATATAACAGTACAAAATTTCCAACATCATCAGGGTCTCTATTGCTCTTGAATAGCCTCACGATTATCTCTATCGCTATTTCTTTCTCGTAATTACACAACTCATTAGTGAATCCGAATACTATTTTTCACTCTTTATTTATTAACGATTCATCTTTGAATGACTTCAATTCACTCTTTTCTTAATATTAATTTCAATTAAGTTTAATTGAATCTTTGTTTTGATATAAATATTGGATTGGTCTTTGTGATATGATTCCTCTGAAATAACAAGCAATAATAGAAAGTGTTGAGTCCACAAGTTTTATTTGTAGCCACTTCCTTGCTTGACCAACATTAGAGCTTGTTCGCACTCTGATTTTGTTATGCTTTGGTTTCTCAATCAATCCAATATGATCCATCTATATTCGAGTTATGTTAGTTTTGGGATTGAATTATCATCAATGAATTTCGGTATCTCTGCTCCTTCTTTATCATCTTTACCGTCAGTTCATGGGAAGGAATATTTGTTACCTTGTTCCGTAATAGCATGAAAATCATTTGTTCCTTGTTTGAACTATCTATAGAAATGTCAGAAGCAACATAACCCCAATTATCAACTGAAATAGATGTCTTGGGAAATCTTATTAATGCCAACCCTTAATAATCATGTCCAATTCGGATCTATCATCTATGTCGAACAAGAGGTTGTTTGAATTCGTGGAGACGATGATAGTATTACATAAGAGGTTTCGAATCATTTTGTGAGACAATGCCATTCATCACTATACATACAATAGCTACCCAATGACACTTTTGAGCAAAAATCGAGTGTTTCGAAGACGTAAACAACAAGAATCGTTTGGTTAATTTAGAGGAACAGATGGGTTAGTTCCGAGTATTGAAGAGTTTGGTGGAGAAGTTGTTTTCTGAAAAACCAATTCGGCGAGAATATCTAAGTATTGACTTATCTGACGCACATCGACCCATAATCTTGTTGACTTCAATAGACATTCCTTTCGAGGAAATTTCGGTAGAAGCACCTATACGTAAGCTATGTCCGGAGACTTTTGTTTTGCTATCCACTAATCTAATTGCATTTCGTATTAATTCTGAAATTTGTGTGGTTGTAAGGAATTGATTATCTCGAAAAGAGAATAGAGGTGAATCAGGAGATTTAAATTCCTTAACAAGGTTCATATAGATCTTAAGAATTTGAACAGGACAAAAACTATTTGCACTGATCACTGGATCGATTGGATGAGGTCGATCATTGAAGAAAAAGTGTTTTGTGACCAGATAGATTGATATTGATCCAATTTTTCTTCGGTTTATCAATCTCAACATCTGACCATTTCAACTCACATAATTCACCAGGGCGAGCGAACAATCTAAAACCTATTACTAGGATTGCAGCCGTAAGAGCAAATACAAAACATTCGTCCGGTGATTGAGGATTGCACATTGAAATATAAGCAGCGATGTGAGAGGACCGAATGGGATCTCTTTCGATATTTTTCCTGTCGATCAAAGACCAAATTCTTTTTGAACCTTTAACCACTCTACCATATCTACGGGATAGTTTTAACTCCCAACCTTCGAGGTCGGCGAAAAACTGGATAGCATTCTTTGCTTTCTGGATGAGGTATCCTTTTTTGTGGTTGGAAAGGTAACCACAGAAATAATCCATTGCTCTCTCAGACTCTTTGTGAAAATCGAAAGCAGTAATAAACCAAGAGAAAAGACCATAGATTTTCGCATATTCTTTTAGAGTAGATGGAGAGAGGGACACAATTATACTAAAATCAGTTAGTTGTGAAATAGAGTGCCATTCACTTTGAAGGCAATCATTTCCAGATTCTCGAATTTGTTGAACAATTCTGTATGGCTCGATAATGAGCAAACTTCTTGGAACACTTATACTGCTTTCTGATATTTTCAGCAGTACTGAGAACCAGGGAGAGGAGGGCCAATTGGGAACTACTAATGTCCCTCGAGCTTTCGATTTGATGATGTGGACGATTGTTTGAGGAATTAGACCAAGATGAGGAACGCAATAATTGATTGAGTCTGTTTCCCAAAGAGACTGAAAAGCGTCTATGTCGTGCCAAGAGTTGAATTGAACATGGACTGCTGAATTTGATGTCGCGAACCTGTCGACCGTATGGTAACCGAATTCTCTGTGAATAAGGTCGAGTAGATCTTCGGAAGAACACCTATCTCCTAATCGACTTAACCGATCTGCGATCACGTTTTGATGGGATGGAATGAATACCACCTTTGAAATCCACCATTTTCGTTTTAGCAGAATCGACCAAATGTCCTTTGAGATCGATGCAAGATGATCGTACGTTCCATAACCTTTCCTTAGATAACTGAGGGCTGTGGTATTGTCTCCCCGAATTTCGAAATTGGTGTGAGGAGGATAGCTGTTGAGTTGGTCTGCTTGACGAAAAAAAATAGAGGATTGCCAGAAGTTCTTTCTGATTGATATGTAATTCCTCCATCGAGTCGAATTTGCCCACCAGAATATTTGAACAAGCGTGGATGCTGTATCCCTGTGGGGAAGCATCTGAGTTGACTGTGATCGGAGTTGGCCATTCCAGCTCGAAAGGTACACCAATGTTCTCCTGAACTATGTGCTGAAGGATTAATAGATCTTTCTTTGCTCCTCGGTTGATCAACATGCTTGAATTCCAACCTTTCTTTTGAACCACAATTAACATGTCTCTCCTTAGTCTGTGGAGAAAGGGAGGAATGTAATGATTGGCTACTGAAAGGAATTCCAATTTGCCTATGAATTTGGCCACGTGTCGGCATCTGATAAATTTTCTTGATTTTTCTGCTTGAATTAGCTCGTTTGAGAGTTCTAAGAAGCACACGCAAAAAAAATCTAATTAGTTTATTGTTAGCACCACTGGTGCTGGTAAATCCGTGAGGATTGGGGTTTGTTTTTGAATTGGTTTTTTAAACCTTGAGTTTTCATAATACTTGGTGTGACATTTACCAACTAGTAGGGTGAGAATTGTTTGGATTTCAGGCCAATTTTGGTAAATATTTGGTAAATTTTTAAAGTTGGGCATTTGAGTATCTCGAATCATTACTCCGTCATGATGAATAATGAAAACTTTCCTTCTTTCACAGTATCTTGATTCTTGATAATCGTTGAGGATACATTGCATTGATGTAATATCTAGGAATTTAGTGTAGAAAAAATCCCTAAAGCATTGAGTATTAGGGCAATAGTATATGAAATGTTTTAGAGTTCCGGGGCATTTACAGTGAGCGCATTGTCTTTCCTTATGTTGTTTGATATGGTTGCTTGTTAAGTTTCTCCAGATTGACCACTTAGTATTTGTGTCAATTTTAGATTTGATGAATTTTAGATTGATAGATGACCAGTTCTTGGTAAGGTGTAGACTGGAATTATCTCTATCAAATTGGCTAAACATTACATCATATCTTTTCTTTTGTATGGATTTTTTGATGTCGAAAATAATGGTATTAGATGTGGCAAGGATGGTTTGGTTCGAAAATAGCTTCTTAATGTCAAAATAGTTGTGCTCTTGAGCTCCTTTCTTAGCTAATTCGTCAGCTTTGATGTTTCCTTTGTTGACATGACCTTTAACTTTGATTAGTTGAATATTTAGATTGGATTGTTGAATGACCTGTTGATATTCATGCTTGAAGCAGTTAAAAATTCCGTTATAGGCTTTGTTTTTCAAAACGTGGATGGATATTTCACTATCTGTGTGAATTTTTGCCTTAGATTTAGGTGGAAGTATCTTTAGTGATGTGAGTATTGCTGATAATTCAGCAACGTTATGTGAGTATTCGCTGTTAATTTTGTATGAGAAATCTTGGGTTTCTTGGGAATTGTTAACTTTGGCGGTAAAGCCGAAACCTGTTGAGTTGTTGAGATTTGATCCGTCAGTGTAAATAGTAAAATTCTTTCCTTTGAGTTTTGGAAAGATTTCGTCATTGTTAAATTGTTGAGGTCTGATCTTGTATTTCTTCATTGATCTGTTCATTTCCTTAAAAATCGAATTTTCGTGTTTGATTCCTTCTGAATATACTTCTCTAAGAAGTTCATTATCATTGTTAATAAGATACAGGGCTGTTTTGATTCGAATTTCATCTGCAAAGATATCGAATCTTGGAATACCAAGTCCGCCATAGGTGATTGGGAGGTGAAAATAGTTTGTTGGACTAGCATTATGCATGAAAATTTTCTTTCTTATTGCTTTTCTTACTTCAATGTTAATTCTATCAACAAGTGATTCAGGAATGTAATTTGTTCGTAAAATGTGTGTAAATAAGCTAGTGCATTTGGCAAAAATTACTTTCTTAATGTTTGTTATCTCCATTCTTTTCAGTGGAATATATTTGAGTGAGAGTTGAAATTGGAGGATTCTTTTTTCAATATCTTCATTTAAAGTAGAGTCATCCCAAGGATAGTGTCCAAGTACTCGAAGGTTTTTGAATCTTGGTATAATAGTACCGTCTATCATTGGCTTCATTTTGCTTTTAGTTGGGAGAGTGGTTGCCATGGATTTTGAAGGATTAATTTTTAGACTTAATTGGCCGAGCCATTTAGAGATATTATCAAGTCTTTCGTTATAATTGCAGTATCTGTTTGAAACTAAATTAATGTCATCAGCAAAGCAGAGCAAACCAATATCGTTAATATTAAGCTTGGTTGGTTTGATTGAAATTTTCCATTGTTGTATGCATTTGTCAATGATGAGTTGAGTAATACAATCATATATAAGAGGAGCTAAAGGGCATCCTTGTGGTATTCCTCTTGTTTTTGTGAATGGTCTAGAGAGATGGTGATCAATTTCTAGCTGTAATATTTGACTCTTGTATGAGTTTAGTATAAAAGTTTTCAACTCATCTGGAAACTTACAATGAGTGAGAGCTTTTTCAATGATATGATCTTCAACGGAATCATAGGCGCCTTCGATGTCTAAGTTTACCAAAAGGAATGACGACTTGTTCTTTTTGGCTAGAGATGAAAGTAATAATCCGTGATTCATTGTGTTTCTGTGTGAAATAAATGCTTGTTGCCTTAAGTTGATGTGTTTGGAAGCCCATTGTCTTAATTCGTATGCAATTATGTTGAAAAGTATTCTGTAATATATTGGGAGAATGGTTATGGGTCTAATATCATTTAGTTTTTGAATGTCTCTTTTAGGGAGTAATTTAACCCAACCAGATTTCCATTCTTCAGGGATATTACCTTGTTGAATGCAGTTTTCAAATTGGTCAGCAATAAGTTGTAGATGTTCGTCTTTGAGATTACGTATAATTTGGAAGGATATTGAGTCTAGACCGGGTGTGTTGGATTTCATTCTCGATATCGCCTCTTTAATTGTTTTAAGGCTTATTTGTGGTATTTTCGGTCCTTTCTTGACGGTTGATGGTGGATTTTCAAAGTCTGATGATTTGGATACTGAGGTAAATTTTGTTTCAAAATGATGCACAATTTCTTCTTCAGAGAATTGGATATTTTCCCAATCTATTGATTTTTCTTTTAGATGTTTGTCAAACTGGTAAATCATTGAGCTGTCATGTTTGTTGAAATTTTCACTTAGTTTTGCTTTGATATCAGCTCCAGTTTCCTTGTATAGTACTTTGATATTATTTCTTAGTTTTTCAATTTCCTCGATATTTTGACCTTTTCCTTGTGTTACAAGATGGAGGAGTTCTATTTCTTTGGTTTTGATTTCTTTCTTATTGATTGTGTTAATGTATTTGAGATTGGTCTTATCGTCTTTGAAAGAAAATTTGTTAACCATTTCTGATATGTCTTTCTGAAGTGCATCAAATGAATCATAGTGTGATTCGTTCAATGTTGTTGAGATTTGATTCATATCTTTCCTAGAGATGAAGTTTCTCCAACAATAGTCTGTTTCGAGCTCAATGTCAATATAGAACGGTAGATGATCATTTTTGGATATTGGTGGCAAAATAACTTCTCTGATTATTCTGATGTTGTTAGAAACGAAGATATGATCAGGTCGTGATTTTTGAACTGAGTTGATGACTTTTCTGACGTATGTGTAATTCTCTGGGATGATTAGTTCTTTGAGTTGGAAACACTCAATAAGTTCTTTCCATTCTTTTTCTCTCGAATTTTGTGGTTTCCTTGTGTTGATATTGAAATCTCCTAGCACAATGTTGAATTCATTTTCACATTTTAGTAGAAGGTGAATAATAATGTTGATTATTTCATCATCATCTTCACCATCAGATGAAGCATAAACCGTAATGATGTTAATAGGTTTGTTTCTAGAGAAAAACCTTGTCCATTGAAGTTTTCCTTGTATTAGATTTTCGTTGGATATGAATCGTTTTCTTTTGTTGTTAAGAATATGGAAGAGAGCTGTTCCCTTTTGAGCTTTTCTTGCTCCAAATAGTGAATTAAAGAAGATACTTCCATTCCCTTTGTTATAGGCTTCTTTTTGATCTTCATATGTTTTTAAGTGTGTTTCAGTAATTGACATGATTTGGATGTTATGATTGTAGCACATCCCTTTGATTTCATTTGTCAATATTTCTTTTGTGGCTGTCTTTATGAGCCCGTTGCAGTTAAAACAGCCAATTTTCAAATTACATTTTGGTGACTTAATTGTTCTTATTTCCAAGAGGTTTATCACCTCTTCTAGGTTCTACTATATCTTCTTCTTCGTCATATTCCATTTCATCATCACTATTTTCATTTGGTTTTGGGTGATAAGATTCATCATCTTCATCTTCTACATCATCCTTGGATTCATGAATTAATTGATGGTACGGTTTTGTCAAATGTAATTCAATATTTTCCATTTTGGAAGCTATTTCGTTGAGTTTTTCAAAAATGGTCTGTATGGATTTTGTGTGGTCTGTTAGTGTATTGGTGATGTTTTGTATTTGTTTAGAATGTGATTCCAGTTTGATTGAGTTTTCAGTACATTCTACTTGAAGTGATTTGTGATTCTTTTCTAATGCTGAGAGGTCATTATTGAATTGGAAATTATTGGTTGCACCAGTCACTTCGTTTTCTTGTTGTTTTTGAATTTTTCTACCAAATATTTGGTTGTAGATATGAGTTTTTTTGAGGTTGGTTTTGTGCCATTTGGTGGAGTGATACTTGTTGGGAATTTTGTAATTTTTTCCAATTCTGCAACATTAGTTGCTTTGTAATTGGCTATATAATAATGCTCTCCAGGGCGATATGGGCTAGGTTTGTTAATAATCTCTAAGTGGTTTGATTGGAAGACACAGTTGCTTTTTTTCCACCATCTTTTGTATCGCAGTTTTGATATCTTTCTCTGTGTAGAGGGATGAAAAATTGCAAGAGCAGTTAAGCTTAGATTCTGTTATGATCTGGTCAATGGATCGGTATTCAGAATATTTCCTTGCCATAAAATATTCTTTATCTTCAAGAGATTCAACTGCTATTCTGATTTTATAAAGCTTTTGGACTCTGTCATAACTGGTATTAGTTTCTTTAACTCCATTAGTTCTTTTCCAAAAATTTTTGATAATGTGTGTAGTATACTTCATCATCTCGTCATATGATGAAGTATGATATTTGAGGGTGTGTTCAGCTGGTGAGAAATTCATAGGAGTCACAACGTATTTGAATGGACTGGAGTCTCTTGTTGATTGTGAGTTTAAAATTCCCAAGGTTGATACATAATCTTCATGATTGTTACAGACAAGTTGGAGTACGTGCGTCTTGTCGTTAGGTATGTACCATGATGTAAGTTTTTCTTTGACTGCATCTGTAATAAATTCAGTGATGTCTGAGTCGATATGCTTACTGAGGTAAATAGATACACAGTGAGAATAGTTAATTGTTTTAGCTCTTTTAGCAGGAGGGTACATGGTTGTTGTTGTATTGTAGGATTTGATTTGCGGAGTTTTTTTTGTTGGATCAAATGTAATGTTCTTGGCTGTCTTGGCTATTTGCAAGTATGACGATTGCGATTCATTCAGGTTGAAGCTGGTGTTGATAGGTGGGCTCTTAGATTGAAGCTGGGGTTGACTTTGGGGCTTTGAAGTTGTTTCAATTGGTTTGATGAGGTTTGTGCTTGTTTCAATTGGTTTGGTGAGGTTTGTGTTGGTGATGAAGTTTGTTGTCTTATTTTGATTGTTGATTTTCGATTTGTTTGTTGGATGTGTAATATTTTTGATTTTAGATATTTGGTTTGATGGTCCATCAGTTCGATAAGGATGTGCAGGGGATGGAGTTTGTTCTATGAGTGTTGTTTTTGGAGGAAGAGGTTGTTTAGGTTTAATTGGTTGGTTGCTGTCGGAGACTAATTTAACTGACTTTACCTTTTGTTTCCGATTATTGATGTGGTTAGATAATCCGTCCAATGTTTTTGAGAAATTCTCAATATGTTTAAAGATGATTCCGAAAGCTTCTGAGTGGGTCATCAATGTTTGGTTGATACTATTCATTACAACGTCTTCATTTGTGTTCAATTTTTTTGCGTCGAAATTAAAAAAAAATGATGTACTCACCTGCAGCTGCTTACGAAGAAGGTTATGTTCAATATCAAATTCCATCCCGACCCACAAAAATAACGACCACGTTTGTAAAACAATTAATAGCCATCAAAGATGCAATGGAAAAAGAAATTAGAGATTTAATGCTGTCGTTGGATAAGGTCGGAGTTGGATTAAAAACACCATTGGTGGATGATGAAGGCTTTCCGAGAGCAGATCTTGATTTAAATGATATTCGATCGAAAAGACACAGAATTGCTTGTTTACAAAATGATCACATTTCCTTGATGAATGATATACAGAATTTTTTATATGAATTACATGAAGAGAGTAGAGCCAATGCACAACCATCCACAACGTCGCCAAATATTGCTCAATCATCATCCTCCATGGACACCAGTAATGATGAAGAAGAACAATTAGAGCCATTCCTCAAAGTGAATACAGTTTCTCCAAATTCGCCAGCAGAAAAAGCTGGTCTGCATCCAGGAGATGAAATTACACAATTTGGCTACCTTGTTAAAAAAGATATTAAGAATAATGGATTGAAAATTCTTCCAACAGTGGTTCAATCGAATGTCAATAAGCCAATGAAAGTTCATCTTCTAAGGGAAGAAGGCTCCACCAAAGTGAAAAAAGAAATTATTCTTGTCCCATCATATTGGAGTGGTCAAGGTTTATTAGGATGCCACTTTCTTGAAATCCATTAACTTTTAAACATGCTCTCAATTTGTACAGTGTTGTGATTGTTCAATACATGTATTGTTATGCACTTTCGATGTTCCAGATCGTCTAATAGAGTTCAACTCTATTTGTTCTTTCTTTCTCTTTAAAAAAAAAAAAAAA